ACTAGCGTCCTGGATGTCGGCCATGACTACACTATCCACCTTCGCCTTTGGATCCAGGAAATTCCCCAAGCTCGTCGTGATAGTAGCTAGGATGACGAAAAAGTCCTTTAGACGGAACCAGACATCACCCCTCTTGATTCCGTTGTCCCGGACCAATGCGGTCAGGTCTCCGTGCTTGTAAAAGTCGTATAGATAGGCATTCCAAGGGACTCCACCTGTTTCATCTGGCACAATGCGAATATACGGTATGGCAGGATCTTCAAGGAAGACACCACTTCGAACACTGTTGCACAGCTCTCCGATGCTTTGGAAGTTGTCGGTAAACCCAAAAAGTGCACTGAATGGAGACTTTACTGCAGTTGCTTGAAGCGACGGCAGAAGGTCAGCTACATCGGGGCACTGAATGCAAGGCTTCACTGTACGCTTTGAAAACGGGAGCTGTGTATCAAGACTATCTTGTAGATATTGATGAGCATATGTCGCGACATAAGCCCGGAAAGTCTCCAGAGTATCGCGGTTATGTGTCTTCAGGAAATGATATGCTTTCTTTGAGAGATTAGGGAGGATAACAATTGACGGCGAGCACTTGACGTCATTCCTGGGCTTCAGGCATGGAATGCGACAGAAAAGATGTGATAGAACAAGCATCAGTTCGAGCAGGACCGCTGATCTCCGCGACCAAATCTCAGCACAGAGCTCATGGAAATATCCAGCTTTCAGTAGCGCGTGGAAGGCGAAGGCGGCATCCTCCGTGAAGTACAGATGGCCAACCAGACCAGCGAAGTTCAACGGTGCACCCTCACTTGACAGTAGCTCATTCTGACGAAGAGAATCGATCAAGAACCGTAGGTGGGGGTTGATTGTCATCTGTGCGTGAGGGCCTCCTAGAAACAGTTGGGCTTGTGTCAGAAGAGACTTGACTGCATTGGTCGCGTAGTCTGAGTTTTCGGTTCCACGGAGCAAGGTGAAGAGGCGAAGAATGAGAGTAGTCGAGATGGGGAACTGCCCACGAAGATCAAGCAGCTTGGCAGATATGATTTCCGCTGCTCGTTGGGCTGGTATATTGTGGAATACCACATTTTCCTGGAGATCGAAGTCGCGACGACCCGCACGCCTAGAGGCCTGCCTGTAGTTGAGCGCCGACAGGAAAATCGAGTCACCAGTGAATACGACTGTCTTGCACGACATGTTTAGGCCTAGGGAGATGGTACCGGTAGCAATGACGACTGTCAAGAATCCCTTCCTGTATAGCATCTCAACAACTTGCCAATACTGTCTGTTCATTCCGGCATGATGCACACTCACTCCACGTCTGAGCCCAGAAAAGAAATGAGGAGGGATAGGCAGCTGGCGCGACCTAAACAGCTGGTCCTCAAGCGCTTCGACGGACAGCTTACTCGTGTTGGCGAAGATGTACTCTGGAAGTGGCGCAATTAGGTCGAAGGTCTCCTAGAAGCTTACTTCACGACTGGCCGAATCTCTCATAGATTCCTGCTTGCTTAAGATATCGCCATCAGACCTCTTTTCCTTCTTTTTCGACGTCTTCTCTTCGTCTCGTTCATTGAACCATAGAATTCTTCCAGACCTCACAGTTCGCCATCTTGCGAGCCCAGGCATGTGTCCTTCGGTTGTCGCCCTCTTCAAGATGCCCAAGGATCTCCTGATGGATCTGTTTGCAACCTGACCGGTCATAATTGAAAAATTATTGCGGGGAGGGCGCCTCTAGAACGTAAGTCAAGAATGAAGCTGAAATCGGATTCTCTTAGCTTAGCCTTGTCAACGGCCTTCAGCTGTCTTCCCAACGGGTCACTTTTAAATGTTGTCACTGCTTGCCTGAAGAACTCTCTTCATCGCGTAGAACGAGGCTGCAAAGAAGCGTAGACTCTTCTTCGAGTTTGATAGGAAGGTTCCATCCCTGTTCTCCGGACTTCTGTGCCACGATGCAGAAAAGGCGGCCATCTAGCAGATCCATTGTATCCCATCTTTGCTACTCAATACGGTCTTGATTAAACCACTCGCCGAAGATTCCTTCCCCAATAGTTGAGAGTTTAGAAACTTGTCTTCTGTGGTAGTCAAGACATAATCGCTCCTGAAGGCTCTAGGCAGTCTAGCAGGACCGCGTGTCTAGTCATGGCGGCAGCTAGTCGGTGTGTGCGACTCCTCTTCGTGCTGTTTACGAGGCGGGAGAGGGCAATGGCGGTCACAATGCGTTGCGGTGTGGGATCTAAGTTCTTATCGGTCTTATATAATCAACATATATCGTCTTCAAGAAGGGCCGACGTGTCGTTTGACGAGTGTGTATGGTGTGTTGAGCGTTGATGAGAGCTGCCTTTCCTATGAGCAATTATGGGAGTAGCGATGGATACGTATGCCTTTGAACTTCGAAATTCGATTTCGTGAATGAATGCAATACAATAATAACCCCAGCTAGCCATTCTGTATCCAACACCAACATAGTCGCATGCTTGAGGACTGCATTGCAACTCATTGGCACCACCATGAGAGCACATGACAAAGCAGACATAGCTCTGAGCCAGATACTCATGGAAGACAGTGCTGTCCAATAAGGGGAATCGGAAACTGAATCTGGAAGACTCGATACGACAAATCTGCTCAAAGTGCAGGATGAGGACCGAACGGGTCAGGCTATATCAATAGTCGTTCTGGCTGTCCGCTTCGCAAGGGATTGACAGACGCTGGTGTTCATCGAACCACAGAACATGGAAATTGCACCCGAGTTCTTGAAGACGACTCAAAAACAGCTCCGCGGCATGAACGGCGTGTAGCAGCTGGAATCCGCTATCGAAGTCTACCTTGGCAGCCAGGATGCAGTGAGCAACTAAGCTCTCACCGCAGATGGCGAACAGGTCCTTGCCAGGAAAGTCTCCGACAATGTTGACTCGCAAAGGTTTCAGTGAGTTGAACCAGACCTGAAGTTGCTGCGGGGGCAGCTCATCCGAACCCGTAAGGTCCTTAATGGTACTGTCAAGAAAAATAGTAGGTGAGGGGATGGGAAGTTAGGGTGTTTTATCCAGAAACCTTTGCTGAGCTGTGGCCGAGTGTAGCTGCAGTCAAGGTTACGTTGATGGGGTGTTTGCCTGCAGGCGTATGAACGGGCAAATAGTCCTGTTGCTCTAAATGGGTGAAGAAATGGGTGGACCTATCAAAACACGACGTTCCCAAGACACGGTCAGCAGCCCACCTGAGAAGTCTCGGGATACCAAGATTGCAGACCCTCGCCTTCAATTAGGTAAACTGGATCCATTTGCTTCGTTTGCTGCAGGCCTCCTGAGGATTGATATCTGCACATTTGGCCTCGCGGAATTGGGTATCTACGGAAGTACCACCACCTAACTAGCATATGTCAGCATTTCTGGCTTACCAGATGTAAAAACTTAGAAACTTAGCCAGCTAGTATCGAAATCAAAGTAAAGTATGTAGTACGTGAAGAGGTGGGCTGAAAGATACCGACAAGTCAATGAAGGGAAAAGAGTGAAGCAGGAAGAAGGAAAAAGGAGAGAGGGAAAAATTAAAGCGTGCTTTAGGACGTATTCTTCCTGGTATTCGAACCCTTACAGGGTTTGCGAAGGTGAGCAGCGTGAATGAGGAGGCATTACTGGCTGAGAAGGGCCACATAACACTCGAAGGTAACGGAGCTCGCTAACCTTTAACTCTACCACTACACCAACACGGCCGCAACGGTGGACTGTCTGTTTGTTGAATCCTTGCTGCTTTATTGCTATTCATATTGCCAGTTCAGATCATTCCTTGAACAATCACTAGACAATACCAAGGTTCACACCTGCGCCTCAACAGTCCACCCACCACCTTAATCAGCTTTCTGCCTGAGACCTTCTTCGATGAGGCAATATATCGGGCATGCTTCACTTTGAGCTACCATACTGACTGCCCATTACCATATTCTATTTTCACCTGCATAACATAGCCCATATGAAAAGTTTCTCAGCACGCTCTCAATCGAAATTCTTAGCCACCTAGCCGAATTTACCCAAGTCAATTTGGAATGGCACAGGGAGGGGAACGCAACACGATAATAAACTTGAAGATGGCTGTCATCTTCTACCTTTGAACTTAACATCTATGAGCCCAATGACGTCTCGGCGTGCTTCGCGAAATTCGGAGCGGCAGGCCTTGGGAAATAACCACGATTGATAGCGGTGATGGGCGCCAGTGTTGCATTTTGACACTGAGTGCGCTACTTACATTCCGTCGAGTAGAGCAACCGACTTTTGATTCAAGTATTTACCCTGGTACTCTCATATTCCATGCTCTATCACGAGCGGTTCGGCCATCTGCTTCACCATTATCATCAAAACTGCTCCCATTAACACCAAACCAGAGGAACCCGAAAGACAATAGACATCTCCTTGGCGTAACTTGCGTATTCCACCCAATCGAAGAGAATATAACATCGAGTCCAATGACCAAACTGAGTAGGAATATTTGTTAGATGTGATGTTCTGCTGCCATTGTAGCTAGCAGTGGCATCGACTGAGCGCCGGCTTCCAAAAGATGATTGCGAGGATGACATAAGCATATCATTGTGTCAACCAGCCATTCCTTCGCCAAAGCCAATGCGAACACGAGGAGTGGACCTTCTCGGTTCATCTTCCTCATCAATGGCACGTGTGCTCGGAGGTGTCGCGTTCCGACTGCGTTTCACACTCTTGTCATTACTGCTAGCAGTCGCACCGGGTGTGTCCGCATCAGTACCATGGTGTGTAAAAGATGGGACAGTGTTGACATTGGTGAGATTGACCCCAAAATCGCCACCAGCGGAGCCAGATCCGTTGGAGAAGACCCCCGAGAATGTTCGGGAGCTGGGCGGCGAGTTGGTTGAGCTCACTTCACCGCTCCGAGGCTGTAAAGGTAGCACTGACTGCGAGACTCTACGCATATCCAGATGGTCCAAGCCAAGAATTGGCGTGTTATCACTGGTTGCGTCGCCAAATAAATTCTCCTTTCGGGACTTCACCGCAGAAGAAGGAAGCGGAATGGAAGCTGTCGGGGCGGAGATTGGCATTGGCTGATTCAACAGAGAGTTTGTTAGAGTTGTGGCAAGATCGGCAGGGAAGCCAGCTGTGTCATCAGACTCTGCCAGAAGCTGCTCTACAAAATCTTGGCCCTGCAAGGTGGTTGGGGTATTGGCCGGTACTTGCATAGCTATGGAGTTCAAGTCGCGGTCCTCATGAGCCTGGCTGCCCTGGAAGAAGCCTTGGCCCAAGTCAAGCATGTCGACGTTAGAGTTTGACCTCTTGCCAGCCCCCCGGGCTCCTTTGCTGGCCTTGGATGCATGAAGTGTGGCGGTGGGAACATGACCAACGGCACCAAAACCACTTGCCCAGTCGAATTGCGAAGTGGCATCGGAATTGGAAGTATTGAAGGGATCCATGTAACTGCTGATTGACGGGGCATGGGTGCTCGTCATAGTGCTCTGTTGAAGGAAGGCCTGGGTGTTGGGCATCGCGCCGATAATGTTGGCTCCGGTCAGACCCTGTGTGTTGTACCCTGATGAGATACTGTCTGGACCTGAGCGACGGCGGGGCGAGTGTATGTGGGAGTCGGCGCCGTCGCTGGGATGCTCGGTGGGAACTGGCATCGTTGGGTTGAAGGGGCCGCGACGCCACATGGCTGTGTTTGGCCATGCGATGGCAGAACTCTCGAGAATGTCTGCATGGCGATGTTAGCGGGATACTCATGACACCTTTGCGGGATACGAGGAACACTACCAAGAGGCGCATGTTGGAAGGAGAAGGCAACAACGTTCTTGACTCGTTCCATCGGGACGGTGAGGGAGTCGCGGGGGAAGCCTTCACTGATGACGATCTTGATACGGCCGAGTTCGTCGGCAGGGCTCCAATAGCTTTGGCGAAGCAGTTCGCTACGGAACGAAGGAAACTTCAACTGTTGGAGCTCGCCGCCTTTGGTGAACTCTGCAGTCGGTTAGCTGAATACTTCCAAGGGTAAGCGTCGGAGGCGGCATGTCCATACCAAAGCTATGGTTGAGCAACTGCGGCCATGGGCCAGTCCTCTTGAACGAGGCAGAGGCAACCATTCGGCTGTCGATAAAGACTCGAGCTTCGAACTTGACCAAATCATGATGCTGGCTGAAAGCGTTCCTGGTGAATTGGCTGATCTCGGGAATATTCCAGCAGTGGAGCGAGATGTTGAAAGAGGTACCCGTGGGCAGGCCTGGCATGAAGCAAGTCATGGTTGGCAGGCCGTAGGATCCGTGGGAGAGGGAGAACTCTGGCCGGGACAGTTATCAGACAGATGCATCAAGGAAGATAGCCAGACGAGGTAGGCAGACAACCTACCATTGTCATGAACCACGTGGCATTGCGTCTTGAACTCCTTCATTGGGACCTTTGAGTCCCTTGGGAAAAGGAGCACGTCCCAGTCTTCGTATCTCATCTCGATCAGTGGGCAAAAAGGGTGCACAAGAGAAGGCTGTCTGAAGAGAATAGAAGGCCGCCCGAAAGAACTAGACAACGGACTGCAGCATTTAACCAAGTGACGCCCGATGCTGTCTTGGATGAAGGAGAAACTGGAGACGAAGCTCGCCAACCTGGAAGTGCTCCAGGCGGAAGAGTCTAGAGGTCTGGGAAATGGTCAGGGTCCGGGTCGATCAACGAGCAGCCAGCCTGGAGCTCCTGCTCCGACTGCTTCGACAGTTGGCAGATCAACGTCGACGCCATTGGGGCTTTCCGTTTGCGTTCTCCCTCCAGTACCTACTGACGTCTGCTGGCCGAGCTCTCGGAGTCCTGCCCATTATTCCTTCACCTTGCAACTTCTACCTTGCCAAGCGAGCTTTCCCAGCCCGACAACGCTAGACGTCATCATGTCAACAACGTGATTCATCCGGAGATTGCATCATTGATCATCCCTTCGCTCATCCTTCTCCCACCACGTACCATAGCATAGAGACAACGATTGGGATTTTCAATCGTCTCGCCATTCGTACCCATCGCCCTCGAGATAAGCAAACAACAATCATTGCCGCCACGGATAACATGATGGACACTGCGTGAGGCGTTGCGGCCAAGGCCGCGTCAGCCAGCAAGTCCAAGCGAAGGCGCTTCGTCCCTCGGCCTCGTAGGCATCGCCTGCATCGGACCCAGGATTACAGTGAGCCGAAGGACACGCCAGCTAGACCCGCTGAGCCTGAGCAGCCTGCCGAGGCGGCCGAGCTCATCAATGCCACTCAATCCACTGTCTCTTCCCAAGGCCTTAACACACTGCCTGCGCACGAAATGCGAGCACGACAGAGAGCTCTCAGTTTGAGGCTCCTCCTGGACTTTCGAGGCGTCATCTACCCCAAGGGACGAATCTCCGGTTCTACCAGAACAAATCGTAAGTTGAAATTTGCTCTGTGTGATGGGCTCACCTCCGTCAATGCATTGTCGATCAACAGTCGCATCCATGAGCTCCGTGCGATGGCGTACTGGGGCCGGCCGCGAATCACCGATCCCAACCGAGGCTTCGACAATCTTTGTCGATTCCTGCTTCACAGCGTCTCTTGGTTGAAGGGCCAGTACTCTGTCAACCTCCATCTATGCCGCATCTTCTTCGCCGAGCTTGTCGAAGCTCGAATTCGAGCCCGCAACCAGGGTCTTTGCAGCCATTGCCCTGAAGCCCTTCACCAAGCTGCCATCGTTTCTGGATCCACTGGATCAGTACATCGATTTCCTCCACGAGATTGACAAAGCTCCAGTTGTTCCTGAGCTGGGCTTCGAGACGCAGTGGAGAGACCCCGCGGAGGAGTCCGACGACACCGCTCCCAAGAAGCAGATCGGTCACGTGTTGGATGGCATGGACGACTTGGCTTCAGACGTAGAGGATATTGCTCAGGACATGAAAGACAAATGTGACTGGCTTGTGGCGGAGACCGAAGTCGCTACGGAGAACCTGGGGGACGTTCACCTCAATCGCGCCGACGAGGACGCGAAGTTCCTAGAAGCTGTTCAACGCTGCCTAACGAGAGCTACAAGAACCGTCTGGGAGACCCCGAGCCTTTGGCAGACGAGAGATCTGCTTGAAGAGTACATGCGATTGGAAGAGAGCTACGGGAGATCATGAAGCTCTGGCGAACGTGCCCAGGGATTCTGCATGAAGGACTCATTGGAAGACGGGCATACACACGCTAGAAGTGTGCTTGAAGGACACAAGTTGCTGGAATTGCCAAGGAGCATCCGCACGTAGTGGAAAGATTTTGTATGTGCCGGAAAGGATTGCACGTACCTCTGCGGCAGAAATCTGTATATGCCAGACAAAACGATTAGGGCCAGTTGGTCTGGGACAACGTCCCGTGTTATGTCGTATGAGTAGCTGAGTATCGTGATGTACGCAGGCTGGACACGGAAGGGAACAGGACAGGGATCATGAAACAGGATTTGTATTTGCACAAAGGGAACAACGGGTCTTTGCAACCCGGTACTTCACAAAAGGTGACATCTTTTCCGAATTTTGGACTTGGCCGCATCGTGGTGCCCGGTGATCCGCCCGCCGGCGGCTCTCATTTGCTGTACGTGCCTGACGCGGCAGACTAAATTATATGTACAAAGTCTATTCCTCCGCCTCTCCAGCCTGGTAAGCCTCGGGATCTTCGGGGGATCTCGCCTGTGGCAGTGTTAGCAATGCGAGTGCAAGAACCAAAAGAGATTGGTTGAGCAGTACTCACCCTCATCGCACCGGGTCCGCCCAGCTCCCGCTCCAGTCCGCCCTCAAACTCGCGAGGATACGAGACCTTGTCGGGGTAGACCTGGCCGACGAGCCAGCAGACGCCCAGGAAGGTGAGCACGAAGGCGCCGACCTGGAGGGCGCCCTTGGCGGGCGAGACCCAGGTGTACTCGTGGGGGGAGAACAATCCGAGCACGTCGTGGTCCTCGTGGACGGGCTCGCCGTAGTTGCGGCGCTCCTGCTTGTCCCACCAGTCGGCGTGGGGGTCGCGGAACTGCCTCTTGACGCGGGGCGGGTTGATGTAGCCACCGCTCTGTTGGAGAAATAGCAACGTCAGATCAGAGTCCATTCCGGCCGTCATGTCGGTCCTCGCGCCCGGGGGAGCGCCGGGCAGCGGCACGGGGACGGGCACGGGGACGGGCACGGGGCAAAACCCACCTGGTTGGGATCCTCGGCCTCGGTCAGCTTGGGCGGGTCGGGGTACCTCTCCTCGTAGACGGCCTTGTCGTTGAGCGAGTTGGGGATGAAGGTCCGGCGCTGGACGACGGGGAGGATGCGGCGCGAGGGCAATGTTCGCAGGGCCGAGGCCTGCGCAATTCGACGGGGAAGCATCTGGAGGACGACGGGTCAGTTTGTTCGCGTCCTGGGGGTGTTGATGGAGCGGCGGTGGTCCCAATTGGCACGTACCGTGGCGGGTTGGGGGGCCTCGATGCCTGTCGAATGTTGCGTTAGTGGTGTCGAAGGTGGTGATAGCTTGAGGTCATTTGCATGAAGCTGGGTCGTGAGTGGCTGAGCTCGGACCATGCCGCTGCACCGAAACCACGGAAAGAGGTCACCGAAGTCACGTGCACTGGCTGCGCTGGTGAAGCTGGCGCCCCCCTCAAGCCCCCAGGCCCCTACCTAGCCAAGGGCGGAAAGCGTGTTGGCGTGGGAAGGGGAAGGGCGGGCTAGTGGCAGGCGGAAGCGACCTATGACACGACATGGCAGCATGACATTGGATGTTTTGGGGGCCGTCCCCAATGGGAATAGGGGAAAATATCCATGGACGCAGTACCTGGGTACCTACGGAGTAGGTAGGCAGTTTTGCTTAGCGGGGGCCTCGCCCCCAGGGGAGGCAAGGTTGGCGTACCACTGTACTGCTGTAATAAGTTACTGCTGTACCTAGGTACAGTGGGATTTGCTGCCTGAAGGGAAACGCGACCCCCCCCCCCCCTGTGCACGGTAGTAGGCTGAGCTGGCAACTGGCAAACTGGCGGATGCGTGGCTCGCGGGCGTCGAAATTTTTGAATCATCGCATCCAACGTTCCTATGCTGGCAAACCGCTTTTCGACGGCCTTTTCCATCACCACCATCCACACAGAGCTCTGAGCATGGTCAGACTTTGCACGTCTACTCCCCCCGCCCTCCCCCATCCGTAGACCTGCTTTTCGCCTCCTCAAATGCAAGAATCGTCGAGATCACGCCCGAACACTGCCTGCCCCCACCCCGGACAGCTATGACGGGCACCGCGTCGGCCGAAGCTGCACCTGCACACGACAACCCCGATCCCGTCCTCGCGACCACCACCGCGGCCCAGTCCAGCCCGGGTGCCCTCGTCGCCCATGGCAAGCCGCTTCTGGATCCCCTGGACACCGCCGGCCTCGCCAAGCCCGGCCTCGCCTCCGACAGCGACTCGGATCTGACCCCCATCAGATCCGACGAAGATGATCCCATCGACGACCCCTTCCTCCACGACGCGTCCACCCGCCAGGATGCCTCGGACGCCGACCCGGACAGCCTCGACGACCGGCCCGCCAAGCGCCCGCGACTGTCCACGCCGCCTCCGAACGGCTCGCAGCTGAGGAAGCCCAAGCCCATCTCGCCGCCCTGGAAGAAGTTCGAGGCAGACCGCCCGACCACCTTCACCGAGGATGGCAAGCGCAGGTCGGGACGCACCAACGCGACCACCACCCCGCAGTCCGAACAGTCTCCACGGTCCAGGCGTCCGACCCGAGCTGCGTTGCACGAGGCCAAGAGCACCCCGTCGAGCAAGGCCAACCAGGTCAACGGCTACCCGAGGACCTCGTCTTCCTCCACCAAGGCGCAATCCTCTGCCTCCAAAGCTGTCGCCGGCAAGAGGATTTCGACTCCAAGCGCCAAAGCAGCGGCCAAGACATCCAGCCGCAGGCGACCCTCGATATCTCCACCGCCCCCTACTGCGCCGACGCGAGCCTCTGCCAGGCAGCGGAGCACCCGCAACCTGCGCGACAGCTACGAATCCTCTCAGAATCGCGCCCTCGCCACACCCGAGAGCCCTCGATCGACGCGGATCCGACTGCGCGTGCGCCCTTCCACCATCCCTCTCGTCCATCCCGCCCAGGTCAATGTGCTTCCTGGCCAGACCGTCCCTCGGCCCAAGATCGGCGAGACCTTCACAGACTATATCCAGCGAGCGCCTGACATTGACATCAAGGACGGCGGCTGGCAAGATCTGCTCGACGATGGCCCTGCATACACCGACGAGCAAGCTGAGAAGGACGCCAGGATCCTGCTGAGAGTCGAGGAAGAGTCGCAACCTGGGGGCATGCTCAGTGGCGAGAAGTGCGCCCTGCTCGTACCAGATCCTGCCGACGAACCCGCGCGGCAATGGGCCCACTACGACCACCTGGTCAAGGCCATGAGCAACTTCCGGAAGCTGATGTACCAGGAGCACCAACGACATAGAGCCTCGGCCAAGAGGTTGGCCGAAGCCTGTCGCGACGAATGGCTCCGCCGACAACCCAAGACCGCCGAGCAGATCGAGGCCGAGGAGAGAGTCATCTGGATAGGGAGGTACAAGACGGTGATGAAAGCCTTTACTGGCACGTGGGAAAACGTCAGAACCGAGATCAACCGCCGTCGCTTCGAGGAATGGGAAGCCGCCGAGCAGAGAAGAATCAAGACGGCGCTGAATGAGGCTGTGAGCAAATCGGAACTTCAGCTTCAGGCCCGACGTGCTCGTTTCGACTCCGAGACCCTCTTGTCCGATGAGGACGAGGACGAGGACGAGGACGATGACCAAGATCTCGAGGATGATCTATCAGAAGAGGAGGATATTGACGAGCTCGGCGATGGTGATGCACGTACGAGCCATCATTCTGGGTCCGAAGATGATAACCATGGGCATGAGGACGATGACGAAGACAACATGTCTTCATCCGACGACGAAGAGGATGCCAAGTCCGTTGCCTCCGATGCAGGGTTGACACAGGAACAGTTGCGACAGAAGTACGCGAATATCCCCAACCTGCCTACCCCCAATGTGGTACCTGTCGATGCCGAGGTCGACGGCGAAGCATCCGTACGCCCTACCGAGGACGACGAGACCAGTGATGAGTCTGTTGACATGGACGATGACTTGGGGTCGAGTGATGACGACATGGACAGCGGTGAGGATGAGGACGGTTCCGAAGACGCGAGCGCGGACGAGGATGAGGGTGAAGAGGAGCCATCCGGTTTGCTGGGCATGCTCTTCGGCAAGAGTGAGTTGAAAAAGATAAAGCAAGATGTTGTAGTGGGGGATGCCAAGAGCGAGGTGAACGATACTGAGATGGCGGATGCACCGCCGCTAACCAATGGTCACACCCCGCAACTTTCGACACACACCGGTATAAATCAAGGTGAAGAAGAGCACGGCCAAACTATCCATCAGTCAGAAGTTTCAGAGGACAAAGCCGAGGTCAACGGGCATGAGGAACGACTGCCGCAGGCGTCAACCGAAGATGGCACACCTCATGATGTTGGCCAGGTCGACCCGCCGACGGACCCCTATCAAGCCAACAAGCCCGATGCGGTCGCTACAATACCCAAGCCTCTGCAACCGGAGACAGTTGGCATGGAAGTTATCGACGCGGTCGAGAACCTACAAGAGCCCAGAAATGGCGATGTCGCGATGGCCAATGGTGACGCCGACACCGAAAATGCGACCTTGGCTGTCCCTAGTGTCGAGCTCACGGCTCCTCAGATTGCAACCAATGCCAGCCCAGCAACCGACGGGGTCACCCAGTCCGCCAGCCGCGATGAGAGCGAATCCCCTCGGACCTCGGACACGAGGCCATCAGAAGTTGAGACATCTTCATCAGTCGTCAGGTCTGGCGCCAGTCGCTCATCATCTCCTTCAACACATGGACCAAAGACAGAGGTACCCTTTCTTCTGCGAGGCACGCTGCGTGAATACCAGCATTACGGTCTAGATTGGCTCGCTGGTCTCTACCAGAACAACACCAATGGCATTCTTGCAGATGAGATGGGTCTGGGGAAAACAATCCAGACCATTTCGCTACTTGCACACCTCGCTTGCCACCATGAGGTCTGGGGTCCCCACCTTGTCATCGTCCCGACTAGCGTCATGCTCAACTGGGAGATGGAGTTCAAGAAGTGGTGTCCTGGCTTCAAAGTGCTCTCCTACTACGGCAGTATCGAGGAACGCAAGAGGAAGCGTCAGGGATGGAAGACCGATGACATGTGGAACGTTTGCATTACATCTTACCAGATCGTTCTCCAAGACAACCAGGTCTTCAAGCGTCGGCAGTGGCATTACATGATCCTCGACGAAGCGCACAACATCAAGAATTTCAAGTCGAAAAGATGGCAGACACTGCTCGGTTTTAATACCCGCGCTCGGCTACTCCTAACTGGAACGCCTCTGCAGAACAACCTTACCGAGTTGTGGTCATTGCTGTTCTTCTTGATGCCTTCAGAGAACGGTGTGGGCGGGTTTGCGGACTTGGCTGAGTTCCAGGACTGGTTCCACAAGCCCGAGTCTCAGATCTTGGAGAGTGGCCGCGAACAGATGGATGACGAAGCACGAGCCATCATCTCAAAGCTCCACAAGGTGCTGCGACCATACCTGCTGCGCCGTCTCAAGGCGGACGTCGAAAAGCAGATGCCCGCCAAATACGAGCATGTGGAATTCTGTCGTCTATCTCGCCGCCAGCGCGAGTTGTACGATGGGTTCCTAGCTCGTACGGATACTCGAGAAGCACTCGCCTCTGGTAACTACATATCCGTCATCAACTGTCTGATGCAGCTCCGGAAGGTCTGCAACCACCCCGACCTGTTCGTGGAGCGCCCCATCATGACATCCTTCCGCCAGCGCAGTTCAGTTGTGGAAGAGTATGCGCCCATAAGCCACCTGTTCCGACATAGGCTCCTCGCAGATGCTGGCATAGCGCCCTCGGTGGGAGTGTTGCCTATCGATCCCATGAGTGCTGTCAGCTTAGATTTCCTCAACCTGGTACCTACCCTGCATGAGGATCTCTCAGCCACCGACTGCAGGCGTGTCATGGAGTTGACTTCCCACAACACACTCATGAAGCTTCGCGAGACTCAAAAGGAACGTGCCCACACAGCATCAACCAGCTTGGACCCTTCCACAGCCGAGTCCAATCTTGTTTATCTCGAAAGTGCTGCACGGTGGGGCCGTTTCGAGGAATTACAGCATTCGGTTTACTTGAACGCGCTTCGTCGACAACAGCAACCGATATATGGGAAGCGCCTTCGAGAGTTTCTGACCATTGGTGTGAATGAACGGCCGCACAAGCCACGACCACGGGTCCCGGCAAGAGTCATGGCCTGGTTCGAGGAGGATTCGACCGCTCTGAAATCGATGGTTTTAGACCTTGATCAGCGTGCCGAGTCGATGAAGTCTACCATCTCCAAGTTTGCCTGCATTACGCCTGCAGTCATCACCAGGGACATCGATCAGTTCGTGCTGGGCTCTAAAGGCGTTGCTGCGTTCAGCGAATCCGATCTACGGCTCTCGGCACCTGTCAGATACTCTCCATTTATGCCGAAGGAGGCACCACTAGACCCTTGGCACGAAGCTCGCATGCGGCTCAGCATTCAGTTCCCCGATAAGCGCCTTCTACAATATGACTGCGGCAAGCTTCAGGCTCTTGACCGGCTACTGCGCAAACTACAAACAGGAGGTCACCGCGCCTTGATCTTTACACAGATGACCAAGGTCCTTGATATCCTTGAGCAGTTCCTCAACATTCATGGCCACAAGTACCTCCGCCTTGATGGTGCGACCAAGGTCGAGCAGCGACAGATTCTGACCGATCGTTTCAACAATGACCCTCGCATTCTATGTTTCATCCTCTCAACCAGATCCGGTGGACTTGGTATCAATTTGACGGGAGCAGACACCGTCATCTTCTACGACCAGGACTGGAACCCCGCCATGGACAAGCAGTGTCAAGATCGATGCCACCGCATCGGCCAGACGAGAGACGTGCATATCTACCGTCTCGTGTCGGAACATACAATCGAGGCGAACATCCTGCGCAAGGCTAGTCAGAAGCAGATGCTCGATGACGTTGTCATTCAAGAAGGCGGCTTCACCACAGATTACTTCAACAAGCTGTCAGTTCACGATGTCATGAAGGGCGTTGGCGAAGACGCGGTTGAGGATGTGGTCGGCGATGCGATGGACCGCGTTCTCGGCACTGCTGAGACGGGCGGCGAACGGGCCGTTGGTCGTGTCCTTGAGCAAGCAGAGGACCGAGAGGATGTCGCCGCTGCTCACGTTGCCGAAAAGGAAATCCAGGACGATGATGCCGACTTCAACGAGAATGCGCCGACTGCATCAGCCTCCGGAACGTCGAGCGCCAGGCAAGGCACACCACTGACTAGGGATGTCTCCGCTGCGCCCGGGAGGTCCAACCTGGGCCTGTTCGAGCAGTCAGCTGGCGCTGTCGAGATCGAACACAACGCTTGGGGAGAGCAAATCCATACTGTCGACGACTTCATGCTGGGTACGATGGCTCAGATGCTGGAGGGCACTGTACTCGAGTTGCCCAAGGACAAGAAGAAGGGGAAGAATCACAAGAAAGGCAAGGATCACAGGAAGCGATAGGGCCGCTGTTGACCTGGATCGAACACAAACACACAAAGACTGTATTATAGGTGAGCGGAGCCATGACTCGTCGCTACACTGTTGCATTAAAGGAGCGAGTTTCATTGGAAGTGGTCAGAAAGGTCTATTTTCTCCAATGGAACTGTACATAATACCGACGGGCATGGGAGAAAAGGAGGTCTTGACATCAGGACTACATGGCGTTGCATTGGTTCATCGGCGAATGGCAGCAAAAGACTGGATGGCAGTCTAAAAGGAGTGTAGGACTAGAATACAGGTCATGAGAACATGAGAGGCCGTTTGGCTCCACCAATTGACATAATCTCCCATCCCTTTTCCCACTCGCCTGCCGACACTGACTGACTCGTTCTGTTCCCTTTGTGGACGTGCGTCAGGCTCGTCGAATCGGCAGCTTGGTTCCCCGTGGTCAGTCAATCCGAAGAAGACAACACCATCCAAGGATCCGTGGATGCCTCTGCTAGACCCCTTTTCCCTGCCCGAGACCAGTTCCCCACAAAGTCTGTCTCCGCAACCCTCAGTGCCCCTCACTACCATCGCTGTGGGACTGCGGGGCCGTTTGCAGCGGCAGCCCAGATGTCGCGGTTGAAAATCAACATCCGATTCGCAAGAAGCAGAGACGAGGGTACGTACGCGACGCTTTCTCCACGGTTCGCTGTGAACCGCGATCGCACTAGAGGACGTCATACGATCCGGTCTGAGCCAAGCATTTCGCACCTTCGCTCTCTCGACCAAAGCCAAAGGGAACTGCTCGGCGGCCGAGGACGGTTTGTGCAGGCTTGACATTGTCCCGAGTGCCCCTCATATATGTGCGTGTTGTGGGGGAAGGACGACTGCGATACCGCGGGGTACTTTGGGACGTTCCGGAATTCCCGCCAGGAGACTAATAAGCTTGCGCTAGGAGTAAAGGGTATACTCCAGCTCATTGAGTCTAAGCAGCCAAGCCGCTCTGAGATAATTCGATACCCTACCTCAACCGGTAGACACATTCCCAGCCGCGGGTCTCCCACTTCCTCTGACCCTACGGTTTCTTTTTCATACTTGCGTCTCACAGGGCACATACAAGCATGGCGAATCTTGATACAGGGGCACAGGTTGCGCAGGCCGAAACCTTCCGCCAATATCTTCCAGACCTCAGCACCCCACGCTTCCAACGCATAGCTGAATGCGATGCCTACAGCCATGCCGCCGAGGCTCTGGTACACAAGCGGCCACCGTGGCTGTACGGACTCTTGCAGCACTGGATGAGCTTGCTGAAGGAGCCGTACCGGGGCGTCACAAACGACGGCACTGTGCGCCACGGCCTGTTCAAGCTACGGGACGAGGGCATTCCAATCGCCGCCATCGCCGCCGCAGCCGACGCCGTCATCGCCAAGCTCGGCCCGGAGCAACGCAAAAAGACCCTCCTTCACGTCGACAACCTCGAAGGCTGGCGGACATGGAGCAACCCGGAATTCTTGATCTCGGACAAGGGCGTGCGCTTGGACGAGCTATCTGAAGATCTGCGGAACGCGGTGCTCAAGGTGCTGGAGGCGAGTCTCAGTGCCGAGGGTTACCAAAAGGCCCTTGGTGCTATGCGGGTGAATCATTTCCTCGGCGAGCTTGTAAATGCACACAAGGTCATGAACGAGTTCAGCTACAACTTTGTCCTGTTCGGCCTGCCATCCACAGACGCGCCCTGGGGCTACAGCTTCTACGGTCACCACCTGTGTCTCTCGGTGTTCTTCTACGGGCCCCAGATCGTGGTCAGCCCGTGGTTCACCGGCGCAGAGCCGAACATCATTGACGAGGGTCCGTACAAGGGCACGCGGATCCTGTACGAGGAGGACCGGCTCGGGCTCCAGCTGATGCAGAGCCTGAGCCAGGAGGACAAGGACAAGGCGCAGACGTACAAGAACATGAAGGACGACAAGATGCCCAAGGGCCGCTGGAACCACGACGATCAGCGTCACCTGCTCGGCGCCTACCGCGACAACCGGACCGTTCCGTACGAGGGCATCGTCGTCTCGTCGCTCTCCGAGGCGCAGCAGGCCCTGGTCCTGGGCGTGCTGGAGCAGTACCTCCTGTACCTCCCCGCGCGGTCGCGCGCGCTCAAGCTGCAGGACTGCCGGGACTGGCTCCACGAGACGTACTTCTCGTGGATCGGCGGCTACGGCGACGCCGACGCCTTCTACTTCCGCATCCAGAGCCCCGTCGTCATCGTCGAGTTCGACCACCACTCGGGCGTCTTCCTGACCAACACCGAGCCCAAGCGCTTCCACATCCACACCTTGTTGCGCACCCCCCACCGCGGCGACTACGGCATGGCGCTGAGGGAGCTCAGGCGGCCCGCTTTTGAGGGCGAGGTCAACCAGGACTATGTGTGGGAGGGCTAGGAGGTCTTCGTCTGTAGTATGTTATGTTTGCTTACACAGCGGAGTCGTGGGAGGTTATGTGTCAACTTGGTGAAGCGAAAAGGGGCGCAACTATCTGTCTTTTAGCACTACCTGTCCAGGATGGTCTCCAGGATAGTTCATGTTGCGGTAGAGATGTTCGTAAAATGTATCTACGGAAAATGTCATCAGTCTTTCAGAAAAATCCCACCCCTCGTCCACGTTCCCGTGTATGGTCATTCGTCTCTATCCAAAAACTTTGACCATCCCCATGTGCGGCATCTTTTGAAATCTGGTGGATTTCGATTCGGTAGAAGTGTCGCGTGTATGCTCTATGGCCGGATGGCACAATGTCTTGGAGAAATGAAGCCGTGGGCCTGTTTCTCCCTTGCGCTGGTGATGATCGGGACTGGAGTCGCGTTGACCTTCTGAGTACAATGGCGGTCTGTCGGCCTCGCGCTGCGACTAGGATTGTCAAGTCCTAGCTATCAGCTGCGTCTTGCCTATACTGTTAGTCAGGAACTAGCGCGTAAATTGTATCCTGAACCCAAACGCTGTATAGTCGTTAAGTCATTCGGTTGGTCCGTGGCGCATCCAGCCATCTGGGTGCGTTCGCTCATTGGCCAAAGTCCGCTAAGGGCTCCCGGGTGATTCAGAGCCCGACAGAGCCCGACAGTGCTGACCCCGGCTTGAACTTTCTATGGCTGTGAGCCTTGTGTGTAGGCGAGTCAGTAATGAATAACTGTGATTCTTGGTGGCCGTGACTTAGATGGCATTGTAATCACGGGTCCTTCGTGTCTTTGTGAATCACCGCCACCTATTCGACATTTGCCAACCGACACGACCTGGCCCGGAACTCGGAGCATGGCAGGATCGGAGATGCCAGACCTTGTCAACAGTTGGTTATAATTCCTCAGCCCTACATTCCCATCATTGCTCACTTTGTCGCTACGGCATCGTTACATGCACCCCCCATCGGCGACAGTCCTGCCCGTTCGCCACGTCGTCTTTCAAACATGGCTGCCGCATGTGCTGGATCCTCGAGAGAGAGCAAGACTCAAAGGTTATTCGACTCTATGAGAAGCACAGTAAGTTCTCCCTTCCTTGAGTAGACCAATGCCCAGCTGACACATACATAGGCAGTACGTGAAGCTATCCTATGGTGATGTTAGTGTCACACACCTGGGCCAGTCAGGAGAGTGCTGCTACCTACTCTACTCAAGGTGATGAAGTTTCCCTCCTTAAAACCTTTTCTATAAATACTGACGCACCAGCAATGGTCATCAGTACACAGTCGATACCCTGCCCGACTACAAATTCCCGCCCCCGATGGGCACAAGAAATCCAAAGATGAACGTGGAAAAGTCAAGGCACAACGAGCGAGCCTACACCCTGTCCAATCTTCCTGTTTTATAATACATCAGCACAGCCCAGCCACTCCTTGGCTGTTGCTAGCTACTTCAGGCGGATCCACGTTGCCCTCTTGGCAAATCCGACAGTTATATGGCTCGATATCCTACTGACTGGTCACTTCCTCAACATCAACCAAGCAGTCGTTGAGAGACGTGCTGTAAACGGAAGTTCTCCATTCGATCACTCTTCACACTGGTTCAAGTAGCACAAGCAAGAGCCGGATGGTATCTCCGTCCGTGCGATCAATAACCAGGCTCTTGCGGCTGTGGAGGCTGCGTCGAAAAGGGGTCGCGTATGGCTTGCCGCTATGCATCTACCCCATGATCCGGGGCCCAGATGTCTGGTGAAGTACTCTGGCCCGAGATTGATCAAGTCATATCACGTGGCCATTCCATCGATCCCATCAAGTTTGTTCCGGAGGCGCAGTAACTGCTGTAAGTCACCAGCCTCTCCTCTTCGAAAGCTCACGGTATCAACCTGACGAAGTGTTTTTGTTTCCATAGGTTTTTATCAAAGAAGCACCGCATGTTATCAGACCAGTGCGGGTGTGTCTGCCTCGCGCTGTACCTGAAAGTAATCTTGGAATAGGTTATGAAACCTTCCGGGCCGGACAACCGCATCCGTGAGACCCTAGGTTCATCATGGCAAGGAATTTGGGGCTCGGATACCCAGGGTTTTAGTCTATATCAGTACTACGAAGATATGAATCAGCCAGGAGGAGGTATCGGATCTCCATGAGTTTCCCAGGACCTATCTTGCATAGAACGGATGCTGACTCTCATGTAGCTCGGCGCCGGGTGCAACTCCTGACCTAGATCGATCTTTCAAAGATGCCGGCAGCCACCATTCGCGACTACGATATCAGCCATGTCAGTGAGAGTCGAAATTGGCAGTGCAAAGCTGATTTGCAGTAGTGCCCCATTCGTGATCAGTCTACACCTCGAAAAGGTATAATTACACTAGACAGCCAAACCGGCATGGTCCATATCTCAAACACGGTCATACTCCATGACCATTACTCAGCGTACAAGCCATCAGATGCCCAGGCCCTTCGATGAACAGGGGTCCGGAGGATACCCTGGCCCCAGACCAATCAGCGGAGAGATTTAGCTGCGTCGCATGCATATATAGACACTGCAGTGAAACCTTTACTGCACCTTCGTAAATCAATCTTGTAGAGGCCATCCACGTTGATGAAAGGTCGCTTTACCCAATCGAGCTGGAAGATACGACGCAGCCGCCACCTGAACACTGAATAGAGCTCTGAATATTATTAAGGTCCAGGAAGGATGATGTTTTGCAAAAGTTTTGTGCCTGGTATGTTGTGCGAATTCAAGTCTCCATAGTCTCTTGTAACTTCTCTGTCGCCTGTGACGGTTCCGCAAGATCGGAGAACCGATGGTGCTTTCCACAATGAGCAGCAATGCTCGTGCTGCATACTTGCTTACACTCATAGCAATGGGTCAAGCGATGTTTTATTATCCCAACCCACAGGTCTCCCTTCTAGAACACATACTAGTAGATAATTGGGGAGCTTATGCATCAAACTTCTCCTCCGCCATCACGCCATGCACCAATTATGTTACTATGGTCGGCCAGTCGTCCACAAACTCCGGACGAACGACAGCTGCCCAATGGATGCGTGTCGCTTTTCATGACTTCATCACGGCCGATGTCAAGTCTGGTACAGGCGGCATTGATGCCTCCATTGGCTTCGAAACATCTCGGGAGGAAAACAAAGGGAGTGCTTTCAATGACAGCTTCACATTTTGGCGTCCTTTTGTCAACGAATATGTTCCTAGTAGGTGAACGCCGACTTTGCAAATCACTCTACTGATATGACCCAGTGGCCGACCTCGTAGCACTCGGAACTGTGATGTCTGTCGGCCTTTGTGGGGGAAATCACATTCCTTATCGACCAGGCCGAATCGACTCGACGCATGCCGACCCAACCACCGGAGTTCCTGAGCCGGGGACAGATTTGAAGGAGACACTTTCACAGTTCGAACGAGCTGGATTCGACCAGGCGGACTCGATTGCTTTGACAGCCTGTGGACACACGATGGGCTCGGTTCACCACGGAGGGTTCCCTGAGGTTTCACCAGAGTCGGCCGTTACACCTAACAACACGAACGGAGGGGTCAACTTTGATACAACTCGAGGATCTTTCGACTCCCTTGTAGTCCACGAATACATCGACGGCACTGGTCAAATGGGCGGTCCCTTGGTGACGAGTTTCAACGAATCATCCCGGTCCGATCTCAGACTTTTCGAAAGTGACGGCAACAGTACAATGAGAGATCTCTACGAAAGAGGGGAAAGATTTTAAGATGTCTGTGCAGATGTCATGGGCCGCATGATCAACACGGTACCAGCGGCCGCGAAGCTGACAACCCCCATCACCCCTATCGCCCTCAAGCCCATCAACTTCACCTGGGACTTCGATTCAAACGACAGACTCATCTTGTCTGGCAAAATAAGGGTACGTGTTTCCGCAACCACCACTATGTGGCTGACCATCATCTGTACTAGGTCCTTGGGGCGATTCGCACCATACCACCTCCCCTCAACATCGAGCTGGGCGGCCAGACCATACGAATCATGCCCGAGAGAGAGGAAGGTACCACGGTCTACGGCAGTACAGGAATTAGAGGCGGGAGGGTACAGGGCGTCACGAGATACTACGCAATATCGATACCGGGAAGAGACGTCACTAATATTACCTCTTTCGCCGTTTCAGCCGACGGGTTCGACAGGCATACATTCCCAATCTCTAATGGCCCTTTCATTGTGCCAAGCTTGTCAACCTCGGATGGAGACACTGTGCGTTTCTCGGTGGCTGTTCCGCAGGGACACAGTCAAGCTTTTCCCGAAGGACTGGTCGTCAGTATCACAGCCCCGGTTCCCCAACCTCTGACCCTCGGCCCAAAACTCGTGACGGGGACAGGGGAGTGGTCGTCAGAAACTACCAGCCAAGATGGATTCACAGTATACACAGGGACCTACAGAGTGGGCCAGAGAGTGACTGGGGCAATCAGCCTGACACTGTTGAATGAGAATCAGGTGCAAGATACGCTGCTGGTCGGCGCTGGTATTGCGGGATGGTAGATGCACCACGTACATCATGGCAGGGGCTTCGTAGTTCCTGGACAACAAGACAACGACCACTTCTACTAGGCCGGCGATCTCAAGAGGATTGCTCTGGTAGATAGCACGCCAGAATAGCTGCGACGCGCATCCCTATGCTTCTCAGCTTGCAAGGGTTGTACTAGAAATCCTTAGAGGTTGCGGTGTAATTCCTGACCACAGTTTTCTCAGCAACCATGTCCCTATGAAGGTCTCGTCCAGTTGGTCCACAGATTGGGAGGGCTGCTTAACCCAGCTAGTGATATGTGACATTGAAAAACTGCCCTGCGGCTGTCTCAAATCCTCCCGCATCTTCATTGCCCTAAAGATTCGACTTAGCAAGCGCGATGTGCCGGAAGCCGCGTCCAGCCCTACATATTTACTCATCTCATATCAGTCGATACTGCATAGCAACGTCTATGGCCGATGGTCAGGGCTGGTTCATGTCCATAGATTGCCAATATATACTTCGTCGTCAACTGGCCCCGCGTTCCCCATGCCAGATCCGCATTTTTACGGAGAAGCGTCAGATCCGCATTACCGGGTCCGCGGGTCGTCGCGCTGCCCCGCAACTTCGGGTCTTCAAGCCTACGCCGGGCACCTAAGCAATCTATAGTTACCGTTACCTGCCAGCTTCGTCAGGCTGCAAAACTGAGATCGTGGGTCTGTAGTGAACCTTGCAAGACAACCTCATACGGCTATATACGACTGAAGGCGACACGCTCAAGATCAAGCAAGTTCGTTGGTTCCGCAAGCATAAAAGGACATCCGGCTCGTCCTCATTCCAGTCTGCATTGAAGCTTATCACCGCAAAAACAATGTCAGAGAGCATCAGACACGCCAAATCCTGTGTTGTAAGCCTACTTATCCCATCTCTTCTAGTCGCACCGAACGGTGTCTTTTGGGGGGATCAAAACCTGATGCACAAGAATAACAGCAGGCTATTTATTATTTAGAAACTGGCCTGAACATCTTCTGCGTTATCGGATCGTAATCGCGCGGAATCACGGGCGGAAGGCACGGCTATTCAGTCTCGATCAAAACATTCACTTGGCCAAACCCGTACCCGTGCCAACAGGCTCTCTTCACTCACATTTAAAACGCGTCCACCAGAAACTGCACACTTCCGAACTCAATTGTGTCAAAGTGAGTCGCCGCGGGGTAATTTCTTGCGCAGTACGGATTGCCGTATCTCCATCAACATCATCAAAGCCTAACCCTCCAGGAGACCCAGACGATTCCCATCATCACTCCGTTCCAGTCCTCTCACTACTGCTACTATCTGATCTCGAACTCGGAAAACATCATCATCCGGGGCGTGGATCAGAACTCGATCTCTCTCACCTGACAACCCCGAACTCCGACGGTCGCGACCTTTGCGACACAGCCTCTTCCGTAATTTCACACATTGCCTTTTTTCATGTCACGTTGACTGGCCTTCTCCCCAGCAAACAGGGCCAACGGTCAGAAACGCTCATCTTGGTGCTCCTCAAGATAAGATCATTCCTAGTGAGTCTGCCTTCATATTCGATCCCAAGATACATCAGATAGCTTGTGCGACCCCCCCCCCCCCCCCCCCCTTCCTTTCTCCCTCCGGGGGCTTCTTACAAGAACAATAAGTACGTACTTGCTCACACAACGTCCAAGAAACATTCCATGTTTGGGCCTGTTTAGGCACTTCGAAGTCACGTTTTGTTGTCTTAGAAATCGTGGTTTGACTGCTCGGAGCTGAATCACCGATACATGATCGCTCGCATCAACCTCCGGCTTGAAGATACGGTTGAGAAGTACAACTTAAGGATTGGTGATGTAGTAGAGAAAGTCGGCTAATTTGCTACCAGATACGTCTGCGATCACTCTCGCGTTGGTACATAAACAACAAAAGTGCTTTGCGGATCACCAAGTTTCTACAGACTACCCATTCTTGAGCCTTGTAAGTTTTTCTGAGGTCAGATAAAGATTTAGTAAACATATGGGTTGATGACTCATCTTACAGCATGATCTTTCTTCAGTAAAGCATCAGCTTACAACTACTTCACGATGGTTGACATCAAGGCTGAGGACGACCAAAAGCCGAACGGCGGTCTCCATCATGGTCTAGCTCAACAAGGAGTCACTGGTCACAAACCTAGCGAGATTGCTGCTAATGACTCTGGCAAGAGAGGCAGAGAGCCGAAAGATGCCAACGACGATGAGATGGCCATGGCCAGCACCAAGATTGGCGATTCCAGCGAGCCTAAACGTCAGAAGCTGGGAACCACACAGAAACACGTCGACAACCCGGAGAACCTGGCCGAGAATGCGGCTGGCCCGGTTCATGATCTATCTAACAATTCGCAGAAGACAAATGCAATTGACACAATCTTCGTCTTACCTGGAAATGAGGTCAGATTCTTCTGTGACATGTAAGTAAACCCTCCTTGTTGAGAGTCATGTCGCCGGACTTATAACCGTTTTTCTTAGTGTTGCCATCAACGCTGCAAAGCTTGCCGTTAAAAGCAAGCGACTTATGATGATACCATCCGAAGATGAGATCGAGGTTGCCAAGCGATTCCGTGATCTTCGTGCTCACTTGGCGTACATGGGTACCAACCTTGACATGACACCAAAGATCAGAGACCGAGGAAAAGTTAAGAAGACGCTTGACAATATCCTAAACGAGACGCTGTACTACTTCCCCGAGGATGTGAAGGCAAAGGCACGAGCCCTGCGGGAGAACTGGGAGAGGGAGAACTGGGGAGCGGACGAGGCCCTCGATGAGGAGCAGCAGCCAGCATCTCCGACCACGGCCCCTGACGACGAGGCGACGACCCAGGTGGCCTTGCCGGCCTCGAACGACCCGACATTCGGCGTCAATGGCATCATGTACGGCGTTCTGGTTGTTCGAGGCAAGGGCGGCCGCAAGGTCTACCAGCTTAACCCTGAAGTTCCCCGAGCGTCCGCTCAAGTTTTCGGACAAAATGGACTCACCGTTGGAGCGTGGTTCCCTCTGCAAGTAAGTCTCGATCGCTCCCGTTCTTTGCGCCTAAATTCGTCTCGAAATCGGTTCTTCGTTCCCTACTTTTCAATTCTTGTCGTGGCCACGTCGCTTTCGTAACCATTCTATCTCAATGAAGCCTCGACGTTACTGTATCTTTGGTTTTTCTACGTACTAACACCCTTTTCTTCGAAGATCTTGGCCCTGCGCAATGGCGCGCATGGCTCTCAGATGGGTGGAATTCACGGCAGTCTCTCGAAAGGAGCATATTCGGTTGTTGTCACTGACCTCTATCACGACCTTGATCGCGACGAGGGAGATATTCTCTACTATTCTGGATCGAACAGCCACGACAACGAGAATAGAGATCGACCGGCAGAGTCTAGCGCCGGCACCAAGGCCCTCAAGGCCTCGCTTGCTTCTGGCCGGCCTGTTCGTGTCCTCCGATCGGGAGGATCAACGTTGACCAAGACCAAGAGTTCCTTCGCGCCGTCATGTGGAATCCGCTACGACGGCTTGTACCGGGTCGTTCAGAAGCTCACACCCATCAACAAGAAGGGTAAACATCACTATTCCATTGTCGTTACGGAGCCCGCTAACCCGAAATAGGAGGAATGTACGAGCAGTTCAAGCTCATGAGACTTCCGGGCCAGCCTTCTCTGGCCGACATTCGCAAGCGCTCACCTACAAGACAGCAGATCGAGGCCTTGGAGGAGTTTCAGAAACGTGATTAGGAGGAGAAATGGCAGCAGTTAGATTTGTGCTGCATTGCGTTTTAGTGGTCGCAACAGTACATACGAGCGATCCTGTATGACGCGTTAAATACGGAATGAACTGAGACTCTTGACCTGACTTATTTTGCCTTTCTGTACGCTCCTGTACCGATCTATGTGACATTGACTTTACGAAGACCTTTACACACCATAATAACGAGTGTTCCTGGGTGGCGCATTGATAAGGGCGTATTGATAAACGCCTTTGCCGTTTTCAAATATTCTTTTGACCAGTTATGGTTTTCTCGACGCGCTTACCGCCACCAAATGCTCTGGGTTGCCATCAATGCTGATCAGTGGAGTTGGCTGCACGGTATGCTGGGAGGCCACGCTTGTCAAGGATAACGCAGAGTCGAAGCTCGGACACTCCAAGTTGCACGAGGGGAGATGTCGGCTCTTCGTAGAAATTATGAGAAATCAGCCAGTGATTGTTCCCACTAACGCGCAAGATTCGTGCGACAGTTATTCCCGGGTTTCTGGGTGGCATTGTCAATAGCTTACGTGCAAGGGCTTCCGGCGGAGGTACTGGCACGCTACGGGATTGACACTCGAATTGCTTGACTGACTACCCCTGAACACGATCGCCACTTCGGGGTTTACCCCCGCCTAGGCTGCGTCGCGACACTTGGAACCCCCCGCATTCTCAACTTTTCCCCTCCGTGGACGTGTAAACAAGTGCCTGGATGCAATGCGAATTCGGCCGAAACATTAGGAATGTGGAGTATGAGACGAGTCTGTGCTTCGGATCTTGCTATCCTTGTCAGCCTCGAAAATGGATCCGTGGAAGTGGGTTCTCCATGAAGCCATGCGTTGCGTGCGGACTACCACCTTCGTGAGGGATCCCAACTGCGCCTAGGGCTGGGAGCGTTACCTCGCTCAGGGCCGTTACGACTCTGCGAGATCGAGTTGGCGAATTTTCAGAATATCCAGCGCCTCCTACTACGTAGGAATCAATCGCGCTCTTGGCAAAATCAGGGACCGATGGCGACAAACAGTCCTCAGCTGTCCATCCCTGTTATTCACCACTGCAACTCGAGACTTTGGAGCCTCGGCCTGGCATCCCCTCCGGCCTCTCAAGATGGGATGAGACTCTCGGCCGAGGGTGTGAGTGGAGCTGATTCTCGGAAAGCCGTGTGGGACTTGCCCAAAGGCATATCCCTACCCATCTTGGCCTCTCTGGCATTGGTCTGGAGAAAGGACGAGTTTCCTATTCCGACAGGTGTATGACAGGTACGTCTGTGCTTATACGCCCCGTTGATGTACCTAAGTGGAGGCTGGACCCTTCGCCAGGGTCCAAAGGCCTTACTCTGGGCCAACTGAAGTGACTCGATGGAGGAAGATGCATTGGCGGGCACCGTTTGAAGCCAAGTGGTGTGCAAGTGTTCTTAATCATGCCATTGCCAGTACAATGTGCTGATACCAATATTGCCCCCAGACGTCGAAGACATTCTCCCTTAGCACTACCAGACGCCTTTAATAGGTAACAAGTATCATAATACCGTTCTGTCCCGCACTTCACCTCGTCCTTGTCTTGGTCTTGTCCTGACGATTGCCGTCAACTGCATCCGTGCAAGCGATTGCCAGTTTGCCATCATGAAGTCCGACGTCTTAGAAGCGCTTGTTCTAATAGCATTAATCATCGGCCAAGCAGCTTCTCAAGCTGCAAGCCCGGCGGATTCGAACCTAACTGCCATAGTCGAGTATCTAGAAGCGTCAGTACCCAAGTGTGCCGTAGGTCTCAAACATGATATCAGAACACGCAAGGAACTTAATCGTCCATACAGTTCGACTGCTTCGTCTCCACCATACCAAAATCCAGTTGTGCTCTAACCGACACGGCATGCATCTGCAGCAATGCAGGTCTGGCAGAAGCTCTTGGTAGCTGTATGGTAGCTGCCAAGTGTACAGTCATAGAACAACTTCGTGAGTCAAAGTGTTCAGTCTTGATAACATCCTGGCCATGGGACTCAAGGGATAACAGAAACCCAACGATTCGAGAAAATTATGTGTGGAGCAGAAGTACACGATGACAGCAACCACATTTTGGCGACCACTTGGGCTTTGTACTCCACTGCCCTAATCTTCGTTGCTGCGCGGTTATGGGGACGCGCTCCTCACCTATCACGTAATGCTTGGGATGACTGGACTATAATCGCCTGCCTGGCAAGTCAGATGATCCTTGCGCAACGTGATGGCGTGCTGACGTATATATTACAGCTAGCTCTCACACCTGCCAGTGCAATTGCCCACTTGATGGTCAATTCAGGGCTGGGCCGTGATATATGGATGCTCGACCCCGACGATATCACCAACACTCTATTCTACTTCTTCATTGAAGAGTATCTTTACACATTCCTCGTGGTATTCACCAAGATCTCGATCTTATGTCTGTATATTCGCATATTCACGGTCGCGCGATTCCGATGGCTCTGCTATATCCTGGTTGGTATTGTCGTCGCCTTTGGCATCAGTTGCTGGGTTTCTACAGGCTTCAATTGCGTGCGTTCCCAATGTCAAGTCCTCTTACTATTCCGAAAACTGACTAACAATTTGATTGTAGATACCTATCACGTTCATGTGGCAGGGTTGGGATGGTGCACATGTTGGCACTTGCATGGATACAAGCAAACAAACCTTTGCTCTAGCGGGCGTCAATATGAGCCTTGATGTCCTTATTTTCCTGCTTCCTATTCCCCAACTGCTAGCACTCCAGATGAACTTTAGGCGAAAGCTTGGAGTGATACTCATGTTCGCGGTTGGCTTGTTGTAAGTCACGAAGTTGCTCCGCTCTTGACGATACACTACTTACATGAACTACTTTGAGTGTCACTTTGTGCTCCATCATTCGGCTGCGAACTATAATGGAATTCGGTAAGAGCACCAATCCGACGTACGAATACTCTGCTTTGGCCATCTGGTCTCTTGTCGAAATCGATGTCGGCGTTATCTGCGCGTCATTACCCGGTGTGGCTGGACTCCTTCAGAGGCTATGGCCTCGGGTGTTCTCGACGAAAGGCAGCTCCGATAGATCTTACCCGCGACCGGCTTCTGAAAACAGTGGGGGCTTGAACTCGTTCCGTGGACATCGCGGATTCTCCCGCATGAACGATCGCAAAAACATCTCTAAAACAACAAGCGTTACAATATCATATGCAGAACCAACCATGTACGATACGAAGAGTGACGAGCTTGAGCTTGTGGATCGGCAGGATAAGGCGGCCAAATCAACAGATCTTGAGATGGCGCTTGATCAGGACCTGGCTAGTCAGTACCAGCCTGGCTCAGAAACACGAAACTACAGAACGCAGTGGTAGGCTTTATAAGGCTAGACGGTCGGAGCCATGTACACTAGTAATTATGCAGAAGACTCTGTAAGCAGTACTGGGACTTTCTTCTTTATCGGACAGTTACGACATCACGACCACGATATCCTTCTCTTCGCGGCCCATAATAAAAGTACCGTGAACAGAGTTCAAGCTCTGCGATTTCACGAACGATTGGATTTTTTCACCAATATGCTAGACACGTGAGGATAATAGGTGTTGAATCTATTAAGGCGAAAGGCAGTAATGCAATAGTTGAGGTGATCAACTCTAACCCTCCTAACGATATCGGATCTCTATGTTTCTCTAACTCTATTGGGGGGTTGTGCCGACTTCAATACCTGTACAAGACAATACAAGGCTCGCGTGGGGCATCTCAAGCGCGGCCCAACTCCCAGGCGTCTGGATTGCGCATTCCCTCTAGATTGGCTCGTCGCGTGGCTCGATCAGTACCTCATTGACGGCAACATGTTCAGGCTGTCGTAAAGCGTACACGATGGCTCCTGCAACATCCTCCGGATCAAGGACCTTCGCTCCAGTAGGCTCGCCGAACTTTTTAATGGCTTCAGCGTCTGTCGACATACCGAGAAGCTCCGTAGCTGTGTTGCCAGGCTGTACACTAGTGACACGCAAGCCGGTGCCAGCAGTCTCAAGTCGTAAACTCTGAAGCGTAGCCTCTACGAAAAACTTGCTGGCAGAGTAAACGCCCAGCCCTGGAAACACCTTACGACCGGCATCTGAAGAGATCGCAACGATGTGACCACTGCCGCGCTTAAGCATCGATGGTACGGTCGCAGACAAGCAATGAAGCAGACCCTTGCAATTGACATCCACTGTACGTTCCCACTCATCGGTCTGGTTATTGGCCATCATGGTGAAATACATCACCCCAGCGCAGCTGACAAGGATATCGACACCAGTATCAGACAAGGAGCTAGCCTTCTGAATGAGGGATTCAACTTGTGCCTTATCGGTCACATCAGTCTTGTGAACGAGGACCTTGCCAGGCGAGGCTGAGAGCTTGATTTTCAGCTTTTCGAGAGCTTCAGTCCGTCGGGCAGCAAGGACGACGTGGGCGCCTTCTCTGGATAGAGCCTCAGCAACAGCCGCGCCAATCCCAGAGGATGCACCAGTGACAACGGCAACACGTCCTGCCAGCGGCCCAGTCTTCTTGGGAGTCGATGTTCCTGAGGATTCTCTAACTGGAGGCCTGGATAGCCAACCTCGTGCATACCAGTCGCGGGTGTAAGTTTCGAATAGTTTGCTGTCAATCTTGGGCCTGTCCAGCTCGTAGGTATCCAGGATATGTTGGGTCTTGGAGTCGTTAAGGACGGTGACTGCCTTCAGAAAATCGATAGTCGGCATGCCACGACGAAGGATGCCAGCAGTAAACGAGTCATCGCCGGCCTTGCTGGCGCCTCTCCTCTCGGTCCAGAGCGACACCCAGTTGTCCCAATCCAGTGCTCTCGTCGGATACCCAATCTCAGCGAGATCCTCGAGGAGGGCTGTAGCGGTCACTGGCTTGGGGTCGCCAACATGGAAGATAGGCTGGTCCAATTCGGTGTGACAAGCCAGTGTAGTGATAGCCTTGCTGACATAGTCTACAGGTGTCATCTCCGCAAGCCACCCTTTAATATCTGGAGCATAGCCCAGCTGGATGGATTCCACAATGAGTGCTGTTAACAAGTCGTACGTGTTTGTTGATCCGAGGGTGCTGTGGCCACTGATGGTCCCTGGACGGTAGATTCTGACAGGCAATCCCCGGCGGCCAGCCTCTAGAACAAGCTGCTCCGCAACCCATTTGGTTTGACCATAGCCATCAAGAAGTTTCTCCGGAACCTCATCGATACCCAACATGGCATCCTCTGGCCAGCCTTCCGAAGACGGTGGCAAGACTCCATTGGTAGAAACATGATGAACAGTAGCTCCGCTTCGGCTGGCCAGTCTTAGAATTTCTCTTGTGCCCCCAACGTTGGCACCACGCATGGCTGCATATGGGTATACAAGGTTGACGGTGGCGCCAGCATGAATAATCACGTCGACGCGAGAAGCAAGCTCTTCGAAGGTATCAGGCGTAAGGCCAAGACGTTTCCGGCCCAGATTTCCGGGCAGAACCTCAACCCGATCCAGGATTGCCTGATTCCATATACCAAGATCAATCAAGTTCTTGCGAAGACGAGACATGCCTTCACCCCGAGCCTCTCCAGAAGGATGAGTGAAGCGAACTAAACAAACTACCCGAGCAGTGGTGCTTTCTAGAATGGATGTGAGGAGAAACGCCCCAAGGTACCCAGTCACACCGGTGAGCAGAACAGTATTCGCCTCACTGAGAGGGCGAATTTTGGATCCTGTAGCCTTGATGTCATCTGGCAGTGTCGAATCAGCCAGAAGTACTTTCGGCAAGTCTGCTTGCACGGCTGCGGTATGGCCATCGCGTGCAGCACGGATAGCCTCAGCGTGACCCTCGAGTGTTGGTGTCCCTGCGAGGCGTGACAACGGAATAGGAAAACCGAATGCTTCTGACAAGCGGCTGGCCAAATCGGCAAGTGCTAACGAGTGGCCGCCCAAGTCGAAGAAATCGTGCTCTTGAGTCACTGATCTGACTGACAAGTTCAAGGAAGCGGCCCATATCTTAGAAATTGTCTCAATTTTAATCTCCGTGTTGCGGTCATCACCGGCGCCAGTGACTCCATTTCGTGGTTTCGAGGTAGATGGAGTCGGTAGCGCCTTGAGGTCAACCTTTCCAGAAACCTCGTGTGTCGGAATCTCTCGGAGCTCGCACCAAAGAGCGGGAATCATGTAGTGCGCCAGATGTGAGGTCAGCACCTTTCTAGCTGTCGGGCTGTAGCCGGATTCCTCTACCGTGAACTCGGAGCGGCCTGCTGGCTCTTCGTCCCGGACGAAGTAGGCAACCAGTTGGCGTTCGAGACCATCTCCATGAGCAACTACGGCGCAATGACTGACAGCCAATCGCTTCATTATGGTATGCTCGACTGCTCCAGGCTGCACCGTATACCCTCGAACTTTGATCATGCCACCAACGCGGCCCAGAATTTCCAGGAGACCAGAAGGGAGTATTCTAGCAAGATCACCCTAGAGCAGGAAAGGTTAGCTTTTGAAGGCGGTGCAACGACTGAGTCTGGCCGGCAGGGTTGGCCCGGCAGTGTTCCAGATGTGGACTTACAGTGCGATACATGAGCTGTCCTGGACTGAATGGATCAGGAATGAAAACTTTGGATGTGACCTCAGGAAGGTTGAGGTATCCCCTGGCTAACAACCCACCACCTACGAACAGCTCTCCACTCAAACCCGGCTCAAGCTTCTCACGATTCTGGCCCAGAATGTAGGTGTGTTTGGGGTCTAGAGGCGGCCCAACAGCACACACAGTTGCTTCATCGTTGAGCATGGATTTGATATCGCCACAAGCGATCTCATGTGTCTCACTGGCACTGTAACAGTTCAGAAGGCGAGTGGATTCTGGAAGCGCTTTGAGTGCCCTCCTGGCGAGATCCGTTGTCACAACCTCGCTATTCACCCATTGTTAGCAATGATTCGGGGCCAGCGGCCAAGGTAGAATGGACCAGTCGTACCCGTTAAGCCATAGCGTACGCAACTCCTTTAAGCTGGTCAACTTCGTGTTTCTTGCTAAAATAGTTGCAAGCAATGTTGGGGTCATAAGTGTTTCCGTGATCTGCCTCGACGAGAGTAGTTCAACAAGAGCCACGGGGTCGTAGCTTGCCTCGTCTGGAACAGCAAACACTGTTGCTCCACGGATAAGAGGTCTGAGGATTTCCCACACGAAGAAAACATTACAAGCGACTCTGTCGCCAGGTTTCAGGTCACTCAGACCGAATCTCAAGTTGTAGGAGCGCACCGGAGCGCTGTGGGGGTTTGCGATGCCTTTCGGCCGACCCGTGGTTCCCGAAGAATATGACACGAACGCAAGTCTATCAAGGTCCTCATCGTTCGGTAGTGGGGGGAGAGGATTTTCTGTGCCGTTTGACGCATCTGTGCTGTCCTGCTCATCAAGAACAATGAGGCTCGATTGGCTTGAAGAAACCTTTCCTGCATGAGCTCTGTGGGTGATGATGACAGTTGGGCCCGCATCTTCAATGACATCGGCCAGAAGTCCAGGGGGGTAGGCCAGCTCGAGGACCAAGAAAGCCCCCCCGGCACGAAGCGCAGCAAGACATGCGATCACGTAGTCAGCGCTGCGCCCCAACAGTATGCCAACTAGCTTATCCCGGCATACTCCACGAAGGCGTAGTCTATGAGCCAGAACAGCCGTCTCACGCTCCAGCTCAGCGTAAGTCAGGCTTCTAGTCTCATCTTCAAGGGCCACAGCATTTGGAGTTGCTTGCACCTGTTGGTAGAAGAGGGCGGCCAAATCTTTGGAAGTGTCAATGACGGCCATCATCAATCGAATGGCGGGAATCTGAAATGTCAAGACGACGCTGGTAGATAAGGGAAGCTCAGAGCTTGTGGAGGATGTTGGAACACCTCTTTAACAACAAACGGGTTTTTGTTGGTTAGTGGCAGCGATAGCCGACGCCGCAAGGCAAAGTTCTAGATTCTCACACCAAACGAACGAATGTGGGAGATGTCGAACTCGTGGGGGTTGACCGGCGTCAGTTGTAGTAGTATTGTGAGATTGGCCAGTTGACGCTCTCGGATTCAGCCCTAGCGAGACACCCCACGTTGACCGGTGGGAGGATGACGATTTGGATGAAGCTTCAGGGCGGACGGTAGGCAAAAAAGCAAGTGGTCGACACCGACAACCGTCTTCTCGGCCGCGGAATTTGGCTGGGGGCAGGATCGATTAGCGGTGCACAATTACCAGTACGCGGCGATTTTCGTGACGTCAAGTCAATGTTCTCTTTTGACAGCTCCGACTGCCGCCGTATCCCGCTCGGGAGCCCGTCCAAGTGGAGTGGCCGGTGCCGTACCTTTCGCTGGATTGCTGCGACGGCAATTTACTTCCAGCGACGTAGGGATGTGGGTAAACGGACCTGAAACGGCGAAAGGTTGTGCGCGAGATCTCACCAGATTGAGTGGCAAGACCATCACCGGCTGTCTTCCCCTGACCGAGGCCCTGGCCGGGAACCGGAGCGCTCTCACCGACAAACATGTGGATGGCCTTAGTGTTGGGCTCGTGACCCTTTACCGGAATGGGCATGGCGTTTGGGGCTAACTTAACAGTAGCAAGTTGATTTTGGTCCAAGGCTTTGGATTCTTGGGACAATTTTTCTTATCGTCGCCTGGCCGGGCACTGCCAAGGCTGTGAAGCGTTGAAGAAACACCACAATGTGGTCTGCCATTGAGCTGAATTACATTTTCAAGGCTTGAGTCGAGCATCCAGCTTGAATGATTCCAACCTTGATTAGTTCGTCCAAGTAGGATTCGCAGTGTCAGGTACTAATAGAGGACCAGAGTCAAGAACATTGTCGTGGATGCTATCAAAGAAGCCCGAAAATAGCTTGTTGACTCCCGGCAATTCAAGACATGGGCAACCGCTTCCGTCCGGTCTTATTGCTAAAGACGGGGCCTTGGTTCTGAACTTGATAACATTTCTGTTCTTGTCAATTCAAAATATCCAGTGGCCGAGGGCATAATGATAGCAGGTACAGACCAAGATAAGTATAATCAATGTATATATAGTCATCTATACAAATAAGCATAATCAGATCTTTAACTCGGTGTTCCCAGGTGCTTTTCAAGGGCTCCGCCTCTAGTATGCACGACCGGAAATCAGTGGCAGCTCTTCTCGAGACCTTCTAAATTCCCGACGCTAGGCTTCTAATAATTCTGAACCAACCCATTCTAGCCAAACATGACAGTCGTGCGTGGAGAAATCCCCAAATTTTCTAGCCGCGTCTGCGTGGTTGACTGCCCAGCTCCGGTCCGTGATGCTGATCGACGGTTATAGTTTCTTTGCAAAGACGTAATCCGTCTGAATGCAAGATCCTGTCACAAACTCTGTCTCTCCTGACTTGGTATAACCGAGCCTCTCATACAGCTTCTGGGCTTTGGTGTTCTCTTCCCAAACTGTGAGCCAAAGCTGCTTGAAACCTTCTGACCGAGCCAGGTTCTCGACATAAGCGACAATCTTGGTGCCAATACCCTGGCCGTGCATAGATGAGTCGACGTAGAGCTTCTGCAGTGTCGCGAGGTCTTGAGTAGTTCCGTGTACGCTGGGATGCGTTTGCCCTCGATGGAGCTGGGCAATGCCAGCTACTTTTCCAAGAGTGCTCCGCGCGACTAGAGTCACCTTGGTAGGGTCTGCGAGCTCAGCAACCATTGCTTCTGCTGAGTAAGTGGATGACAGAAACTCCGCCAGATCTTCCTTCGAAACAGAGTGCCCAAAGGTCTCGGTGAACACGGTGGCACCGACTACTGCCATCGCTGGAGCATCGGCAACGCTAGCGGGCTCAATGGCGAGAAGCCCTTCGGACAGAGGCTTCACGCCACCAAACGGTGCTGGTGTGATTGGTGGTGTCGGTACAGTTGTTGATTCCATGGCCGTCAATGACAGGAGATGCAGCAGAAGCCAGAGAGTACTGGGTTTATAGTAAATGCCTGCCCCTAATTCTGGGCCTAATCCCTAGCCCGAGTCACGAGTTGGGAGATCGTTAATCTGCTAGAGTGAAGGAGATAACAAAGACCTAGTATATATCTGCCAATTTTGGATAAAAGCAAGAAGGTATGACGGAAAGACTATATAAGTTATATAGTCGGTATGTGGTATTGCCGGCTTTTAAGCAAGCTGTTTCCCTGTGTCACTGTGAAAGAGTGACTAATTTGACACAGCTCTTCTGCTGCGCGCCCTGTACAGTACAAGCTGCTCCACAGAACTAGCATTGGGCCACTTCCACGCGACTCTTCGGCCGACCCTGCGCGAAACTGAAGCCACTAGAATGTTCTCCGTCAGTTCGCATCGTCTGTTGGGACAAGGGGAGTCAACCGTTGAATCATATATCGCAGCTGTCGCATGTCTTGCAGAAACGAGGAGCCATGATGTGGACAGAGTGACAATGTACCTAGGTGCCTCACGTATCCAACAGCTAACGCTGGCAAGTCACCCGTTTCTCAGGGGAGCCGTACCACAGTAAGTTAGGCAACACCAGCCACAAAGCCCTAGCCACAGCGGGCTCACAGGCTAATAAAATAGTTAGTTAGCACACCTGTGGAACCGTTTCACGCGGCGCAGGGCCACTGTACCAAGGCGGTGCACGTTGCCCAACTACCTAAGGCAGGTAGACAGACTCTCCCTGCCACTCGCGATCCGCGACAACACACAATATTTTGGTAGAAGGGGGGAAATGGGAAAGATCCAACATGTTGATAAAGCAGAGCTGCAAGAACTTGCAGACCGCGGTCGGTCAAGTTGCCCTTCCCACTTGCACGTTACTTGATGATCACCGTCAACCTGAGCACGTTCCGCCGTTGTTACAAGATGATTGAACCTACGGTAGCCTGGGGCAGTGCTGATCCTACCATGCAACGTCGCTGGCAGCACCGAGTATAAAAAGCACCCAAACGACCCATCTGAAATAGTCTATCCCTTCGGCGAATCATTCACCTGATCAGTACACAGTCGTTGGTGGCCCGTACACGGCAAAAGACCTATCAAGATGCGTACGACCATGGACAGCCTTCCCACGGAATCTGTCAGGCATATAGCCGAGTTCATACACCTTGAACATCCCCGTAGTCTGTGTGACTTCTCGCTGGTCAACCGGAGGTGCCACGCAGCTGCAAGCACTTGGAAACTCCGCAACATCCGCTTCGACGTTACTAGCCGGACGAAGCTTCGGCACGATGTTGAAAGGTGCGTTGAAATTCTTCGTCAGAGCCAGAGTCTGCAACATGTGCGCGGGCTAGAGATCAACGGGATGATGCCACGGCGGCTGCAGGATGAGCTCCCGGACCAAGAACAAGATTGGACGCTGAACGATGACACTTGGTACGGTACCGATGAGGTCTTCGGCGATAGTGAGGACGCCGTGTTTGTTGCCGATGGCCCTGTAGCCATCCTACCCGAAGAGGATGAGGCTTGGGCCCCAGTAGTCGAACTACTGCACCTGCTACCCCGTCTCAAGCATTTCGTTTTCAACTGTACCAACCAGTTTCCCCCCTGTTTGCTGGCTGCCCTCCACGAACACCAATCACAGTGCGCGCTACATCTTGGGAAGTTCCGGTTCCGCAGCCTCGGTCAGGATACCCCAGACGCGCATGAAATGGCAGTGGCCACGTCCTCTTCACTACAAAGCATTGGCGTGCGATGGGTATTTCGAGATTCTAATGGCCTCGACGACTACAATGAAGAGGCGGTGGTGAGCCTCATCGGGGGCTTAGCCCCAAACTTGAAAACCCTCAGGATGGTGCATTGTAGGGCGGCGTCCTCAGCGGCCTTGCATCGCGCTCGAGGTACTCCTCGCAAGCCTTGGAGCGGCTTTGGAAAGGGATTCTGGACCAACCGTCTGCCAAAGGGTTCAGAGACTGTTCCGGCATCTCTCGAGTCCTTGACACTGAGTGGATATGGTCCGATAACATCCGAGTATCTCGTTAAATGGCAGAAACACACTCCATTTGCGGCACTACGCTATCTTGACCTTCAAGCGGGCGTCAACGGTGAAGCATTGCGATGGGCAGCTGTAAATGCTTCCTTCCCTCAACTCAGTGAACTAAGGATCAAGATTGACCGCGACGATGAGACAGAGCCTAAGCCAGATTTTGCTTCCGACTGTGTGGCATTTTTCTCCAGCCTGCTTCCCCTCGACAAACTACTGCTTTCAGGCTCAATAGATCCTGAAGTATTCGACTGCATCGTCGGCCGTCATGGCAAGACCCTGAGGCAGCTCTCCCTCTCGCCACACGAATCATCATATTCAACCACACGCTGCGATCGCCCGACCGTGTTCACTAGAGACGATGTAATCCAACTTCAAGCATCTTGTCCCGTCCTAGAAGAGCTAGCAATGCCAATAAAGCGCTACAAAGGAGGCAAGCCCGAAGTTGAAATCTACCGGACGCTGGGTAAAATGAAATGGCTCACGACTTTGTTCCTGAACTTGGACTGCTCCAACACATCTGTTTTGCTTGACGGCGATGAGACACCAAATGATCCCTCGTTCGACAGTTATATGCAGGAGTTCTGGGGTTCTGGTTTGCAAAGACGTCCAAGAAATGGGCATGTTCGTGATGCCCTGGTCAACTCTGCTGTTGACGAACGTCTAGCGAGAGCTATTTGGGATACCATTAGTACCGCAAGGGTCGGCAGGTCACTCAAATCATTGAAATTATGGGCGCACAGCGGTGCCAGCTTTGGAGATAGCAGTTACCAAACCGACCTGATGAATATGATTCAGCACCTCAGTCGAGCATATCTTGTAGAGCGAAGCGTGCGAGATGACGACGATAGCATATCAGTACAAGAGCTCGGTAAACGAGCACGAGAGGCGAGAGACGAAATGGAACGCCAGCGCGAGCGAGATATAGAAAGGCGATGGGGTGACAAGCGCACCGACGAGCGCCCAGGTTTGGCTTTGCAAATCTTCCGGAGAATATGGCCAGCCAGAAACGGAAGCCAGGATTGGCGCGCCGATTGGGAGAGCCTTCCATTGCAAATTTGAACGTTTGCTATTTATCCCTTAGACTGCATGCTGTGGGACACGCATTGCGACGGGCTACAAATGCGCTTTTGAGGATGCAAAAAATGCGTTGAAACTACCGTGCCACTTTCATAACTCCTGATTCTGGATAATATATTAGGACACTAAGCTCAAGTCTGTTATCTCTTTTTTCAGTACTCATCTTCGTGTCAGTCGGACAGCGGCAGAGTGGTTGGCGATGTACGTTAGGAATCCTCATTTCGGATTCTCCCCTTCCTGTCATCCTTCTTCCTCAGGATTCAGTGACAATAAGCATGAGCACAATGGTAGGGCGAAGTGGAATAAACAACTCCAAGGTAATTACTATGGACGAATAAAAGATTTGAGCAACGAAGCCATGGATTCTGTGCCCCGAAATGGTCCGAAATTTGCTCTGGCGATCTATTGTCTGAGCCTTGGGACGAGTCTCTCTGCCGAACGCTTCCCACAGCATATCATCCTATACACAAAGTATGAGGATCGGGCACTTAACTTGCTCCAACAGTACAAGACCGTTATGGTACCATACGCAATTGTAGATATGTATCCTCCCTTCCATACCCACGCGTGGTCCAAGGTCTCCAGATGTAAAATGTCTTGATCATCACTCGGAATGCCACCATCTGAAGCACTCCCATGTTTTTCAGCCAATGCGATCAGTCTGCCGCAGGCTCGTTGAACGGCGCAGCGACTTTCAAATGCATCTCTTCTCTCTCCTAGCCGTCCATAAACGCCGGCCCAGAAAGCGTAAGCGATTGAGTAAATCCGGAGTGCCGTAGAGCGAACTCCTCGCCTAGCACGCCACCCGAATGACGACCCATGATGCGACATCCGTTTTCGAAAGCAGCAAGCAGCCCGAAGAGTTCCACGTACGGGTCAATATACCACGAAAGAGCTGGTGGGTCTATCAACGGTTCAAAGGACTGCCCCAAACCTAGCAAGTTAGGGGTAAAACATTGGTGCCCTTTCTCATATCATAGTAAAGGGTCATCAGTTTCTCGAAACTTGCCGAAGAAGATGCGGATATGAAGAAATATTATTGGAGGTGTGTTGGTTCCATCGGCTATCATGTACCGATCATGTCCATGGCCAATGGAAGTGTCGCCATATGCCTCTTCGATGATCGCCATACTGAATTGGAACCACAAAGGCATGTTTCATAATGGCGATGCCTAGACACTCAGTCTGGGTGCTACATATTTCCTGCAAGGGCACTCGGAGCAGTCCCGGGCTCTTATCTATAGTGTAACACGTACATTAAAAAGCACAGTCGGCCGCAACCCGGAGTCCACCGCGACCTGCATAGCCGTCAAGTCTCTCCACCGATCGGATGAGAAGTTCAAGCTGGTGAGTCAACACAAACCTTTATCAACGGGGCAAGGAAGTCATAGGAACTTCTAGGATATCTTCACACTACCAACCGCGAACATCTTATCTTCAGCAAACAGTTATCGAATGGTCAGCTATAGCCCTGCCTATTCATTGTCAATCCAATGTTGTTCGTTGTTACCCAGAAAACTTGACTCTGTAACTCTAACTTCCAAGCCTTCATCTACCCAGAGGAGATAGCTGCGAGCGGTCATTGGGTTTTGAGGATCGAGGAGTTCGAAGTCGAAGTTCCGGAACAGCTAAGACTATATGAGCCATGACATATATTAGGTAAGTAGTGATGAATTCATGTCGTACCTCAAAGAACACCTTGTTCAGTTCGATCTGAGCCAAGGGTTTACCAGCGCACATCCATCTCCCATAGCCAAACTGCAAATCAACGTTCCTCTGCATTTCCACTAGTGCGAGCGGATCAAGCTCCAGAAATCTCTCCGGGCGGAAGACGTCTGCATCGTCCCCAAATACAGTCTTTGAGCGTAGGTACGCGGGGAGGTTCGTGCCGATTGATGTGCCCCCTGGGATAAATTTTCCATTGATTGTATCACCCCCGGCGGGGACCTCTTTGAACAACAGGCCTGGGACTACAGGACGGATGCGAAGACCTTCGTATATCACCGCCTGTATCACATCATCCGATGTTGGTGCAGCTAAATGTAAGACGAGGATTTCCCGACGTACCTGTAGGTAGGGAAGTGTTTTAGACTCTGCATTCGTGATTGGAGCCGACACCTTGCCTCCGGTCACGGCGCTACGAATCTCCTGTTTTAGGGCTTGGTAAACTCGCGGGTTCGAAAGGGTATGCAACATAGTCACACGGATAACAGACGCTGTCGTATCCGAGCCGGCAATGAACATGAAGAGGGCTTCTCCTTCACATTCATGCTGCGTCAAGCCATGGCGGATGAAGGATCCCTGCGTGTTTTGCATTAGTATCTGACCTTCAAAATCTCGTACACATGAGAAAGTCTTACCAGCATATCTCTCTGAGGCTTGGCATCTGGAGCAAAGCGTGTTCGAACGGAGTCATTTGTGAGTCCCATCAACTTGCCGATTCCCCGAGCATCGGTTTCTTTAGGCCCCATCAACTTCAGAAACAGGTCAGAGTAGAAGAAACTACGAAGCCAGGGCACGTCAATAGTCAGTGACATGAAAGGGATGTGAACTTTCAAGGTTGAGTAGAACTCATGAATGTCCGTGTCTTTCTGCAAACAGCCGAACTCCTTGCCCAGAGACACTTTTGATATCACGTCGAGGGTGAAGAGACTTGCCACCCGACCTAGAGATAGTGGCTGGAGTCTTCCTGGACCCGAGATATACTTGGTGCGGATCAAGTCCACGAGGCTCTGGACCTGCTCGTCAACATTGGACTCAAGACCTGGCGTGTCTTTGCCACTATACGCAGCGGCGACCTTGGCTTTCATATTGTCATGCCGCTCCGGATCCAACATAATGAACATCGTCTCATGATACGGATTAAATCTGTTGCCCGTATTTGCCTTGCCCTTCCAATATAGGCTCTTGGAGCTGGACATCTTCCGAATCAGTGCAGGGTCATCCGTTGTGAGCTCTTGTGGTCCAATCCTCACAAGTGAGGAGTTGTACTTCTTGCAAATGTCTCTGTATAACTCGCATTGTCGTCCGCTTTTCGTAACACGAGCAATCCAAAGGTATGAGAAGGAGGCTAGCCAAGGCCCATTGATGTGACGCAGGCTGTGCCAAGACGCAATTGATGATACCACATACCATCCAAGAAGACACAAGATGCTTATCCAAAAGGCATTTCCATAATCTAGATTGGTGGTCAGAAGCGCCATGTTGAATATTCAAATTGATATTGGAAGCAAATTCAAACCCAGTCAGCAGAAGAGGAGTAGAAGAGGACCTGAGATCAACAAAGAACCAGTGAAGCCTGAGATCGTAAAAGTAAATGGGCTCTATTAAGTACATAAGCAGGTTCAACTGGGCGTAGTACTTCCGCTCCTGTACCCATAATGTCATCATCACTGATCTTGAGACTGAGATAATGAGAAGTCATCTCATAGTCCATTTTCCCAAAACGGCATTCGGAGACAGTTCGGAAAGAGAAGCAGTGTTGTATGGGGTCGCACAGCGCATTAGTGGGGTTGGATGCAGGTAGCAGGCGCCAGGCAAATATACTGCTTCAGGAAACTCCGGTGGGCTGTCCTAGAGTTCTACTGGCCGATCAACGCCAAGGATTAGATCGCCATCGGAATGTTCGCCAACAATTGCCCCACGACCTGGCATCAGACGTAATGAGCGCAATATACAGCCGTGAATTCATTGCCATATCAAACCGAGACGTTCATGTTTATTCGTCAATGGGACGGATCTGTTTCGCAGGGTCATTGTCAATCATAGCACAGCTATTGGCCGCAGAAGCTCTACCGTAGCATTCTCTGAGCAATATTTGCGTATTTGCTGAGTAATAAACACTTTCAGAGGTGGCAGGTCAGTACAAGCAAAGCCAAACACCTTGGGTATCATGCAGCCTCCATCATTCATGCTGTGTCCATCTTTACTCTCATAGAGAGCATTACGTACTGCCATATCAGACGGCTAAGTCATCAAGTGCGTGGAATCCCTTCTTCGCTTTTCTGACCGCTGAATCGAGTGTCCAGAGGACGTCGCCAAGGTAATTCATCTTTGTCCATCCGTCGTCTGTTTCCTCCTGCTCCTTGATCTTATTCCGGATGAGAGATCTTATCTTGTTCATCTCATCAACAACCCCGTCAAGGAACGGCTTCACATCGCGGCTTTCAAGGTACTGCAAGTGCTTGCCCCCGACAGGTAAAGGATCTTCGGGCGGTCTCCTGTCGTAAGTGACAGTATTCTGAGCGCAGGGGCGATGCAATTGAGCCACGACGTCCCGCAGCTGCACCTCGAGCTTATCGATGCGCTGAAGGCTGCACTCGACTTGCATCAAACGTTCTTCTGATCGACCAGCCAGCTTAGCAGCTTCGCTTTTTGTCTGGTACTTTGTCAATTCGGAAAGAATATCCAAACCCGCACCCATTTCATTGAAATATCCTATGGGTCGTATTGAAGATTGCTCGATTTCTTTACCGTGGTGAAGGGCTTCACTGCCGCATTGGATCTCCTTCCCAGTATACCTCAGTTCAGGGACATCCAACGATTCACCGTATCGGAAAGCTTGGGTGATCCCACGCACTTCTTTGTTGTCAGTTCTGTGGACGTGGGACGATTCTCCTGCCGCCGCATCCCAGTGCGCCTCTTGACTGGTTGGAGTGGACGCGCTGTCTAATCGAGCATCACTCTTACCACCGTAGAGCCCAGTATTCTTTCCAGATGAGACGCTAAAACCTTTGCTTGTGGCTTCGGATGGCTCAAACGCTTGATGCTCGCTAGTCTTCTGCTTTTTCGAAGGTGTGCCAGGACAAGTTGGAATGCTACGCTTGGGTGCCCGTTGGATCGTTGAAGCAGGGTGAGAAGTGTTTCCTGCTTCGTCGTAGCCGTCATCGGCGGATATGAGGTCTATAATCTCATTTTGTTTGAACTTTTTTGTCACTACATCATCTTTCTCATCGTGTCTTGAGTTGTTCGTCTCTCGAGGGTCTTTATATGACTCGGCTTGATTATGCTCCATCAATAGCCCTTGGTCGCTTGACTGATAATTGTCACTCATGCTTGGCTGGGCTCGCTGCAGTTGACGGAAGAGAAAGCCACCGCCGTCTGGCTTGTTCGTTTTGTGCTCCACGTCAAAGCTTGGGGGAGTGGGTAAACCACTTGCTCGAGCGTATTGCACGCGGGAGTACTGGCCAGGGAATCTGGTAAGTGAGGTCGTACTCCTAACACCTGACCAATCAACTTGGCCACGCCGCTGCTCGGTCAGTGGACTGCCGATAGAAGCTCCGTCCTCCTTGACCTGTCCGAGAGCCTCACCAGACCTCGTCGTCAAATCCGAGGGCCCTGGTTTGGTATGAACATTGAGGGCCTTGCGCGTGTCCAGGGAGCCTGAGGCGGAGCTTGGCTGGGCTGGGTGGCTTTTGATGTTACCGCCAGGGGATGCAACGCCGGCGGCAGCTCTACTGAAGTCACTCAGGGCTGGAACTTTGCCTCGATTCACAGCTGCACTGTCCAGCACGACCTGCTGGCCGCTCGGGTTTTGTGGGTGGAGGCGCATCATGCCATCCAGATGTGAGGGCCAGGCGGACGCCCGAGATTGCCAAGCGGCGCTGGCGGCCTGAGCATCCATGTGAGGGGTGTTGCCGAAAGCTTCCATGTTGATGACTTGGTCGATCAGGTGAAGAATCCTCGAGGGCGCATTTGCACCCCTCGGGGCAAGCTGGCCGTGGTGAGTGTCTTGGTGGCGTCGTTGATACGCCTTGCGGCCCTCGCAGTATTGGTTCACGATGCGTTGAAAGGCAACATTGTCCCGACGCTTTCTGTGAAATTTGAGAGTAGCATCGAGTCGATCCCAGAAACACACTGACTTCCAGAAACCTGAAAAGTAGACCACTGCCTCAAAGAGAATGCGAACATTGGTGTGTAAGGTCTCTGTCCGTGGGACGCCCCGCGCCCAGCGATGGGCCCCCGAGCTCAGAGCGGAGATGCCTGGTTCTGTGGCCAGAGGATCTTGATGAACGGAGAGCAGCACTCCATCGAACTGGGTGGTAATCGGCTTCTTGGGCTTGTTCTTAGCCATGACGACCCACCATCAGTCAATGTAACGTCGAGCTGGTCGGGCGAGGGTGTGGTTCCGCGGTGCAGTTGAGCCTCACGAGACGGCCTTTTCTTTTCTTTTTTTTTGGCGGTGGCGCCGAGCGGTCCTGTATGGTTGATTGGTGGGGGTCTGGGATAAGTTACACAGAGGAAGAATTGACAGCGCCTCGACGGGAGCCTCTTGACGAGTGCAGCCTGGAAAGCGGGACAACGGGGCTAGACATCGTCTTGTACTCTGGTTATCCAAACGGAGAAGAGGCATGTCACAGAAGTCAGCCCAGTGATAGCTGCTCCAAATCCAGCAAACCGATTGTTCGGGTTCCAAGGTTGTTACTCGACCGCTCCATACCTAGGAGTTGTAACTGAAGGTAGGCACCCGAGAGCAAACGCCCGAGCCGGTGGCATTTCGGGCCAATGTGGGGAGCCTCCAGTGCGAATGACTGAAGGGATACCTCCAGACTTGTGCCTTACCGAGGAGCGAGGTTGCAATGTTCCCTCCACCGTATCCAGACGGGAGCGCAGCTAGCTGAACAGAAGCAGTCTGTCCTCGTGTCTAACACGAAGCCTGTCAGTTTGCTTTCCGTACCGCAATGTGACAGACATGGGTCACACGATGATGAGAGATGATTCACGGCCGAGGAGGCATTTTGCTCCTGGAAATGTGCATTCGCCAAGGTATGTAGTTATTTACAGTTGCTGCCACGCAAGACATGAGCGACCCCAAAGCTGCCCTCCTCCTCCCCGCCGCGACCCATGCGATGCGGCGACCCCATGGTCAAGTCCCTATGCAACAACCATGCCCGCCGCTGTAAATGCAAGAATGCACGATACAACGCAAGAAATGACCAGCATAGACTTCCTAAAGGGTCGACGAGCTCCGCCGCTGTAGAGAACTGCCGTCGCAGTCGGCCCCGGCCCTGTAAGCGCCGGACACGCAAATTCGATGCTCCCAATGTTATCCCCGGATGGTAAAGAATAACAACCCCCGTTCGCTGTGATCATCACCCAGTCCCTCTCACTGGAGTCCGAGCTGCTGTCCGAGCTGCCGTCCGAAGAGCCTGAAGAAGTTCCCCCGCCGCTTTCCCTTCCACCTCCACCACCACCACCACCTCCGGCAGGCCCCCACGAGCTCCCTCCTGAGGATTCTCCAGATCTTCCACTGGGAGAGCCCATATTGGCTCTTTCAGAAAGAGCCTGCGGGCAGCTGCTCGAGTCTTCTTGCGAATCTCCACCGCCTGCCGTCTTGGCGTTGTCTCCAGGCCTGCACGATTCTGTGACGGTCGGTCGTGGAATGCTGGGTGCCCTGGTCGTTGATGTTGCCAGCTTGGACGACGAGGTCGAAGACTCCGTCAACAGGTAGTCAGGATTTGGGCAGTTCGACTTTGCGGAGACGATAAGAACCGGCGTGCCACTGTTTGGGCACGCGGCAAATGCGTCGACCGTTATGCTGAAGACATTCGGTGGCACATTAAGGCACCAGCCTAGGGGGAGTTTGGTGGTTGCACTCAATGAGGGACGTCCGCATCCGGAGTCACGAAAGAAGATAACCGACATCTTGTTTGGCGTAGGCGGCACGGTGACAAGAGTATCTCGGTGTGCATCGTTGCGTTGTTATTGGAATCAAGCACATCTGCCTGCTGGTCTGGTTTGTCCGGGAGCTACGCCTCTGTTTACCAGGCATGGCTTCGCAACAGCACATATTGACTTCTTCAGTTGTCTGGTCGCCAGCTCCTTAGCGACCGTGTTCTGAACTCTATTGTTAGTGAGCACATCTCCACGGTGAAGAGTACGGTAACTACCTGACTAGCCACGAATGGCGCATTGTCTCTGGTCTGCTCCTAGTTAAAGGCTCTAAAGACGTACAAGGCCAGAAACGCTGCATTGAGCCAATGGTCTCGGAAAGTCAAGCTGGGAAGGTGCTGTGTAGATGTAGTGTAGTGTATGGTACGACGAATTCTACATTTGCCATGAACGCGGACCAAATGCGCATCCTCTTGCTCTGGTTGAGGGATGGCACTAGCGCGCTCAGCTTTCCCATCACAGCCGCTAGTGATGAAACCGCTCTGAGATCCAGTCTCGGTGCTTGGATCATATCAACAGGAATTTTCGACGAACAACTTACCAAATTGTTATCGATTGCCAAGGCAGCCGGCTTTGCTCTTTTAATCCAATGCATCCGGAAGAAGCCAAAGGGATGACGGGTCTCAAAACGCTGCCGCTATAGCCGGTTTCGAAAACTGCGTTGTAGCGGATTTCCCTCTGCGCGGAACAGCGTCTTCAGTCAGATTCACGACAGTGCCCGTAGTCAGCTGCGTACACTAAAGCCAGCTATCCAACCAGAGGGGTTGAGAGGGCCGCGTCTCACATTCAATACCTTGCTTAACTCCTTCCCAGCTCAATTGCAAGCTCCGTCTTGGTATTTGGTTTAACATAGACCAGCCATTGATATCTTCGAAGAACGTCTCGATAAGGTGCCCATAGTGCCGACACGATGTAACCCCGAACCCCAGAAGCGTTGCCCGAATGACCGACAAGGGTCAGCAGCCGAACTTGCCAAGAGGCTACCTTGACCGAACTCGCTTCTGTTTGATTGGACGGCAACCAATTGAAGGGCTGATAAAGAGCATGCCGCCATTACTGCACGAAACACATTGCACTCTTGATATTTCGCCAAGTCAGTCGCGTTGTATCTAGTCGCGCAATCCACGTGCTGAACGCCAACTCTCCACGTTCATCGCCGGAGGTCCGCGTTGACCGCCGGCGTCAGAAGATGGACAAGCTTTTCTCCGCAGATCACGATAACGCATCCTGGCAGTCGGCAGGTGCTTCTGCCAGATCAGCTTACCACGTTGCTGCGTCGCTGCCGATTCCATGCGGCTGCTTCACATCCAAGAGGCTCCCCTGACGATCAGCAAACCTGACCGGGGCATACGCCTCCTGACGTCTGGAGCCTATACTCTCGTGGAGCTATGGAGGATTGCAAGTGGCGCTGATCCCAACCACCTCTTCGCGAAGTTCCCCAAGCAAATCAGTGTATACTGAGACGGTTAAGAAGAACTCGCAGATGTATAACTAACTCTTCGAGAAGGAGTAATGGTGATAAATCAAGTTTGAGGCCCCCTTGAAGATGCCAGCCATACAGTATACCCTGCACCTCATTTACGTACAGAGAAGTTGCACTCCAGCATAACTGCAGGTCCTCAAAGGTGCATGAGCGAGCGGCCACCTGGTCGGTTCCTTGATCCTCTATGGTCAGATTCGTCAACTCTCGATAGGTGCCTTGGCTTGGTAACTCCGGGGGTGGTGAAAGTAACCCACCTTATCTTTCACACAGTTGCCGCCAGTCCATCTTTGGGTCGTGAGAATCCACTATGGTGCTTGGCCACGACTTCTGACTATCGCGATGAATGGCTAGAGACGAACACAGCGGTGATGCCAAGAATGAAGTTGCAAGACGACAAAAGGGATTATGTGCTAAATTGCAGTATATAAGATCCGGATTCCCTTGCACCAACTGCCTAAACTCGTGAGTATCGGCTACAATCTCAACTCAAGACAACCCAACCAGACCTTACCACTCCGTGAATTTCAAGGCATACCAGCGTTCATCATGAGATCTATTCTTTCAGCTGTTGGGCTTTTGGCTCTCTCCGCCTTTGTCAATGCTGCGCCGACGCCAATTGAAGAGCGGTCACCCAACCCAAGCCCTGTATGTAAACAATTTACCCGCTTCAGTCTGATTTAGCATCAGGAAGAAAAACACATGTCATTGAGCAGCTGGCTAATCCTCCACAGGGCGGCATACCCAGCACGGCGAACGCAAAATCCCAGCTCGCTGCCTTGACTGTTGCCACTGCGGTTGACGATGGCTCGTATGACCGTGACCTCTTCCCGCATTGGATTGAGTCTGGTGGCTGCAGCACCCGAGAGACTGTACTCAAGCGCGATGGCACTGGTGTCACAACGGGCTCTGACTGTTACCCTACCGCTGGCTCATGGAAGTCTCCTTATGACGGCGCAACCTGGACTGCACCTTCAGACATTGACATTGACCACATGGTTCCTCTTAAGAACGCCTGGATCGTAAGTCTCCAAGAGCCCTCTTCCCAGTCTTGTTGAAGCCAAATGTAGCATCAGCTGACCCCATGCCAGTCGGGTGCAAGCAAGTGGACCACATCCAAGCGTCAGCAATTTGCCAACGACTTGACCAGACCACAGCTCTGGGCGGTGACGGACGACGTCAACAGCTCCAAGAGTGACAAGAGCCCCGATGCGTGGAAGCCTCCTTTGTCGTCCTTCTACTGTACCTACGCGAAGAGCTGGGTGGCTGTCAAGTCCTATTGGGCCCTTACGATTACCAGTGCTGAGAAGTCTGCGCTGACAAGCATGCTTAACACGTGCTAAGCAGCTCAATATGATGTTTGAGCGATCAGTCTGGTAGTCTTATTCTTGATATTTGTGTTCCAGCTCTTCCTTGTGAGCGATGATAGTTTCAGATAGCAAGCGACAGCACTTGGGCGTTAGTCCAAGGGTTGGCAGAAATATCGAAAGGCTTGCTACACCACAAGTCTACAGTCAAATACATTGATGTCGCATTGGTTTCGCTTAGTGTACTTCCTGGCATTTCGCAGGCGACTCCAATTTTGTGAGGTGATAAGGGACATTGAATAACTGCCCCTGGAAAGAGTGGAGACACTCGTGATTAAGCCTCGTCGAAGCCTTCAATATGACGACTCAGACCACGGATGAAGTACGTTGAATAGGGTTTAGGGTGGTATATATGGGAGCTTGGACGGCAGCCACTTTTTTCCACTAGAATCCGAATACTGAATCATCGTCTACTCCTATTGATATGATATCTCTGTTTCATTTCTAATTAAATTGACAATATGTGGTATCAACCACCAGACTTCTCTTTTCATGTACTCAAAGTTTACGTTAGATTTCTGAAGTCAGAATGAATGGACTCACAGATGCTCTGAACAAATTGATGCTCACCACCTGGAACGGAGCCCAAAGCCCCTGGTTGCCAGGTGACGGCAATCATCAAACTTCCCCCACCAACACTGATAACGCTGAATGTCAGCGGCGCAGTTGCTACACCAGAAGGCTGGGAGAAGATCATGTTTGTGATGTTACAGGTACCATCGCTGGGAGCATTCGAGAAGGCAAGAAGGTTGCTCAGTTCGTAGGAGCAGTCTCTCTTCTGCCCGAGCTTTCCGGTCAAGTATTTCCGGATACTGGGGGCATACCGAAGCAATCCAATTGGCTGATCTTGCAGTTTGGTAGCACTTTCAGCGAGGGACTTCGTCATTGAGCTGGCTGTTACCCATTCCTGAGTAGAAAAAGGAGCTTTGCCGTCCACACGCCGATGTATATCATAAAAGCCCGTGACAAACATTCCCATCTCAGTGGCAGAAGCACCAATAGAACCCCTCATGTTGACTGCCGTCTGTGAAACGAAATTGTCAACCAGGGGGCTTGGGATTGACTGACTCAGAGCCCGAACTATCATCTGGTGGAGATTGGCTGTGAGCTTCGAGCCATTTTCCCTTGCCAATTGTAGAGATCGCTGCAGAAGAGAACCTTCGATCTCCAGGATCCTGAGCTGCGTAGGGGAGCTATCCTTGCCGATGAATATCGGAGCTCCGAGCCAGGTCCTTTCATCAATTGTAGTGGTCGAAGCACGCAACCCTAGGAAATTGGCAATGAACTTGGGCAAGCACAGAGCCAACAGTGGGCCTAGAAGGAAGGCCCAGGAAATTGGAAGCCTCTCCGGAGTATCAAACGGAGCTGATAAGGTCAGATCGGAAGTAATCACCGCTGGGGTCTCTTTGCTCATGCTCGGCTCTGACATCGCACTCAGGAATGTCCGGTGGAATGCCGGTCCGGCAAGGCCATCGCTAAGACCGTGTGAGAATGAGAAGGCAATGAAGCACCTTGAAGGCTTTGCTTCTCGCGGAGAGAGTATGGGATAGACGACGATCCGCCAAGGCGGCTTATCGTCTCCAAGCCAGGATCGGTCGAGTGCGGTCGATGCCAGCACCGATTCGATGCCCTTTGTTATGTTGTTGTCTTGAAGGTCGCCAGCGATGAGAGTATGGGACTCGAGGTGAATCTCAGAGGCGCGTTCGTAGAACGGTCTTTCGGTGTGCTCCTGTCTAATAACAACACCGAGAAATGGGTGTTGTTTGATGCAGGCTGTCAGCGCCCAATAGTAGGTGCTACGTGACCGTAAATCAAGGTCGCCGCGGTCCTTGAACTCATAGGTGGCGCCGATAACCACTGAATTGTAGTATCTCAAATCTTCTCGCGTGATGCAGCGACGCTCATTAGGACCTGTGCTCACGCCTGTCAGTCTTTCTGGGTGAAGGGCTTGACCGGAACAAACTTTTGTTACCTACTTGCATGCCTCATGAATGTGCCACCCACTCCAGCCAGCTCCATCTTGGGTAACAGCGGTGCAAGTGGAATTATAAAAGTGGGACTTTCTCAATATTGGGATACGGATCAACTGAGATAAATGTGCGGAAAGAAAATGTCGGGTTATATTTACTTCCTCAAAGAGCTGCATGCCGGCTGGGCACAGTGAAGCAAGCACCTATGGTCTCTTTTCCTTGAGTGTAACACCATTCCTGGACAAGGGATTTCGGGGTGTGGGGGTGCAGAAAGTGAGATTCTTATATGCCTAATAGGCACCTATTGAGCAACTGTTTAATGTCTTAACAGGTCATGAGCCCTCGCTAGCGTAATGATCGAGACACCCGTACTTAGTGAGGCAGGTTGAGATTTCGAACCCCGCACTTGTGGTATTCCCTGATCACCAAAAGATATCTTCCACTTAAAGCCGGATGGAATCTCAGCCCTTAAATGCATTTGCAGACCCTAATCTAATATAGCTAGGGGGACCTCCTTAAATTCGTCGAGTAGACCTTGTAGCCTATTACGCCATGGGAAGTTCTGAGAGACATGCCCAATATGCTTCTGTTGATTTAGTTGGGCTCTACCGCTGCAACTCCAGTGCTTTAGTGCGTCCCAGCCAGGCATTATTTACTGTATTTACTGTAACGGACAACTACCTACAATTGGTCGCAATGTAACTAGTCACGAACACAATGGTTACTCCAGATGGAGCGATTGTGTTCACATAGCCATGATAAAGCAATTTAAAATCAATAAAGATTCTTGGATCTTGCCCTAGCCAACGGACATCCCGCGTCAATCAGCCTTGTGGGGGGTTTGAGAGCAACAGTAAATAGCACAATAATCCACTACTCACCGTGCAAGCCATCATAATAAGATCTATAATTATAAAGAGCAAGGCAACAAGGGCCGGAAAGCCCATGGCTGTCATTATAAATAGAATTGTTTCCCTGGGGGCTGAAGCGGTCGCCAATTATTGAGACATGTGGTGTCAAATGCAGGTACTCCAAGTTGCTAACCTTCTAGGTTCATGAACTGCATTACAGGAATAGCCAAGGATGATAGAAATGAGAGAATGCAAGGTCAGGGGGCTCATTTCCAGCTTTGGTGACACGGAAGAGCGGGGTTATTTTAAGGCGCCGACAGACTTGTCAATGACAGCCTGGTTAGGTGCCTTACCTGCCAGATCTGGTGGCCTTGGCCAAACCGCGATATCCGAATTTCGAACCTATCGCATCGGAACTCAACCCAACAGGGTATCTGAAGTGATGCTAGACCTTGGCCAGTTTCACTCTTGCAAGTATTGTCAGGGTTTCATCATAGACGTTGACAAACACTCGCCCAAAGCCAACCACGGGACATTCCGCGGTCCTGAACCAGATATTTTCGGAAACCCACAGACAACACTTTTCTTCGATCGCAGTCTATCCGACGTCCTCGAAGGGAGTGTCAGAGGATGTAAATTCTGTGAATGGCTTGACGAAAATTGGCGGACAAACTTTGGCGACCGTTATACCCAGCTCAGGAGCTGCGCACAGTACTCGCAAATCTGCGCCGAGACCTATAGCCGCTCATTGATTGACCGGCTACCGTTAGATGACATTGAGTACTTTGGACTCTGGGAGAATGAACTACCGAGTAGTCAGATAGGAGGTCGATGCCATGTACGAACCAGGGCCCAGATTGACGTGTTCACCACCAAAGGTCTGCCTTCACTACCACGGATCCGTGTTACATCAAGTGACTAAAATTTACAGATGACCTAGCTGCAAACTTCATCTGGAATCGACCGATTAACCAGGAGCCTGGAAGTCAAAAGAACCTAGAACTTGCACGGAATTGGCTGGATGAGTGTCGCACGAGTCACCCAGACTGTGGCTCCATCCTAGAGCAAAGATATATGCCGACTCGTGCCCTAAAACTGAACAGTCAAGCGAAGTCGTTGGAGGCCACCGTACATCTGGTGATCAGGCCCCCTGTCGAGCCATACGTTGCTTTAAGTTATTGTTGGGGCGGCGATCAACTACATAAATCGACCAAAGCGAAAATAGAATCTGGTAACTTCAGCATCGATGTAAGAGGGCTGCCGAGTTGTTTACGAGATGCAATCAAGACTACAATGAGTTTGGGTCTTCAATGGCTTTGGGTTGATTCCCTATGCATTATACAGGACGACATCAGCGACAAGATGATTGAAATCGATCAGATGCCAAGCATTTACGCCAACGCTCTTGTGACATTGTCCGCGTCAAAATCTGCCGCTGTAGCAAGCGGATTTCTAGAACCAATAGACTACGTAAAGAACACATCCATGGCGGTTAAGCTGCCGTTCCGATGCCCAGATCTTGAGGATATGCATGGTAATGCGTACGCGATGGTCATGCCGGACAGTAGGGCAATTGATCCTATTCATCTGAGGGCTTGGACTCTCCAGGAACGCTACCTAGCGCCTAGAGTCCTCGAGTTTTCTTCACTACAGATGCGTTGGGTTTGCAATTACACGGTACCCGACGAGAAACAGGGCTATTCAGATGGCTGGAAGCGTGGTCAAAACCCAGAAGACTCTGGTATTGTGACTGCCATGTCGTACCACGACATAGTCAAACAAATTGAGAGTCTTCGCAAGCATCCCGCCCTCGAGTGTAGCATAGGAGACGACTTGCGAGGATTCTGGGAAGCAATTGTTCACACCTATACAGCCAGAAATATGACAGATTCAATGGACCGCAGTCTGGCTATCTCGGGGATGGGTAAAGCTCTGAGCGCACTTTACCCGGATAAGTACCTCGCCGGACTCTGGAGGAGATCTATGCCCAGTCAACTATGTTGGACAATTGCCACTCCGGAAAATGTGTATTCTCCAGGAAGTGTTCCCAGGGGCAAAAGAACTCTGCATCCGCGACCTTGGAGATACCAAGGGCCGTCGTGGTCGTGGACCGCAGTCAACGGGACGGTTGACGTCATGCTAGGTCGCGCCTGCGACAAAGATTGCCGAGCCCAACTACTCGATGCCTATATCGAATTAGTTGAGCAGAAAGCAGAGCACGGGGCAGTCAAGTGTGGCATTCTAACGCTCAAGGGAAGAATGAGACGAGTCATGTGTGAGGAGGTTGCACCCATTGACGAGTATGGGGCCTTTGTGAGAGAATATTCGTCGAATCCAGAAGACACGACAAATCAGTTCATGCATCTCACACGGCTTTTATTCGACTGTCTAGACCCACCTGGAACAGTTGAAAGCGAAATCTTCCTCTTCGAGATCGGCAACTGTGTGTCGCTCAAGCGCCGCGGACCGGTTGGGTTGGTTCTTCAGAGATGCCCGGGGAGGCCGCAACGTTTTACTCGCCTCGGAGTGTTCCGGATCAGTAAGGAATTCGCGGGACGGATTCCGCAAAACATCATTGCCGAAGATTTCAGAAACCTCATCAACCAACCGTGGGAACAACACCTAGAAAACGAGTTGAAATGGTTCGATGACATAGAACCAACAGTGATACAAGTGGAGTGAATGTGACGATCTCATCCAACAACTTTCAGGCAGCGAAATATTCTAGCTCTGTCAGCTGAAGAATTGGATCGATGTAGCTGCCCATAGTTCGGAAAGGCAGTTACTACGTGATGAGGCTTAGTCGGGATCCGGTTCCGCAAGCCGATGGTCCCATCGGAGAGCAATGTGGGGTATATAATCGGCAAGGCGATCAAACACCCGATCCATAGCAGATAAGTCGGGATCTATGTTCCACTTTGCTATGACCGGCCTGAGCCGGACTAGAGCCCGCATCGGCAAGTTCGCGACTTGCATTAGGGAGGCTGACTGCGATGCACCCTGGCCAAGATAAGGCCAGACGAGGACGCACCATAAATGGCATCCTTATCTACAGGAGTTTGATTCCTGGACAACTCACCGTGTTGTGTCACCGCACATTGTTATAAACGTTCACATCCTCCTCAGAGTTGGACAGCCACCGCTTAAACATACCACACTACGCGAGGAAATACCAATAGCACCACGCCAGGGCTAAACAGGTCCCTGACAACAATGAGATGGCCGACGTCGAAAAGAACATTGTCGTCGCTGACTCCTCCAGCCTGCCAACCTCAGCACCCGAGAAACCTCAGCCTGACGATGAAGATATCTATATCGATCCAGAGAAGGAAAGAAAATTACTCTGGAAGTGTGATATATACCTTACGTCCCTTTTGACCCTCTCATTTCTATCTGCTTACCTTGACCGTTCTAACATCGGCAATGCTGCGGTCGCGGGCATGTTGCCAGATCTGGGGATGACTAGTCAAGATCTTGCAAGTAAGCTTTCTCCTACACTAACTATACAAGGCATATCTGATCAGTAAAGATGCCGTGCTCATGTTTTATGTAACTTACGTTCCATTCGAACTGCCCGGATCCCTGTTGGTGAAGAAGATCCGACCCAGCAGACTCTTACCCACGTTCATGTAGGCTCCCAAATCCGATACAGTGGGCTAGCTTTACTGACATGAGTAGGCTTGGATGGAGTTTGGCATGCTTGGGAACTGGTTTTATCAAAACTGTGCCACAATTCTACGTAACGCGTCTGCTAATCGGCATATTTGAGTCGGGAATGTATCCAGCGCTGGCTATCACACTCACGTGGGTTGAAGACGACGACACTACTCATTTACCTATACTAACTCTGTATTTAGCACATTTTATACCCCTAAAGAGCAAGCTCGCAGATTTGCGTACCTCCACGTATCCGTAGGGCTGTCTGGAGGTTTTGGTGGTCTGTTCGCGTATGCACTACTAAAGCTGGATGGCGTTCGTGGCATTGCTGGGTGGTATGTTTCCAAATTTTATCTTCTAGTGCGAAGGGGGGTTTTTTTTACTGATATTCAAAAGGAGATGGCTGTTCATCGTCGAAGGTATCATCAGCGTCTGCATTGCGTTCTTATTGTGGCTAGGAATGCCAGACAATTACGATAACGCGAAATTTCTGAACGAAGAAGACAAGGCCCTCATGCGCCTGCGAACGATCAAGCACGATCGATATATGAGGCTGAACGAGACTTTTGATAAGAAGGAAGTGTTTAAAGCCTTTAAGGATAAGAAGCTCTGGCTCAGTGCCTTGATCCAATTTTTGGGTGATGTACTATCCTTCGGCATCTCAACTTTCTTGCCATCTTTGGTCAAGTCTTTTAAGTTTGACTCAGTCTTGACCCAGCTACTGACCGTCCCGATATACTTCTGGGCTGTGTTCTTCTATATCACCATTTCATTCTGGTCAGACAGAATCCAGAAGCGAGCAATCTTCATGATACCAGGTGGTCTTGCTGTGGCAGTTGGGTATGCGATTCTCTGCGGGGCCCCAATGGAAATGAGAGGAGTATTGTACTTTTCTTGTTTCATAATAGTCCCAGGCATATACGTAAGTAACACAAATTCCGAGAGTTGATGTCAGTGCTAATGCGGTTCAATTTAAGTGTATGTTAGGGCTCAACTATGTATGGATGTTGAACAGCCACGCTGGCTACTTCAAACGAGCCACAGCTATTGGTATTAATATGACGGTGGGAAACTGTGCAGGACTTGTTGTGAGTACCCAAATTCATGCCAAGTAGGCGTTTGCTAAAATATTTCCCTGAGAAGATTGGCCGAATTTTCAAGAATACTACCTCGGAGGGCCGGTATTTGGAAGGAGAAGCTACTTCATTGGGTTGCGGACTAGCCTGCTCCGTTCTTATTACGGTGCTTTTCATGTATAAGAGAAAGCAAAATAGCATAAGGGATGCTCTTAGTCTTGAGGAAAGGCAGAGGTGGATCGACGAGGGTAGGGCCGGAGACGGTCATCCAGATTTCCGGTATATCTTGTGACCGCGATTCCACATCCACGGATGTTGAGCAGAGGACAAGGGCAGTGGTTTAAAAAGACAGGAAACCTAATCAGTTGCGAAATCTTTCATCGCGCCTATATTGTGTCACATGTGACGGTGAATCGCCCATGGCACTACGTCGACATCACAAGCCATTTCTTCTATGTATGTGGGCGCTGTAAGGAGTCGCGTCAAGTAGAGCCGAACATTTCATTTAGGTGGAAGCCGTTGGCTCGCCAATCCAATTATCCGCTGCCAAGCATGACTTTGATTCGTAGCTTCTTTGTCTTTTTCTCGTAGCAAATGTTGCATATCCCCTTTCAGCGTAAGCCTACAAAGGCTAAGATTTGCAGGTCAAGAGTTGCCCGACCAGTATTGTGAGCGACAATGAAAAACATTCCAGCGTCGTCCGTTTTCAGAAGTTCAAGAGTTCTCAAGAGATGGCAGCTACGGCTTGTTCAGGGTCTTTGGGGGAGAGTCGAAGCTTTCTTCGATTTCGTGCCCTTGTTAGCCAAATGGAAAAGGCGTATCTCAACGGGAACAGAACAGATAAGTAAGTCGTCGTTAGCAACAGCTGTCTCGTCGCGAATAACTACTCGAACCCTGATGGCTTCGAAGGAGAAAAAGACCACCAGGGCGAAGGCTGAGACTTCCGGCACTGTGAATGCTGTCCAGCTTGTCCGCACAGCAAGTAAGTTCGGCCTCCCACGTGTATTACCATTTCTTCGCTTATCTTAGTATCCAGTACTTTGCAATGGAGAGCTGGCAACATACGGCAAAAGCAGTAGATCACATATTCCAACGAAGAGCTCTCCAAACTCCCTTCCGGTGAATCTTAACGAAGTATCAAACCATCTATACGCCCTCAACGATCTACAGTTGAAGCGAGATGTCCCCATCCAATCGCCAAGCCTGACTTACGCGGTCAGGTCGTTATTTTTAAGTCTGCCAGAGCAGGTACAAGAGAGGATATCCATCCCACCGGCCACTGCTTCCGATACACTATTTGGAAACAGTTGTCAAGATGATTTTGAGATGCGGGCTCATAAACAGTACTCGAGACGGCCAACCACATCAGGAGCAGGCAGCAGGCAGCGTACATTTTGGGGCAAATTACGACAACGGGAATTCGTTTTTTGGCCGGTTCTCACGGATACCGATTGCTGGTCAACGGTTGTTATGCATCTTGCTAAGTCGGCTGGCTCCGATGATTATGATACAGTCACCGAGTTCGCCATTGTGGATTCATCTCGCCACCCAGATTCGACCGCGCGGATCCAGCACGCAGAGAGTCGACTGCGACTTATCTTCGGCCTTGGAGATATCCACTTCAAGTCAAACGCACGAAGGCAAATCTGGGTGCCGCCACAAGATGAGGGAAAGCCATGGGAGTCAGGTATTCGCTGTTTCCAACTCATTCGGCAACTGCTTTTCCGTGTTACAGACTTGTTCTGCACCAAAACACCATTCGATGGTGACCAGTTTTTCGCCACGGCAATTAGTGGTTGGATCAACGTCGATTTTATTCGTCATGAGATGATTGGTATGCTTCAGGAGCGGTGCAATGCTGTTCTTGACTATTCGTGTCGCTATGCGCTGGAGCCTATCCAAGATCTACGACTTACGGCCGAACTTGAAGGAATATTTCCGCCTAACTCGCTTGCGCCTATCTTCGAAGGGATTCCAGCATAGTGAGTACCACTTCCTTGAGCTGGATTATCTGGCACTTTGCTGGAAGAGTCTTTGAACCAGCGTCCTATGTTTGTTGCTGTTTCATTGAATCTGTTCAATACTAACATCTTACTCAGTGAGCCTAACACAAATAAAACTGTCCATACTGATGTCGATGTGGAGGACAGTCTAGGTAACGATGATAACCAATATGCGTCTGACTCTGAGGACAATCTTTCCGAAGAATCCGGGGATGAGGTTGCTAACACTGGGGCTATTGTGGATGCAGTCCAGACCAGTGGAGGGGAGTCTGAACACGCTGCGCCAGACGATAGTCAAGATATAGGCGAAGTTGGTGGTAACCCCGTAGTGGGTATCACACGACAAAACGACAGCCCAGAAGAATCAACCCCTAGTGCGGAATATTCCGAAGCTCTGAAACGATCAGCCGCAGAAGATGATCAAAGTGAAAGAGGCCAAACTCATAAGCGAAGCAGGGTGCAAGAGTAGAGTCTGAATTTCTGGTATTAGGGGAGGGGATACTGCGCATTGCCGTAGATGATATATCTTGCACCTTGAATAATATTTTTATGATCTGATAAGAGGCCTTCAGCATGACTTGCTACGCACTATAGGCGTTGGTTGCGTTTTGCAAAGCTAAGAACGTGTAATATGAGATAATTGCTAGATAATAGTGAACATCGCACCAAAGTGTAGCCACCTTCGTTGGTTAACTCAGTGAATTTGGCCACCCGTTAGGAAGTTATAGGGCACTTTACCGTTCATGCTGTCAGGTCGGATCTGGAAAGCCCATTCGAAATACATGGAAGCCTCTTTTTACTGCGGCATCATCCTGTTGCATTGACAGTTCGGTCGTACACGGGTAACTGACATTGTCATCTAGGTGCTTCATCATTCCGCAAGACGGGGTCCAGCCGAAGTAATGACTGTAGTGCACATACTCATAAGGAATATCTTTCGGATGCCTAGCAACTTGCATTATTCCCAACTCCCGCAGCCTTCGTGAATGCTTGTCTACTCCTCTGACGCCGTCTTTACTCATATCGTCAGTCTCGCCTTGAACTCTTGTTTAATAACTTGCTGATCGTCATCGACGAAGACATCGACATCACTTCAGTCGGGGCCATCCAAGTGTTGATCTTGCGCAGTGTCTCCGCGCTCAATAGGGTCTAAGATATTAACCCACTCGCGGAGTGTGCTTTGGATCGGATTATTGCCTGTGGGGTAGGGAATCTTGTCTGGTGAGTTTCGATACGTGTCAATGCTCACTTGGTCCACTTGATGCCTCGACATAGACAGTCAAAGGTACATGAATTCTTTTCTCTTGGTTGACAGTTGTCTCTTATGGCATGAAAAGAGCTGAGCATGTTCAAGAAGAAGCGGTGAAATCGTTGAGGCTCGGACTAGGCCCTGAAACCTGAATCTCTAGGATACGCCGCCTTTATTGCATCCCGAATGCACTGCTGGTTGCCTAGGGAAAGCTTGAGGGTGCTTCATCGAAGGACCTTGTGCCCTCGGCTATTCTTTGTGTTGGTATTGCTGCTCACGATTTGATCTAAACCTCTGCCATCTGCTTAGCCAATGAGATGGAGCACGGCAGAATCCGAAGCGCCGATGACTGTCACAATAAGCCCTAGCTTTGGAGTTGCCTTGCGATTGTTCTTTGTTCTCATATTCTGTAGCTTAGTCGTTTGCATTTGTAAGTTGTCGGGGCTTTATTGCCAGCACTCTCTCAGCACAATCGACTGTGGGAGACGAATGCTGGCAGGGTCAAGATCGCAAACCCTCACCATTGTTCTTGCCAACGTTCCTGCCATATAAAGTACTCTAGCTCATACTACTTAGCACCATCTCTTCAGCAGCTGCGAGGCTGAACGATTACGCACGCTAGCCATAGTCCTTGAATTGTTGGGTCTGGTCCGCGTTGTTGAAACCAGCCTGCATGCCAGTCGACAAAATTTCTTACTCAGGGAGTGCATCGGTCTGCTGTGAGATAAAGAACAAACATTGCCTCCACCAAGGAATTCACAGATAAGAAATATTCATAGTACAGTAGAAGGAGATCTCGTTTGTGCGGCTATGAGTGGGATCCCTGTAAACACAAACGACTCTGACGGGTGTAACTGTGACCGTCCATGCAGAGTTCAAGGGCGATGTAAACGTTTCTGCTGCAGGGACAATGTGGCTTGCGTCTGATCTTGTGAAACAACTGCGACGTATGAAGAAAATGGGTGGGTTCCAATTGGACACAGTTGAGACAAGACCCATGTAGGCTTTGGCTGCCGAGGCAGATACTCTCGAGAACCTACAGTAATGAGATGCATACAGGATTTACATTGCCTTAGGCGGATGGGGCCGAGAACGGTCCGTGAACAAATAACAAGATAGGTTGTCATCCGAAGACTTGTATAGCCTGCAGCTGTCCAATCTCGGGGGCCCAGTGGTGACCAGCAGCCAGCCGTGACGGCAACCCACTTCTCATCAGTTCTAAGGTTGAGTGTGTACGAGTTATGTAACTCTACATGTACCTACCTTAGATACATCGGTATGCGATATGTATTCAATCTGGAGATTTCTGGGTTGCGGAAGAGCCAATTCCTCTTGTCTTCTCATCAACCCTGGCCCGGCAGCGGAAAGCAGCTTTCCCTGCCCAGGGCCCCCCGTCTTCGCACGTCATATCTGCTCTCAGCCGCGCGCAAGATTCTTCTGGTCTAGATAGGGGTGCAAGTGGAGACACGGCAAACATCGAACGCCAGAAGATTCGGATTGCTTGGGTTTTAGTGCATGCGTGGCCGAGATCGTCAATCAGTTCAGGGGGCTAAGACCATATCAAGAACTGACTCGCACTGCGGGCCCGTGGCTTTCGACTAGTAGCATGCTTCTTATTATTACTTTCGCATATATTCACTCGGATTCCCGTTCGCATCTTGATCTTGCCAGTTGTCCCTGAAACGTGCACGTCGCCATCCATCCTGTGCTGGCTGTCTCGTCGCGCTGCAGTACTGCTGCTCTTTGTCGCAGCCCCGCAATGCCGGCAGTAGCTCAGCCATGATGTTTCCCTCCAAGGTGCCGCGCGTCTTTATCCTGGCTGGCTTTGTGCTGATATTCCTGGTCGTGGGCACCAACTATTATCTTTTCGATGACGAGCCACGGTATGCCCCCGCGACCAACTGGTCGGGACACGTCGGCGACGACTTGAGCCAGACCAAGACTCCGGAGGATGTGGTCGTTGGTGCAGATGTTGGGGGCGTCGAGGATCCTGGTTATCTGGGCCACAGTACAGAACCTGCAGTGGCTGAACCCATCCCAGCTGAGCCAGAGGCCAAGCCTGAGGCCGAGCCTGAGCTGCCAATCAACCCAGTGCCGGTACCTGATCTAGCGCCGGAGCCAGAGCCAGCGTCAACGCCAATGCCAACGCCAACCGCGGCGCCCAAGGCATTAGACGTCACACCAGAAATCGCCAAATTGCCGGCTCAGCCTGAATTCGGAGACGACAATCCGCACCCTTTGCTGCCGCCCGGCGAGTGCCCTGAGCTGGAGTTCCTGGAGCGAGCGCACTCGGCACACAACTTCAGCTCCAAAGTGCGCTACAAGCAGGTCTGCATCGAACCGAGCTTTTCGGCCGACGTCGACCGCGATGCCGTGGCCAACATCTCGGAGCGAATCTTTGGCGGCGAGGTGACGGTGAACCTAGGCGACTGCAGCAGCGCACAGCTCCCGCGGTGCGTCCCCATTAAGCTCCAAGTACCGCAACCTTACCGGCCTTCCAACATCTCGCACTTCATATTTGGCATCTCGACCGACTATGAGCGGCTCCAGAGCGAGATCGACACGTTTGCGCACTGGCTGTCCAAGCCTGGGGGATCTGGTGCCAAGTTGGTAGCCCTGGTGACCGATTACGCGGAACAGAAGAATGGGAGCATCCATGAGCTCCAACAGCGGTTTGTTGCTGCCGGCATCAATGCCGACATAGTTCCGCCTCTCAACGAATTACACACAGTATCTCAGTCCCATTTTTCAGTTCTGACCTACATGTACAACCGGAGCACCCCGGCGACTCAGTGGTATGGTTTGCTGGATGATGACACTTTCTGTGAGTGCCTTGCGACTTGGAGTTCGGTGACATGTCTCATAGCTGCGCCAAATGCTAACTCACCGCTCTAGTCCCCAGGGGTCTGCAACCGCTCTCGGATGCGTTGGCGACTCTGGACCACAAGAAGGACGTCTACGTCGGCGCCCTCTCGGAGGACCTACAGGCCATCCGCGTCTTCGGCTTCATGGCGTTTGGAGGTGCTGGTGCCTACTTTTCGGCACCTCTGGCCGAGAAACTCGCCAAGGAGGCCCGCACATGCATGGAAGAGTCTGGCGACGTTCCGGGAGACATCATCATCCGGGACTGCGTGTATCGACATTCCAAAGTGAAACTGACCATCCTGCCTGGTCTCTTCCAGCAGGATTTGAGGGACGACGTCAGTGGGTTTTTCGAGTCCGGCGTGCAGCCCATCAACCTGCATCACTGGAAGAGCTGGTACAAGGAGCCGGTCGTCGAAATGGCAGCAGCGGCATCGTACTGTGGCGACTGCTTTCTACAGAGGTTCCGATTCGGCGGCGACACCGTATTCACGAATGGCTACTCAATAAATAGGTACCGCTACGGCCACAAATATCTCGACCTACAGACCATGGAGGGCACCTGGTCTAACGCCAACAAGGACTTCGACTTTAGCATCGGGCCGGTCCGGCGGAAGATGGTACCAGACGAGAAGAAGAGCTACAAGCTGGCCGATGTAGATTTCAGCGATGTTGGGGATTTCAAGCAGCTCTACGTGTGGAAAGGAAACGCCAATGCGAATGAGATGGACGGCATCATAGAAGTGATCTGGCAGAGATATGGGTAAGATCTAGGGCATCAGATCGGGCATGGCGTTTGGGAGAGCGGGCATTACATGGTCACAATCGTGCCAAGCGGCGTTCTTCGAGGCCCGGGCGGGCTTCATGAAAATTTCGAGATATCCTCCCATGTAAAAATAAATGTGACACGCATACTCCGAGCGATGTTCGGTTGAATATAATGTTAATCCATACATAATCACTGTTATTGAGCCACCTCATCCTAGCTTTCTTTGCGTCTTGAAGCCAGCCCTGGTGGGTGGGCAGGGATCCCCAGGGGGGCTGGATGGACGGCGGGACCACAACCAAACACAGTACTCAGTAAAATGTAAGTTATTTTGAGGGTACTATGGCAGAGTGGGCGGCGGAACGCCACAGAGTGCCCCTGGTGTTCTACACAATCCAATCATTCGGACCGGGATGGAAGTGATGCCGTTTTCCCCGCTGTGCCGCTCCCCTACAGTTCGATCAGATCAGTACGCCTCCCTATTGCGTCCGCTGAGGCGCCAAAGCGTTTCTGGTTTGGTCCAGTTTTATCCTATTGTGTGTGGATATGCCCTCTCTATGCTCCTGATGACAGCCTGGAACGGATTGGGATGACGGTTGCATGGATAGCTGCTACTGCCTAGACTTTAACAAGACACGAAATATTAGATGTCCCGCTGCAGCAGGGACAGGGCTTTACGCACGCCTGGTCAAGGCCACCCATAGCGGAGCAGTAGCTCCAACTAGGTAGCTAACTTGTCCAGCAAACTCGCGGCACTTCGCAGGGGAGTTCAGCAGGTCGGGATCTTTAGATTAGCCCCCGACGAATGACAGGCGAGACCCCCCAACCCCCACCGGCGAAGAGCTGCTAGGCGGCGGCCGGGCGAGATAACTAATGGATCGGCTGCGTACTGTGCTGTAAGTTATGCAGCACTTAGTAATAAGCGACTTAAATTTTACCTTGGGCCAACCTAGGGCACTCTGCGACGTCAGGGAATGCGAGCTGGGGACGTGAATGAATAAGTCTGTGTTTAGTCACAACCTGGAACGAAACCCGCAGTCGTATGTGCCTGCGCTCTCCACGATACTCACGGTATAGTTGGTCGGAGGCTGGGGAATCATGATCAAATACCAGAAACCCTCTGCGACCTGACCACCACGATCGAAGCAGCCTGCTGTGAGGAAGCACGACGGCGACGGTGGCAACCGAGGCTTGAGCCCCAACCTTGCGTCGACATGGCGCAAATGCAAAAGTCCATGGTCGCGGCTTTCTCGTGAGCTTCCCTTCTTGCCCAAGCCATGTCTGAGCCTCCATGCCAGTGCGAGACATGGCGCAACCGTTGAAGCTAGTTCTAACGTGTCGTTCCCGGCCAGAGTCCTCGCACTATCAACCGCATTCGTCTCGTCTCGGTACTACAAGAGCGCCGCTTTCGGTACGCGCCCCGTGTTCCGAACACGATCTCCCCCGACCATTGTTGCGCCGCCGCTGACTTTCTACACGCAGAGCGACCTTTCCATTTCTCCATCTTGACCCTACTCCTCACCGGGACTGCGCTGTACCTCTGGTCACGCTTTGTTCTCCGCCAGAGCACCTCGTATGAACCCATCCGCGCGGCCAATGGCTACGCTGGCAAGCATGCCCCCGAAGGATCGAATCGGTTACGGAGGACGCTGAGGCTCCTACTGTCGACACCGCTATCCTCACCGTCATCGCTGATACTGGTAACTTGCATCGTCTCTCGGACGATACTCTTCTGGAGGGTTATCCGCACAATACATTGCTCCTGGGATGGGCTGCAGGTATGGCATATAGGGGCGGTCGCGTGCCTCCTGGTGTAGTCGCAGGCGCAAGAACACGCTGACCGTGGCTACAGAGCTTCCTCCCTTTTGCGATCTCGGCATACGATGTCCTCGAAACACGACCGACCCTGTTACCGAGGAGTGGGCACGATACCTCGGGACGTCCCAGCGGCGGATCGCTGGGTTTGTCCTTCTACACGCTCGTGGCCTTGGCGTGGGGCATTGCAACGACTGACACGCTGTTTCTGACGGAGCGCAGGACGGGCACAATCTGCCCGCCCGGTATTCCGGAACGCTTGATACCGCTGGCGCAGTTGCTCATGCTGCTTTGCGATGCCCTCATGCTGATCCACGTCGGGCGGCTGCGGCGCGGTCAGGAGAGCAAGGGCAATTCGTGGCACACGCTCGGCTGCCTAATCACATCAGCAGCTGCCGTGTTGGCTTTCCTGGCGTTCTGGTCCTGTTTTGATCGCACCAACTTCCGCTGGAATGTCTTCCTCACATCCGTATCTGTCGGTGACCTAGTTCTGGATAGTGTTGCAGTAGCTTTAGCGTTGACTGCAGGTATCTATCTGTTGGGCACGGTTGACGCCGCCACTGTTGCTCTGATGGTTACTGCCTCTGCCGTCTTCGTCCACCTCCAATTGCGCATATTCGACGGAACGCTGATCAAGGCTTGGTCCAACCTGTGGGGTCTAGGTACGGGTTTATTTGTCTACCTGGGCGTAGGCGCTCTATTGCAGCGGGCCCGGCATACGGGAAACTTCGCAAGTCCAGGGCCAGATTTGCCATTTCACAAGAACAGATTCGGTGCATACTCCCTCCTGGCATTTGCTCTGGTCATCTCCCAGACATTGATGCTGGGACCTGGCAGAGTTCACTCAGACTCTATCGCCAAAGTTATCGCCAAGGCCCGGGGCGAGTCGGATCAATGGATCTCAGGGGCTATGCAAAGCAAGAACCTGAACGAAGCGGCTCTAGAATACACCCAGAGATACGGCATACCACCGCCGCCGAACTTTGACAAGTGGTACGAATATGCCGTGTCGGTCAATTCCCCAATCATCGACGACTTTGCACAGATACATACAGATCTTCTTCCGTATTGGGGTATCTCACCAGCCCTCATCAGGGAGCGCACTGTGCATCTGCTAGAACATCCTTTGCTTTCGTTCGGCGGCTTGATCATCGAAGGCGGAAAGGTTGAAATCTCGCCGCACATAAGAGGCACCCATCGATGGATGATGGAAGTCATGCAAGGCATGATCGAGCCGTTTGCTCAGTGGCTACCTGACATGCAGCTGGCGTTCAATCTTGACGACGAATGCCGTGTATCTGTCCCGTTCGAGCGGCTGAACGCTTATAGAAATACAGGACTGAAGGCTCGGGCTCACGTGGCCTCGGGCGTTGAGTTCCACGGCTTCAGTCCTTCGCAGACACCACCCTGGCCGAAGGAGTACCTCGCTCCCCTGGACGAGGAAGCGGACAAGCCGAAGAAGGACGAGCTCTGGAAGAAAACGTCGCCATGGTTTCAGAACTGGTCCAAGTCGCCTATCTTCTACGAGTGGATTTCATCGGCTTGTCCACCCGACGCGCCTGTGAACAGCTTCCACTGGTGGAACAGGAAAGCGGAATGCCCCTCGTGCTCTGCACCTCACATGACGGACAGCGTGGTGTCCAACTGGACTCTGTCGGGAGACTTATGCCACCAACCGGATTTGGCCTATCTTCATGGCTTCCTTTCATCGCCATCTGCAATGTCGGCGACCCACACTCTATTCCCCGTATTCAGTCAGAGCCGCATGCACAATTTCGCGGACATCCTGTACCCTAATCCGTGGAATTTCGGCGACAAGGTAGCGTACGATGATGGGAAGGCGATCCCGTGGCACCAGAAAATGAACAGCGTCTACTGGCGCGGGGCCTCTTCTGATGGATTTGCAGCGCATGGCGCCTGGCAAACTTTCCTGCGTGCTCGATTTGTGTACATGGCAGAACACCTCAAATCCTTCTTTGGAACCGCCTCCTTGATGAGTTTTGTTTCGGACAAGCACGTGGCTCAAACACCATCCATACACGCGAGCGACGACACACCGGTTGCTGTAAATGTTTCCTTCGTCGGCAAGTTTGGACGTTGCGATGAACGGGATTGCATAGCTGAGCACACCACCTTCTATGGTAGCCCCACGGCCGAGCCTTCGCCTTCGCTGGACTTCCAGGAGCACTGGCGACACCGCCACCTCATCGACCTCGACGGCGCTGCCTTTAGTGGTCGTTTCCTGCCCTTCCTCAAGAGTGCGTCGCTCCCATATCGAGCAGCTCTCTTCCGCACCTGGTGGGAGGAGCGCGTGCACCCATGGAGGCACTTTGTGCCGCTCGACGTGCGGCTGAGCGATATTTGGACTGTCGTTAGCTACTTTGGCGGCAAGGGTGGCGGTGATGCCGAGATGATTGCAAAGCAGGGCCGCGAGTGGGCAAACAAGGCGCTAAGAAAGGAAGACATGCGAGCGTATATGTTTCGGTTGTTGCTGGAATGGGGCCGCCTAGTGGATGATCGCCGAGATGAGCTGGGCTTCGTTTCTACTTGAAGCAGTGTTTCCGTTTTGCATATGATGCGCATGTGGATAGGGTTTGCCATGATGATTGCATTGATACCCGTTTATTAATCTCCAGTAATGATATAACGAAAGAAATTCTGCCACGAAGATTTTGATCATGCACGGATTCACTTCCAAGACGATCAATATGAATCTGATATCGGTTCAGAGGCAGGTGGGTGTTGATGAGGACATGCATCTGTCCATCCCATCTGTTCATAGCTCCATAGCCGAGACAACATGTCCTCCTCTCCTGGCTGCATAGGAACCCGACGCGATATCACTGTCGCCTGGACTGCCTGTCATCCTGGACCAAACTTTCGGTCTCTCTTCCGCGATGCTTCGCATTGGCGTAGAAAGTTCGGCGGTGATGATGAAAAGTGATGGAAACTCAGAAGAAAATGGCACGTACTACTAGGGATTCTGAATTTGTCGACCAGTGGTGCTGAAGCGGAGACAGTCCGCGACCAAAGTTGGCATCGGTGTCTGTCCAATTCATCTTGGACTTCTATCACTCCCGAGGCAAAAGACTCGCAGTAACTCCGTATGGATGAACCAGGGTAGAAGACATTCCTTTCCTCGAAGAACGATACCCGACGAATTTTGATGTAGAAGACGGAGAAGCGTGCAGACATACCGTAGGATTGTTCAGGGAACGCCTATGAGGCAGAAAGTGTCCATTGAACACCGTGCGTCGGCAGGGGGCATGATCCCAGGCCAAGTACTGGATTCCTTTGTCAAAGCCGGACGATATAGTCTCCAGCGCTCTCCTACACTGATTGTTTCCTGGACGACGCTCATCGGGAACAAGAGGTCATTGGCCAACCGTAGGTAGACAATGACCACCAGAGTTCGTTGAGGCTATTCGTCAGACCAGGTATACGAAGGTGGGTGTCACCCCCCTGAAGCCACTGCCTTCAATTATCATTGATGATCGGTAATCCTCAATACATATCGATAGTATTTCCCTTTCCCATCACCGCGAGTGAGGCCAAATGAGGCCAAAGCTATCGGAGAACGAACAAGCGCAGTGCGTTCAGCCGTAAATGTCGACATGGTAATATATCACCCGGGGCCTTCCTCACTAGAGCCAATGAGAAGATTCGCATTCATCTCCGAACACTTGACTCAAGCATCTCAAAAAGGGGCACTGCCACCGCTTTTTCAATGGTGCCATTCAGCCTGCGAACATGCCTAGGCCATAAATCCCCGTCACCCTTCGCGCCTACACTGCGAATAGAAGGCATTAGATGCCAACTTTCACCGTGGGCCCTTTGATCTGTCTCATTACATCACGCGGCTGAACTGTTGGTTACCGTGAGTCTGCTTAATGTCGCTGCCACATTGGACGTGAAATACGCGGATACTGGATGAGGAGCGTCACGAAAGACAACTTTATTGTACACAACTCTCTGTGGATACCAATGAAGAGAATTGCAAAATATCTTCGATGCTCTTCCTGGACTCAGATTGAAGCTCATATGCTATTGTACCCCTGACGCCATTTGTAACCACATGAGCTGCCGACAATTATAGAGCAATCGATTGACCAAAAGCTGGATCAACCAGCAGCCAGGACCCTGCACGACTCCACCACCTGCCACTTCGAATTACAAGCATCGGACCATTCCATTCAAGATCGTTATTCGAGCCAAGTACCTAAAGGGTCATCCTCGCTGGTAGATTGTTTCGTCTTGCCTCGCCGCCTCATTTCCATATCTCGAAACAGACTATGCGATAACTGTCAGTTAACAGTATTATATCGAAGACAGTGCCAAGTTCTCGTTCCAGCATCTAGTCGGAATCAGGCGATGGGTTTGACTAGGAGGCAGATGGGTAAACAGAAATGAAAGCACAAACGCACCCGCAAAGCTCCTCTTTCTCTAGTTGCAGATCGGGGTCGTCGTCAAAAGACTCGCTACAATCGGGGCAAGCTGCGTACAGCTTGTTGTCATGTTGTCCCAAGCGCGCGCAGAACGATGGCTTGACGCCGAAGATGAGTTTCTCGCACCACGAACAGGCCGTGTCCCAATTTGCAACCCATACCTTGCCAGCTGCCGATGCAGCAGCAAAATTTTGCAATACCAGGTAGTGGAACTCGGGGACGTCTTGACAGAGCATCTGAAAATTACGATCGGGCAAGATCCAGTAGTGTGTGTCAGCCACGAAGTTGCAGAAGGCGGTTTTCGCTTGTTGGGCGAACGTAGCGTAATGGTTTGTTCGGTCGCTGTCGATACATGCTTTAAAGATGTATCGTATAGCGACGAATAGTCCAAGCAGATCTCCTTCGTCGACCTGGTCGTACTGGGAGGTACAACTTATCCGTTTCCTTTGTGCGAAAATGGATTTATTCGCCAGGTTCTCTTGGAGGCACCTCATGGCTTCATCAATGAGCCTGTCCATCATCAGATAGTCGGCGCAGTGGGCCATGTCGAGGCAGGCCATGTAAATTCCCTGCTCGTCATTCAAGGCATCAGGAGCAAAGACTACAGTCCGTCAGTGGTGGGGATTAGCAAACAACTCCTGTGCAGACACGCACCACCAGTGTAGATCCACTCGAAGACCCATCCGAGGTCCCTCGGCTCCTGCCCTGTGATTACAATCGAGCTTGTCTGGCTTGCCTATACATGCCTCAGAACAGGGATCAACGCGTTGTGATTCCGGGTACTCACTGTCGTCGACTTGTCTGTCAAAGCCTTGCGGAAAAACGGTGAGCGCGATGCCAGCACAGCTCGATGCAGCCTCCATTCCTGCATGGTTCGGCCTTGTTCATCCTGGCACTCCACTGTCACATCTGAGAAGTTGTCGCTGTCGTGCAGCAAGCTGACCGAAACTCGAATAAGCTTTGCTGCGAGGCAAGGAACGTGTCTTTGTGCGGATGTGAGTGTACTCACCTGCCAAAATCTACGCTCAGATCATCCATCGTGTAGGCACGCAAAAGCCGAAGGGCGGGATGATCATGTTAAGTGCCCTGGTATGCAGGATCCAAGACTCCCGTAGCTGGGAAGTGACAACATCAGCCGCGATCAGAAGAATCGAGGCCGAGGGCGACGTTCGGAGAGTCGTGCAGCTGAGGCCAACTCCAAGAGATCGCTGCTCGAAGATTGGAGTGTACTGATTGAACTCCGCCGCGCGACATGCTCTGGTAGGAAAGGTGAAGGGACATGAAAAAAATTTGTGTTGCTGTTTTGTCACGGGATGAGGCGGGTCGATTTGTGACTGCCTGGTTGTACATTGGAAGGCACGCTCGGCGTCAGTTCAACACATTACTTACACAGGGAAGTACCCGCCCACAGCTAGGGTTTGTGATGCATCAAGGAATCCTCGCAAACCAGTTTTGAGATCCAATGAGTGGCCTTCCTGGAAAGAACGCTGAGATTATAAGTGATATGAAGATATCAAACAAAAAAAAACAAAAGGGTCAATGTCCGTAGACTGCGCTGCTCTGATGGTAGCCACTCCTACGTGCTGAGAAAGTTCTATGGAAAGGTTGGCAAATGGTCAAGGCAAAATCCAAGAGGCTGCGAGCTGTGAAGCAACCAGGAGAGGATTGGGAGTCAGTATAGCTTCTTTTCATTAGCCGGGTATGGCAAGTCTATGGTATGGTATGGTATAATACACCCCTACCCGTCAGGTGACCCCTTTTCATCGCCGCATATCGTCATGCCCTCATTGCCTCTCGCGCCTTCTCGGGGCGGCACGGATAATATCGTCTACTCTCAATAGCAACTGTTGGACTGATCAGTACGGTTCCTTCCGATGAGGTTGGGTAACCTTGGAGGAACAGGGGAATGGGACTCACCTCAGCCGCTTCGCTCGCAGAGGACACCACGTTCTTCTTGAGCTTGTAGGCCTCGATGACGCCCAGGTCGCGCATGTCGGCGATGCCGCCTCCGGGGGTCATCAAGTCCAGGCCATAGGTCGACATGCCATCGTAAATGGCCTTCCGTAATCTTGCAATCAGATCGCTCGAGTCCAGACCAGCATTGTCGGCCAGGATGGTGGGGAGCTGTCGCAGGGCGACGGCAAAGGAGGAGACGGCTATCTGCTTCTTGCCCTCCACCCGGGTAGCGGCACCCTCGACCGCCTTGGCCATCAGCATCTCGGCACAGCCACCGCCCAGGGTCGTCCGCGGCTCCTTGACGGTCTGTGAGAGAACGGCGAGGGCGTCGTGGAGTGATCGGTCAGCCTCGTCCAGCAGCTGGTCTGTCGCTCCGCGGAGCACGATGGTGCATGCTTGGCCGGCCGCAGCACCCGAGAACTTGATGAGCGTGTCCTCGCCGATGATGACCTCCTCGATCACGTCGCAGTGTCCCAGCTTGACCTGCTCGGGGTGGTCGAAGGTGGACGTGATCTCGCCGCCGGTGACCAGGGCTAAGCGCTCGATGCCGTCGAAGTCGGCGTGCTCGATAGACATGATGCCGGCGTCGGTGAAGAGCTGCTCGGGCCAGTTGTAGATGAGTTGCCTGTTGATGAAGCAGTTGATGCCGTGTGCCTTGATCTTCTCCACCTTTGCCCTCATCTTGTCCTTCTCGGCCTTCTCGAGGTCGGCAAGCTTGCTGGTCGAGCTGACCTTGACGCGGGCGCCGAAGATCTTGACCTTGTCCGTGTCCATGGACGTGTTGGCAACTAGGATCTTGGCCTTCTCTAGGCGCTTCGGCTGGTTGACGCCGATCTTCTTGTCCAGGATGAAGCCCTCGTCGAGATACGAGTCGCTCAGCTTGCCGCCGGCCTTCTTGATGATCTGGATGTGGCTGAGGTCGGACGAGCCCTTGAGGCGGAGGACGGCGTCGACGGCGAGCTTGGCGAAGAGGTCGCGGTCCTGGGCCAGGACCTTGGAGCTCAGGGTGGTGCGGGCAATGGCCAGCAGATCCTTCTTGAAGGCCTCGGAGTTCTTGCTGTGGTCGACGGCGGACTCCTCGAGGGCCTGCAGCGCGGCGCGGCTGGCTATCCGGTAGCCCTCGATGATGGTCTGGGGGTGGATCTTCTTGTCGACGAGCTTCTCAGCCTCGCGGAGGAGCTCGGCGGCCAGGACGGCGACGGAGGTGGTACCGTCGCCGACCTCGTCGTCCTGCACCTTGGAGATGTTGACCAGCACCTTGGCGGCGGCGTTGTCGAGGGAGATGGCCTTGAGGATGGTGGCGCCGTCGTTGGTGACCATGATCTCGGCGGTGGAGGCGGACTGCAGGATCTTGTCCATGCCCTTGGGGCCCAGGGTGCTCTTGACGAGGTCGCCGACGGCGATAGCGCCGACGAAGGCCGAGAGACGGGCGTTCTCGCCCTTCTCCTCGGTGGTGCCCTCATCGAAGATCTGGGTGGGACTGAAGGACGACTGTTGGGCGACAGACAGGTCAGCGACGCCGACAAGCAGGCACGGGGCGGCGCCCTGGGACGGTGGCCCGGGGGAAAGGGTCAGGGGCGGGCCCGGATATGACATACCATGGTGACTGTGAGTTGACGAGGTGCCGGTGGCTCCCCCTTGATGGCGAGATGTGTGCGAGTCCGTTGTGCAGATGCCGCCAGCCAGTCGAACGCTCAATCAGGCGGTTCGGTCGTGTCGGTCGGGCTCGGTCTCGTGCTCGTTCTCGTTTCCCGTTCTCGTCTTGGGTTGGAGGGTGGGCTTGCTAGGCGGCGGCGGCGGCGACGGTATGGGAAGCTCTTTGCCCAGGGCCTTGGGAACTTTTTCTGCGGCGGCCAATCAGGGCGCAGGGCGGCGGTTGGCAGGCTGAGCAGGCTCCCGCCTGGCGGGCAGATGGCGCGGATAAGATAGGCGGCGGACGGGGAGGCAGCAGAGTCGGACACCCACCAGCCATGACCCAGTGGTAAGGGGACGGGGCACCATCCCGGCGTCCGGCCCGTGCGGGTGTCCTATTCCCAGCAGACCACGGCCGTGCCAGCCGCCAGCTGCGCCCGGGCCCGGCGTCGAGGCTGCTCGTGCTTGGCAAACCGCGGGGCACAATTTCTTCCCCACCTTCCCACAGATTGGATCTGCCCAACACGAAAATTATCGCCAGCCAGGCCATCTCGAGATTCCCACACCGCAGCCCGGACAGCACAGCACAGCACAGCACAGCAGACCGGACCAGAACGGCAGACAACCAACTTCCCGCTCTCGCGCCCCCGCTGCAGGACTGTAATCCCCCTCGTCAGAGAGACACAGACACACATACGGAAGAAGCATTCTGACCAGTTACTCCCCCCGGCTGCAGTCCTGCTGTCCCAGCCGGCCTTCACGTCCAACCCGCCATCATGGCGCCCTCCTTTGACACTCTGCGCGATGCAGACCTCGACGATGACTACGATGAGTCCGAGATCGACATCAGCGACCTCAAGGAGCGCTTCGATGTCCAGATGACCCAGGGCTACGACACCTTCGTCGTCATCGACGGCCTGCCCACCGTCACCGAGGAGCAGAAGCCCAAGCTGGTCAAGTTCCTGCTCAAGAAGCTGGCCGCCGCCGGCAAGACCAAGGAGGACAACATCTTCATGCCCATGGGCGATGACGGCAGGTCCCTGAGCTTTGCCTTCGTCGAGTACTCGTCGCCCCTCGAGGCCGCCGCCGCCGCGCGCCAGCTGGACCAGGTCGCCCTCGACAAGAGGCACACCATGCGCGTCAACAAGATGACCGACATCGAGCGCTACGGCCGCGAGGGTCGCGTCGACGACGAGTATGTGCCCCCCAAGATCGACGACTTTGCCGAGAAGGAGCACCTGCGCTCCTTCCTCGCCGACCCCAGCGGCCGTGGCCGTGACCAGTTCGCCATGTACCGCGGTGATGCCGTCGGCGTCTTCTGGAACAACGAGAAGGACATCCCCGAGAACATTGTCGACCGCCAGCACTGGACCGAGAGCTTCATCCAGTGGTCCACCCTCGGCACGTACCTGACCTCGGTGCACCAGCAGGGTGTCCAGCTCTGGGGTGGTGACTCCTGGTCGAGGCAGAAGCGCTTTGCCCACCCCTTTGTCAACATGCTCAGCTTCTCCCCCACCGAGAGGTACCTGGTGACCTGGTCCAACCGTCCCATCTCCATCCCCGACGAGGGCCACCCCCAGCTCTCGGTCGATGATGACGGCAAGAACTACATCATCTGGGACGTCGAGACGGGCAAGCCGCTCCGTTCGTTCGCCAACCTGGACGTGCCCGCCGCCCCTACCCCTGATGGTGCCGTCAAGGCTCCTCCCAAGTTCTCCTGGCCCGCTTTCAAGTGGTCCGCCGACGACAAGTATGTTGCCCGCCTGGTGCCGGGCCAGTCCATCTCCGTCTACGAGCTCCCCCGCATGAACCTGCTCGATAAGACTACCATCAAGATCGAGGGTGTCGTCGACTTCGAGTGGGCCCCCGCCACGCCCCAGAGAGACGGCAACAAGCAGTACGAGCAGCTGTTCTGCTACTGGACCCCTGAGCTGGGCAGCAATCCCGCCAAGGTCGCCATGATGAGCATACCGTCCAAGGAGGTCGTGCGATCCCTAAACCTCTTCAGCGTCAGCGATGCCAAGCTCCACTGGCAGTCCGACGCCTCCTACCTCGCTGTCAAGGTTGACCGTCACTCCAAGTCCAAGAAATCGCAGGCTACTACCCTGGAGATCTTCCGCGTCCGGGAGAAGGGAGTTCCGGTCGAGGTCGTGGACACTATCAAGGACACTGTTATCAACTTTGCCTGGGAGCCCAAGGGAGACCGGTTTGTCATCATCACCACAACGGAGCCCGTCGGCGCTACAGCCGTGCCTCCCAAGACCACCGCTTCCTTCTTCTGCCCGGAGAAGGCCAAGGGTAACGCCGTCGGCAACTTCAAGCACCTGAGGACGATGGAGAAGAAGAACCACAACGCCATCTACTGGTCCCCCCGCGGACGTTTCGTTGTGCTCGCCACCATCGCCAACACACAGAGCAGTGACCTGGACTTCTACGACCTTGATTTCGAGGGCGAGAAGCCCGAGGCCGAGAAGGACCTGACAGCAAACCTCCAACACACGAAGGGGGCCGACCACTACGGTATCACCGATCTGCAGTGGGATCCCTCTGGTCGTTACGTTGCCTCGTGGGCATCTGTCTGGAAGCACACCATGGAGAACGGCTACCACATCTATGACTTTAAGGGTGATCTGCTTCGCGAGGAGCCCGTAGACAAGTTCAAGTACTGGGCATGGCGGCCGCGACCTGCCACTCTGCTTACCAAGGAGGAGCAGAAGCAGATCCGCAAGAACCTGCGCGAATACTCCAAGGTGTTCGAGGTAGAGGACGCTGAGCGCGTTGCCGGTGCCGATCAGGCCGTGGTCGAAGAGCGCCGCCGCATCCTGGAGGAGTGGCTGGCGTGGCGCGAGAGCGTGGAGGACGACCTGCGCTTCGAGAGACTCGACCTCGGCTTGCCCGAGACCGAGGAGAAGGCTCCCACGCCAAAGGCCGAGGAGGGCGAGGGAGAGGTTATCGAAGAGATCGTCGAGGAAGTCCTCGAGGAGACCGAGGAGATTGTGCCGTAGACGGGAGAAAATCCCTGTGATCACACGGCTCAAGTGCGGTAGATAGATAATCAGGACCTTTCACAGCGCAGGGGCCTAGGGATGGCGTTTCGTGTATGGCATACTCATTTCAGATGGCATAAAATAGTACTTGATGATACGACTGGCGGTTCTACTCGTTCGACTCCTTACGTGGTTGTTCACTCTTGTTGTGTCGTCCTCAATCCTGGCAGAATAGTCCTACCAATTGCACACTCACATTTGATATGCTGACAATGCCACATACACTGCAGCGATCATCTCCAGTCGTTTGGCACCTCCCGGGCTGCCCAGGGGGTATAGGGGTCTAATTTTTGATAATACAGATGTATTGTCTTTGTCCCGAAGAGACGCAAACAGCTTGTATGCACTAGTCATACCGGAGGACAAAGACAGCGATATGTCGTCGTAGACTGAGAAAATGGGGCCCAATCCAAATAGAGTGACAGAGCCTCGCGTGTCCAGTGAAGTCCGATGCGATACGCACAATCCTATTGCATCACCGGCCACCGCGCGTCAAGGGAAAATGAGTCCTTGGGCAGCTGGCTTCCATTCACAATATGAGCGAAGATTCGAGAACACAAACGCAGTCACAGCAAAAGGGTAACACATCATCGCCTGTCTCCAGGAAGCCGATATGGGGAGAGCGCGGCGAAGACACGTGCGCGCCCCAACGAGCAATGCTGGCGGACAAGGTACCAGACCACACCGACGCGCCATGGTATGTCCGCATGTGGATAGCGGCCTACATGCGATATCGCGGTCTCAATGATGCGATGGCCGAGAATGTGCATTACACTGGCGCTGAGTTCCAGGGCTTGGATCTGCCCGCCATTGTAGATTTGTTCATTGTAAAGTGTGGTCTCTCGAGTAAAGAGGCAGATATCATTGGGCAGGATGTGTGGGAGTTGGTGCAGGTGAGTTGCCTCTCGGATTATTAAGTCCTTCGCTGGTATCCGTCTCCTTCCAGAGCCTCTATAGGCTAGAAAGATGCGTTCTTCGGCAACATGCCGACCAGCTTGCTAACACACAAGTATCAGGACAAGCTGCCCCCAGTTCTAGAGCCCACTGGCTTCGACCGATTTGCCAGATTTATCGGCGAGGATGCGATGAGACTGAGAGCGCTTACAACTCCAGGCTCCAGTGTCATGAGAAGGATAGGGTGCCTCTTGCTCTGGGTCAGGGTCTTGTTTAAATCTTTAGCAGTTTTCTATGTTGGGGTCGTGTTTGGCTTTCTCGCGCTAGGACTTGTGTATGGACACATTTTCCCCTGACACAAGCAGCCTTAGCCAAAGTTTTGTGAAGATACTTGATTACAGCTCAGAAGCTCCATGATTCCATGGCACGTACCAAAGTCATGGGGAACTGACATGGTCAACTGGGACCGGACAGGTATCACAGTCATTAAGAGCATAATACTTCACATACTCCTGTTGTGTCTTTACCACTTGAAAGACTGTATATCCTTGCAAACGCCATTTCTTTGCCATTTCTTCAAGAAAGGAAGTTGACTAAAGTCTCGGCGATAGTCTCCTGGCTCTGGCCCATGATGATCCTGTAATCCTGTCCGTTCGCAGCATATTCGAACCAGGTCACCGACTTGAAGCAGGGATAGACACCCAAGTCTGCCCTTACTAGCTCCTTCACCCAAGCTTCTTTATCAACGCTCAAGCCTTGATCTGTACTCGTCTCACCTAGTGCCATGGGTTTGTTGTACTGCTTCGCGAACTCGTTGTAGAACTCATCAAACACTCTGGCGAACGAGGCGTTGGGAAACGCATACACATCCATGCCGACGATATCAACGCTTTCCGAGCCGGGCCACCAAGGCTGAATGTCCTCCATAGACGCCCAGTTTGGCGACCAGAACATATGCAAACCGGGAATTCCCTGGACCGCATCATGAACAATGCGCCATGCTTGGACGAACTCGGAGGCAGCTAGACAGTGGAATAAGCAACCAGCCTTGGTGGGTTTACGGATTAGTATAACACCCACATCCGTGATAAGTGTCCACCGATGAGAAGTAGTTCATTTCGTGAGCGAAACGGAGCCACACTTCGACGCCGCTATTTGTTAGATTCCTCATGACTGCCGCGATATCGTTCGCAATTGTCTGGTTAACCTGGGCGAATGTAAGTCCGGTTGGCATGACGCTCGCCACGAGCATGGCATGCGAGTTCAAAGTATCATTGAGAACAGGGAAGAACTCGAATCCGAAGTAGGAATCTGGAGAAGTAATCGGCGAGAAGATGTTGTACCTGCGTCAGTTCCACAAAATTAGTTGGGCGTCGAATCTGGACGAAGCATCACATACGTGCTGGCGTTTCGAGTCGTGTACTTATTGATGGCAAGGATACCATCTGGTACACTCCAGCCCCAATGGATGCCATTTAGACCCTTCAAACCCTCTCCTGGAAGGTTTAGGTTGACACCATTACAGATGTCCAGCGACTGAGGCAGAATTAGCATATCGGTTGGCCTGGGGATGCACTGTTTACAAGTGATATTATACCTGCTGTTCACCAAATGCGCAGCAAGCAAGCCCAAGTATGCCGGCGATCGTTGCAAATAGCCTCATCGTGCCAATATAGAGCCGAATTACCACGCGAAAAGCAATATCGGGTTACCAATTTAAAACTTCAAATCCTTCAATTAAATAGGCTTGGGAAACTATCGTGTGATTCTGCAATACCCAGACTGCGGTTGAGTTACGACGATGTATCTGATTGAACGGAGATTCTGTGACGAAGAGACTCATCAGTGATTCACTCCCCCAACAATCTGCATCATGTCACGGGTCAACATGTGCTTCTAGTTTACTGTAAATACCACCGCATTACGACCATTTTGATTCTACGATGATTGATAGTATAGAGAAGTGGGAGATGGCTGGGGCTACATGCCAGTCTTGAAGTAACGGAATTCCTTACCGATGCCATGCCCACTGAGCGCCATGCTGCAGTAGCAAAGCGTGACGGTCCTTGGCTTGTCATTCTACACGCAGATACGAAAGATCTCTTCCCTATCTTTCGCATGAGCTATGCTCGCGGAAACGCGATACCGAGAAGCCACTGCTACCAGGAAAGACCGATCTCATCTCATGATGATGAATATCTGATCCACAGGGGTAAGTGTCATTGAGGAAAGTACCAAGGTGATCAGGCAAGACGGGGCACCCGATGTCTCCTCGTACTCGACGACAGGACTGGTGCCGAAGAATTGCTCAGTGCACTGCCGACCCCATGGGCTTCTGAGCCACAGATCTCCAAGCTTTGGTCAACATGAGTTTTACACCGTTAGGTGCCTAATTGCCCCTTTGCCTATCTGCCAGCTACAGCGACAAGTGAGTGGAGATAATGTCCTCGAAAACTATCTATCTAAACCTACGATTATGAATGAGTACAGTATGAATAAGCGTGTCTAGGTCCCGCTGTGTATGAGTTGCAACAACTTTTTTATCGCCCAGAATCAGGTGTTGAGGTACACACCACCTTTGTGCCGCCAATCGTGTGTGATCAGACTACGATCTGCAGTTATCAGGACCTTTCCACGGCATCCAATCACCATCGTGCCTCTTGCGGCTGGCTGCGATCACAATACAGGAAATTGTGAAGCTCGCAATTTCCGACTTGTCAATTGTGCATGGAGGCATATACCGTCATTGGCTGGAATAAACGCTACAGGGGCGTGCATATTAACGAAATTTGAGTTCCAAGGTTCCTGACGCTATGGCCACGCCCGTCCCGCAGCCATTCTCTCGGGCCCCTCCAACTCGAGTCCTTTCCGCACAGTCCGACACAGGTTACATACACCGTAGCACAGCGGGCATCTGGGAAGGCAGAACAAGAGCCTCAGGAGAGTCTCACAACGTCGAATTTACGAATATTGATCTGCTAGGGCTTGCAACAACGTACATGGAGCTGCCTTCTGGTTCATGAGGCTCCATGCATGCACCGTTATTCTCGGCAGATGATATCTCAGTCGTAGGCTAGGAAGGCTTATTAAGTGAGACACGGCACCAAACATTGGCCTCACTGCGGCATGGGATCCAGCAAATGTTGGTGAAACACGCTTGTCCCCCTGTGTTCTTTGACGACGTGGCTCACTCCAGCGGAAAACCTTGACAACTTTTTCAGCCGACTACCACCCGAAAGGGGAGAGCGTCGGGCACCGCGGCGATGATCCTGGGGCTCTTGGAGTCTGGCCCTGGTGTGGGGTTGGCTCGGATCACGACTGCGAAGCTGGCGCCGTTATGCCCGCAAGGCCCGGGGCCGATAGAGACACTGCCACTTTCTACGGAGTATGTAATGTACATGGAAGGCAAGGAGAACCCATTGAGGGGAGTTCGGGGCTGTCGTCTCGCCTTGATCCGCACATACGGGGGGTAATTCCAATGCTGATATGCGAAATGCCCCAGGTCCACGCAACCCATCAACGCACGTGATGGAGCCGATTCTGAATGGTATGTTCGGCAAGACCTTGGCTGCGCCTTGCGTTGTGCAAGACTGGAAAGACGGGCGAGTCCAAGAATAGCTCCATTCTCCGTGCGCCAGCCATTCAAGTTGGTTCCAAGTTTGGGGTGTGGTGTGCAGCCTGTTGGTGAACCTGCACCTCAGCACATCGGATCATATCTTCCAAGTCGGCGATGCGATGCGATGCGATGCGATTGCGATACCAACGAGAACCTGTTAGACATGCATGTGGGCAGGATACATTCATACATGCACACAAATCAGGCAGTGTCGAATGGAATTTTGCCAGTGTTGCAACATTACTGAAGAAAAGACCAGGCATAAAAAGGAAAAGGCAAGAGTCGAGACCACAGCGGGCCAACCGGATGTGCAGAGGACTCCGTTCTGCGCCTGCGAATCCCCATCTCTACCTCTACCACGGCAACTAATAAGATGAACTCCCCATTCGTTCATCCAGACACCCCCTTGACCCAGGTCACCAGCGCCTCTTGCCTTGGCGCCCATATGAGCGAAGCAATCCTTCGCGGCCTCCCCATCCCCACCCAATATCTCGATCTCCCCTCCCTCCCTGCCTGGTGGACGACGCTTAATTCCCGCCCTAGCGCAAGAACGGTGTTTTCCGCGTGCGCAGGTGGGCTGTCCAAGTCGTCGAGGAACCGGTTCAGCCAAGACCCGACTGGCCGTCTCCTTTTCGCTCTTCTGGAGGCAACGGGCAGCGACATCAGGTTTGAACCTGCCTGCTAATCCGTCCGTCCAGCCCATCCAACATCGTCATCATTTTTCTTCTTCACTCGCTAGTGCCCGTTCGCTATCTGGATTCCGGGGTTGACGCTATTCCGTCTTCCTCTGCTCTGCCTTAATTGACCACAGTCGTTCTCTTGAAAGCCGTCATTGCTTAATCACCCTGGTCTTACACCTACATTCCTCCCCTCCCCTTACCGCTGCTTGTGGGAATAGACCCGTTCGTTCTTTCCCGTCCGCTCCCTTGCTGCAGTTCGAAGGCTCTCGACACGAAAACCACGGCTGCACCACATTTCATTCCATTCTATTAGTACTTAGGCTGCTAGAACCGTTAATGTCTTTTGGCCTTCGGCACTCCGACAGTGGAAGGATTGCATCACCGGCAACCCTGCGTCGAGCTCCGTCTGATCTTTGCCGAACTTGAAACACGCGACCACGATCCAGAGGTGCACCCCAAACCGATTGTGACCTCACAAGCGCAGACCTGGAGGCCTGTCATCCCATTGCTCTGTGACCATAACAGAGACCCTGAAGAGTTGGACAAGACGACTCCCCGCCGGCAGCACGAGAACGCTCTATAGCCTTTTCCTCGACTCGATTACACATTCGCTTCTTCTCGTCTGTTGCACGCGCCTGGTCCGCAGTCTTTGCACCGTGCCTTGCATCATTTCTTGGAGAACATCAAACAAGGATTCAGCACAAGCAAGCTTTCAAGGGACTTCCCCAGCCAGGATCTTGAGACACACTGCTCCCGAACTGCCTGGTCAGCCACAACGAGATCGCCCATCCGATAACTCTGTGATCCCACATGGGCAACACTGCCAAACACCTTGCAACGCTCTAAACAGACCTGATTCGCTCTCACGTCTTATAAGCTCGAAACAGCGCGGCTTATCCTTCCCTCCTCCCCCCGGGGCTACGGAGACGATCCTTGATCTTCGACAACATACAGAAAGTCCCGGCCATCCTTCCGGTTTCGCTGTCTGTTCAGTTTCTACTTTGGTCTCCTTGATCTTGACGAACCGACGCCGGTCACGTCGGCAGAAATTTCAAAATTTCCAATACCGGCCGCGAACTCTACGTCTTGGGTCTGAGTAATCGAACCCACTCTCCTCTCTGGATACGGCATCTTGACGACAAGACAACAATATTATATTTGACGACACGACTTCCGAAAGTCTTGATCTTCAACACCAGGAGACTAGCATCGTCACGATCATATCAACGTCCCGCCGATACTCCGCCGCTACTGTAGATCTGCGGATGGTGGACCATGCGAACATGACTTGCGAGGCATCACGTTTGGAAGCGGTAGATATGCACATGGTTGTGCCCAGCCCAGGATCACCGCCCGGCATGAGTTCATCAAAGTCTTCAAAAACCTCCTCTCTCCAGTCCTTCGGGTCCGATGACGACAACAGCGTACTGGCTGATGCCGGCCACTTTGAGGAGATCGGACTGGATGATGATACGGTCACGGTCGACAATGCGCATTCTCGCGACATCAGCCAAGTCAAGTCCAACCCTAACCCCTACAGCTCGTCCTATACCGCCGATCTACGCGCACAGTCGACGAAGCACGTCGGTCCCACGATCCATCCTTCATCCTCAAGCAATTCCAGACAACTGGGCCCGGCGCGGCAACAGCGAGACATCACGGCCATGCCGAAGGGCCGCCCGGCATTCCCAGGGATCAGGACACAATTCAGGGACACGAGCACGCAGAACCTCGGCAGCATTGGTCCACAGCGCCAAACGAGCCCCTTACCAATTCGCAGCTTATCAGCGCGGTCCGCCTCCGCCATTGGGCACAGTCGACGGCAGCGTAGCCCCAGCCCGAACTTGTCTCTCCGCTCGCTCAGCCCCCGTGACCCTAACGTTGGTCCAAAGCCGAGGAGGGGTAGTTGGCAGTCGACGATCGAACGCAAATCGGTTATAGAGCTGGAAAAGGAATGCGACGACGATGACGACAACATCCCGGACGGCTTTATCCTGGACAACATCCCTATTTCACCTCGTCCGCCCATGGCACGACCAGCTAGTCGTCCGGTTTCCGCTGCTGCGTCCCCCGAACGCCAACCCAAGGAGCGTGTGCGCAGTGTCGGCAACGGCACGCCAGCCATTGCCACAGCGCAAGGGTGCTTACGCTCTCCGTCGTGGAGATCCGAGGTCTCCTCTACCGAATCGCTGCCATCTCCCGGCGTTCCCTCTCCCTTGAAGGGCCGGGCCAAGAGCTGGAACTCGGCTCTTTCGGAGCTGAGTGCTGAAGCCAAGGCCTTGACCGAGAAGCTCGAGGAGCGTGCTGATGAACTAGACAAGAATGGCATTTATGGCAGTGCTATATCGCGCCCAAACGTCAAGCCACGCGTCAAGTCTGCTCTGGCCGAGCTCCCGCCACTCCGCAGGACCAACATAATGATTGATCCTTTGCCCATCTCCAAAGAGAAGGAGGCGGTTCTCTCACGCACTCGGCCCTCGTGGTTGCCACCAAAGGACCCTGCAGAAGAGAAGAAACATCTAAAAGAGTATCAGAGATTAATGGCGAACAGCATCGAAGCCGATAAGCGCCGTGAGGCTGCCAAAAAAGAGAAAGAGAAGAGCAAGGATGCGATGGCCAGCAATCTGACACGCGTCTGGGAGCAAGACGTTCTGCAGCGATGGAATGATGCCATACGCGAGCGCCGGACCCGCGAGCTATGGTGGAAAGGTGTGGCTCCGCGAGCCCGTGGCACCGTCTGGTCGCAAGCCATCGGCAATGAATTGGGCCTGACCGACACAAGCTTCCAGGCAGCGCTTGCGAGGGCCCATGAAACAGAGAAACGAATCGCTGACGGCAATGCGAGCACCGAGGATGAGCGAAAGGCGGAATGGTTCAAGCACATCCGATCTGACGCGCAGAGCGTAACCTGGGCGGAGCTGAAGATCTTCCAGACAGGTGGGCCTCTGCACCAGTCCTTGGTAGACGTTCTCAGCGCATACGCCATGTACAGGAGCGATATTGGTTACGTGTCCGGGTGCAACACTATTGCAGCTATTCTTCTGCTGAATCTACCATCAGCAACGATGGCTTTCATAGCTCTGGCCAACATACTCAACCGCCCGCTCCCATTATCGTTTTATGCCTCGGATCAGGGTGCAAAGGCAAGCGCATACAACCTGCTACTCCAAACCTTGTCTACGAAGGCTTCACAGCTCCACAAGCATCTCACGAGTGATGATCTCGGACTGGACCCTGACGAGTATTTACATGGCATGTTTACGGCCTTGTTCACGCAGCATGTGTCACTGGACGAATGCACCCGACTGTGGGATGTCTACGTATTTGAGGGCGATGCTGTTCTTGTCAGAGCTGCTGTTGCTCTACTCATGGAACGGGAAGGCTTACTGCTCACGGCTACAAATTGTGCGGACGTTATGAAGATGCTCGCACAGGGTGGCCAGAGGACGCTGCAAGGGCGTGAGGACGATTGGATGAAACGAGTTCGCGAGGCCGGCAAGGCTTGAAGAACCTGCATCCACTTTGTTCGGGCTCTCAAGAAGTGGTGGGTGTTTCCGGCTTTAAAAGAAAGGGAGAGTATGGTGCCTCTTGTAACACGATGCTCCGTCGTTGGGCATCGGATATTCTTATTGTGTATACGTAATCCCGTGCTATTATTGGCGTTGGCTCGCTCCCATCAGAGCGCATTTGGGGATGATAGATACGGAGCATGATCCATGGGCTAATCTAGTGCAGACAGCCCTCTTTGATTTACCAACTAGTTAAAGATGGATAGATAGACATTCTGGCGGAGTTAATTACTAGTTCCCATAAACAGTCCGCTCTGTGCATCGCACCATCCCGTTGTCGAGAGTTGGCCTTGAGACCAACTGACCGCACCGATTCCCGCTGCCCCCCGCCTGTATATATAGGTCACCGTTGATTTGGTCATACAGATACCCGCAAGTAGCTCAAGCATGCCACCAAATGGCGTTGCCGGGACCCGGAGCAAAGAAGCATGCAGTCAGCCATGCATTGCTGCCAGCTCATTGGATGACCTGCATTCCTCCCTACCACCTTAGTTAGGCTCGCTCACACTTGTGCGGAGAGTAATTCGCGCGGCGAACACCCTGGAAGTCGGCCCGGAGGATGGGAAGATATCTTCTCGATTTGAAGGCATAACTCTGCGATGGTGCCAAGTACATACGGAGAGGGCAGGAGGGCGGTTCGAGTTTTCTCTCCGTCGTCATTCCTTCTCACTTGCTAAGACGTATTTCAAGAGGCCCTCTCCCGACAGACCTTGGACCTCGCATTTATGTAGCCTCAGTATATGCCAAGCACAAAGATAATGAAGTCGGTGCTCTTGTTGTAGACATGCAGTTGAACATTATCCATCTTGCCACTCAAGTTCTTCTGGCGATACCATCATCATGCCATCCTCAATCCAGGGACTGGCGTAATTGGCAGGTAGATGCGACCACTGTGCAAGACACTTATGACTACATTGTTGTTGGTGGCGGACAGTCCGGCCTAGTTGTTGCCAACCGGCTGTCTGAAGATGCTAACGGTGAGCATGATGCCGTAGTACAGCTCAACATATAGCCTCTGACAATCTCAAAGCTAGCGTACTGGTAGTGGAATACGGCCACTTCGATAACAACCCAGAGCAAATACAGCCGTCGAGCGTTCGCAATGGTTGGCCACCGCAGGATCTCTACAATCTTAGCTCGGTCCCTCAAGTTGCACTCCTTAACCGCGTCCAGAAGGTTTATTCTGCTGCTGTGGTTGGGGGCGGATCAACGGTGAATGGGATGATGCTTCATCGTGGCGCAGCTGATGACTACAACAACTGGGCTCTGCTCAACAACGACACTGGCTGGAGCTTTGAGGGCCTGTTACCGTACTTTGTCAAGGTTAGTATCGTGGAATTATTGATCAAATATTGCAGCAGGTTGACACCACGACAAGAGTACAACTTTCTCGCAGCCCTCTCAGGCTCTAGTCGACCAATTCAATATGACATGGCACGCCGATGTCTATGGACAAGGTCCGATCCATGTCAGCTTCGCTCGGTTCCAATACCCCGGGCTTCGTAAGTCTAGTCTGTGTCTCCAGAGACCTAGATATACTCACAACTAAAGTTCCTCAGTGGGCGGGTATGGAGGAAGTCGGTGTTGCTCCACAAGTTGAAGGTGCTGGCGGTCATGGTTATGGGGTATACTGGTACCCTGTAAGTTTCTTCGTAAATATTTGTTATTACCAAGTTGACAATAGTAGAATGCGATAGATGACGCCACAGTAACTCGGTCTTACGCAGTGAGCGGCTACTATGCTCCAGTCGCTGAACGTCCGAACCTGAGCCTTCTCACTGGCCACCGAGTGAACAAGATCCTGCTAGACGAGACGCTCCGTGCGACAAGCATCCTCGTTCAACCACGTGGTGATCACGAACCTACAGAAATTATGACTCTTGAGGCGCGCAAAGAAATCGTGTTGGCAGCAGGAGCACTTCATAGCCCACAGATACTCCAGAGAAGCGGAGTAGGGCCATCGGCGCTGCTTCGAGATTATGGCATCAAGGTTTTAGTGGACTTGCCTGGAGTCGGTTCGAACCTTCAAGACCATCCCATAAACCATCTCACATTCAACTGTGAGTCCGAAGTCGTGGCCATAGAGAAGCATTGTTGCTGATGGCGCCCAGACACGAAAAACCTTGACCCAAATCCGACAGATATGCAAAGCAACGCCTCCTTTATAGAATGGGCAAGTCAGGTATGGGAGGAGAGTAGGAAAGGTATGTCAGCCGTCACTTGTTAGAATCGTAGGAGTACTATCTGAATTGGCAAAGGCCCGCTATCTACAACTACGGGTAATACAGCTGCCGTTGTACCGCTCCGACAAGTGGCACCGGATACGTGGGATGACATTGCGAGGGAGCTCTCGAACCAGAATGCAACGCTGTTCCTTCCTCAGTCTTACACCAAGGAGCAAATTGCTGGATACGAAGCACAGCGGCTTCTGCTTGCCGACTCGTTCTCGAGGACGGATAATGCAGTCGTCGAGGTGCCATTTTCAGGAGCCAGCAGCTTCATCCTGATGATGACCAAAGAAGTCAGTCGTGGGACGGTGCTCTTGGACCCGGATGATTGGTATGGCAATCCGATCGTGGATTACCACACGTTTGAGAACCCAGTTGATTCGAGAATCATGGTCGAAAGTTTCAAGTTCGGACGTAGATGGCATCAGACAGCGGCCATCATCCAGACATTTGCACCGGTTGAAGATAGTCCAGGTGTGAATATTACGAGTGATGAGGCGTTACTCAAGTTCGTTACGAATACCACTTCATCCTCTACCGGGCACATGTCGGGAACATGTGCCATGATGCCACGGCATCTTGGTGGTGTCGTTGGGCCAGATTTGCTGGTCCATGGCATTACAGGCCTGAGCATTGTGGATGCTTCTATCATACGTGAGTTCTTCTATCAGTATGCCTGTTTACAACAGGCTATCCGACGACGTGCCAGATCTCAGAGGCCCCATGACGGCCACCACTTCAGTATTACTACTGATATGGTATCCATTTTCTTGATGGCGTGCTGACACGTGTGACCACAGCACTGATTCCCGGCGCACACACTTGTGGCACAGTGTACGCAATTGCTGAGAAGGTATGTGACTCCTGGCTGGAGAGAAGATTGTTGACTGAGTTCGTACTTTACAGGCAGCGGACTTGATTAAGCGGCGACACCGAGCAAAACCACCATCACCGGACTCATTTAACTTACCTCTGCGGATGGAGAAGCCTCGCTGAACATTCTCATGGGACTGGTGAGGTGCGCAGTTTGTACTTTGTTGGCGGGAAGTGACGCGCCATTCCAGTAGGACACAGCATTCTGGTCCAAGTGTGCCACCAATCGGGCAAAGCCAAGATTTCAACGAGTCGATTGTTGAGAGCAGCTGCGTCTTCTAGTTTAAATTTTGAACAGGCGGAAGGGAGTAATACGCAACCGCACTCCTGGGGCCCAGTGAACCAAATGCTGAACCCACAGGTCTAAGATCCTCCATAACTCCGGTGGCAGACAATCTAATGGGAAGAGTTTGCCACTGGCCCGACGTCTCTTTACGTGTGCCTTGCCCACACCTGCCTGGCCTCCCGCGCGATCATATCACATCGTCGCCCTGGTCCTACCAGTTGAGTCGACACACCGAATGAAAGTGGGTGCTCTCTGAATAAGCGCGGTATCCCTAGTTGCGTGTTTCGAGAAGCCTGCCCAGGTGGTTAGTCATGCTTGGTCCCAACGTAGATGCCCTGGTTGCCGGGCGTGAGTGCGGAAACAACTTTACCTCACGTATGAGATAATATGAAATAGCGGAATAATGGCATAATGGCCGTTGCTGTAATCAAACGCCCAAGGGTCCTGCCTGATCAAGCAGCTGACTACAAAGTCAACAAACGAAGTGCTTAGGTCGACCCTTGGCTTTGCTTCGAGCTTCTCGAACCAAACCAGCTGCACTGAAGATACCAAAGACAACTTCTGATGTTTCCATACGACTTCACATTGCCTGCACGAACACACTTCGTGGGGCAACCCTGCTTGTCCACGTGAGAGAAACCTAATCACGGTACCACCACCACACTCCGGCTCACCACTCCTCAGCCATACAGCATGTCTGGATATCACGATCACCGATTCGTTTCCAGTGGGTCGTACAGCGACCGGTACCGCTCGATTCGGCGTGGCAATCGCGAGCCTTTCCACCATCCCCGCAGACATGTAAGTTCTATCCAAACAAAATGAGGAAGTGCTCTAGCTCACCGAAGCTATTCCCTGAGGTAGCCGCCATGGGACCAGTCCCGCCGGCCGCCTCGGCTCGACAGGCACGAACCTGCATATCATCGATCTCCTGGGTACGCAGGTGGCCAAGATCGCTTCCAAGCAGCTCGAGAACCACCTCAGGATCAACTTCCGCACACGCCTTCCTTTCAGATAGGCAGCAACAGTAGCCGTTTGGGGAGCGACAATTCCTCCCAATATTGGACGCCTCATGCAGTCCAATACAGTCGCCCAGGCACCACACATGAAGACGTCCACCCGAGTCGGTCATACCAGGCCATGGACCATGTGAACAGGACTGCACAAAGCGATTCGATTACCCCACTCGCCCAGTCTGGTTCGGCCCTCATGCCCATCAAGATTGAAGATCCCCCCAAGCAAATCAAGAAGACGGCTACTACAGATAACGGTGTTCAGCAGCAACAGAAGGACGCCCCGACCATCATCTGCAGATGTGGAGGGACGCGCGCGGAACCTACTGATCAAGAGCCTGTTAGTATCTGTGTCGTTCCTTTTTCTTCCCCCTGCACAGTTTTGGCTGACGGTACCTAGGAGACCGTGGTTCATTACAGCTCGTCCAAACGCACAAATGTGAACAGGTCTCCGGAGCTTCTGCCGCCAACTGATGTTTGGTGGCTTCCAATCAAGCGCAAGATCCGTTTGCTCGAGATCTGTTTGAGGATGGAGTCGGCTTACTTCAAGTCCACGGACAGCGAGATAGAACCCGACGACGCGTTCTGGACCAAAGTTATGAGCCGATTCAATAATGACAACGAGGGCAAACGGTTCTCCTGCTGGGAGTTTGCTCGGGCTTACATCCTCGATCTCTGCAAGGACCGACAGAAGGACATACGCCAGAACAACTTGCCAGCCCCGAGCGGTGATGTCGATCGCTTGGCTCGTATCATGGATAAGTGGGCACGTCTAATGATACGCCGGGAGGCACATCGCACCCTGGAAATGGCTAAAGAAAACTTCTGGATGGCATTTGGCGGGATGCTACAGGGATCGCTTGTCGACGTGGGAGGCGTGGACGCAAGGGAGGCCCGTGAGATAAGCGTGAAGGTCAAGACCCTGATGTACAAGGAGATTCTGGACGAGAGGGAAAGGATTGAGAATCAGTTTCAGAGCAGAGCCAGTCGAAGAGAGTAGCTGCTGCAGCACTTTTGATGAGCATATTCTTGGCCCACTACGAAACCCGGCTCAACCCAAGCCTTCTCACGAATGAGCAAGAACATAACTATTTGCGTTCAGTCAACGCTCGTCTGCGCGGGGTTGCAGAATCTGGTTGCTTTTTTCGTTTGCCTGTCGGTTGCCTGAGAGTTCAGTACATGTCGAGATTGTGCACGAGGGAAACACCCATGTCAACCATCCCATCCCACTCAGGTGAAGCCAAGCGGAAACAGTAGCTGGCCGTATGGGAATCGCCCTTTTGATGCTTTTGGCTAGGAAAAGAAATTTCACGAACCGGATTGACCAGTACCTTGATAACGAGAGCATACCCTGCACTGGCTCCTGAGCATGGGTTCGATAATTCTAAGCTATGAGTGGTCAAGATCAAATCCATTGGAGCAAAGCTGCTCCACAACCAGAAATGAAGATGTCGCATCCCGCATCTACAGCAAACAGAGCCTTTCCAAAGCCCTTGCTACGGAGACGACGATCTCACGCCACCATCAGCCCTCCTGTGATTTGCTTCACTCCTGGTACATGAGCTCTGTCCGTCGCCTAGTCGTCGTCAAGGTAAACCAAAATACACTTGTGAAATCGGGTGTGGTATGCAGGATATCCGTGGTTCCCGTACAACAGGAAGTCGTTCTGGTATGTATGCTTGGTCGCTCCGCTGGAGTGCATGCAGACATCTGTTTGCGAAGAAAACGAACCCGTGCCGTCGTACCTAGAATCACGCCACAGATAGGACTGCATCTTGGACCGAATTACCAAGCCCCTCATTCGCCAGCTTATGAAGGAAGGGAGGACACGACAAGACGCGGTTCGAGACAAGCCCGCTCGCTTCCTTAAAACGCGACGCGTAGCCTGAGACCTTTCGCGAACCCAGTCTCTCATGAATTGTAATAAAAGGGCCATATTGCCGCCTTGCGGACCTACCCTACACAGCATCTCCTTCATGTCTCTTATGTGCTTTCTTCATAGACATCTCTAGCAAACTTGATATCTGGCATCGGTTATTCTTCAGTGTGTGCCCCAATCCCCCAAGACAGGTCGCTCCGTGAGTATCCCAGCTCCATAACTCGGAAGAGCTTCTTGCTAGTGCATACACTTATGAAATGACCACCAAGATCTTCAGTTGTCCGCGAGCAATCAATCTTGCCTACCATCACAGACCTTAGTCATAACGTACTGTCCACATTGTGGAGTGGACATTAGCCAAATATGCCCCGTCACAAGTCAGCTTCCAAGCTTCCAGCTCGGCCACTCGTATCAAACACCATACCCATTTCCCCGCCTCCCTCATCTCAGCCACTTCAAACGTCCAGTCCGCGGTCTTCGCGAGGCAGTCCCTCCCCTGAACCAGATTTCAGACCTGGTAGCAAGTTTGAATCAAGGAGAGAGCAGAGGAGGAGTCTCGCACATGATAAACCCGACGAGGTGAGCATGCAGACCATGACCATTCCATCCCGTTCATGACACTTACAGCAACAAAGGGCCAGAGCCTGGACACTGGATCAGATATTGGTGCGCCGTCATCACCCCCAAGGGAGGAGGGTGGGTTTCGCGGCAGTTCGTCCATCGTCAAGCCTCCAGATGAGATTGAAACTATTTGGATACTGGAGATTCTTCATGAAAACAGGAATACCCTATTAGACTCACCGCCACGTGGCCAGCATCCTGACAAGGAGTTTTGGACACTATGCAATGAAAAGGTTGCAGCAAAGATTGGGCACCCCGTTTTTTCGGGGTGGGCAGCCTTGAAGTCTTTCGTCCAGAAGAATTACTATAGACATCGAGGGCCTGGCATGTCGCATTCGTTCATTCAAAATAACGGGTCAAGCAGAAGGCAAGAGCTGACAAGATGTTGGTTGCCCTACTGGGAAGTCAGAGACTGGCACATTTACGCAGCCAAAATCGAGCAGTCCACTATCTCGACCTTCGGCCGAGCTTTCACTTTGAAAGTTCTTCGAGAGTTCTGCAAGATTGATGATGACGATGCGGATTTGACACCTCATATCATCAACCCGGCTTTGTGGCAAACGATGCAACGCTATGTTGCCAAGGAACTGAAAAAACCATTCCATCGAACTGGTCGACAGTCTCTAGTTCATCCGGAGGATATCGATGCGGAATCAGAGTGGGGTGATTTGGGCGACGAAGAGAGTTTCGATGACAACATCATGTCTGAGGACCCCAACCCACTACCTTCGATCGAGCAAGATCAAGAATGCCATACACGACAGACAGAAACTTCTCAGGATGTCCATTCAGCCGGGCAAGATCAAGAGGCTGACCTTAAGAGACTGATGGAGTATGAGTGTATTATTATGCAACTAGGCCCGGGACACTATTCAAGTGACGGCCGCAGTGGTCCATGTGACAATCCAGATCATCACAATCTTCATCCACCCGAGAGTCATGTGGGATCATCTGTGCCTTCAAACATCACCAATGGCATGGCGTCAACACGCGGAGACCGCGGTGGCATCAGACCTGCCCCCCAAACTAAAATGACTCAGCTTGGAACTGCCGCCGAGAATATCAATTTCGACGTCGAGGAGAACGAATGTACTCCGTCAGCAGAGATTGGCAACAATGTTCCCACACAATCTAACGCAGGCAAAAATGAACCGAACACGGACCCATTCAGTCCGAAGCCCATCTCGCCCCCAAGATTACTTGCTACCATCATGGGACCACCTGATAGCTCCCCAGGAAAGGAGGCGAGCGCCCCAACTTGCATCTCCAAGCATTCAAGTAGCCGAACGAAGGAAAGCTCACCTACCGGTGCCCTTGCCATTTCATCCCACAATCAATCTGATTCGACAGAGAGAGGAGTATTTACTACAGCACATCTTGTACCGGGAGATGGAGCGACTCCGAATCCCCCAGCTTCTCAATCAACAAGTCGAGAAGTTCATCAATCACAACAACCAGAGAGGACCAACAAGCAGAAGACGGTGCACAAGGTCACCTTGAGGACCGGCGGCGAGGGTACCCCACCTGCACTTCGACAAGAGAACATTGATCACAAGCTTAGACGGCGCAAAATGAGACGCACACTGTTCCAAACTCCTCAGCAGCTCGAAGCTGCCTCCGTGTCATGCGGGAGTCGCCTCTACAGTCCTGTAGCGGAGACTGGTAGTCAACCTTACAGACGTGCTGCTCAGTCGGCGAGTTCTATAGGAGAACAACCCGCTGTAGATGAGATCCTTCCGCAAGGGTTCTATGGGAAAACCTATCGTCGAAGAGTCGATCATTGGAACCTCTCCCGCCCGCCTTCAGGAAGGTACACCCGCTTCTCGGATGACCTCGGGGAACCACTCAACAGCCCACAGGCTATAGCAGAAACGGAAGCACAATCTACACCCGGCACCACGGGAGCACCACAGCAGAACCGGCACCCGAAGTATCCGGATCGTGGCGCAACAGCTCTACGTCAAGAGAGATCAGTTTCCCTGGGCGCAGGGTCCCCAAGCACTGAGCACAGTAGCATACGCATCGATATTCGACTCCTTGGTGATGACAGCAGCTCGGATGAAAGCAGTCTTCCTCCCCTTGAGCAGATTTTTGAAGAAAACAGACGCACGAGACAGGCCGACCTCGAACAGAGTCTCGTCGAAGGAGAGCCGCAATCCCGCAATGTAGAACCATTGCTGGGACCAGAGGCAAGTCGATGGAGTGCAATTGCCCATCATGATGAACCTAACGAAGCTAAGATGAAAGCCAGCTTGCCGTGGACTACGTCTCCACGCAATTCATCCCACAACGTCCCAGATCCACCTTCAGGGGGCACTGCGACAGCCGTCGACGAGAATGATACCTCTGTCGACCACAACGCGTCGGCTGTTTGGAGTCCCCCTGTGCCACAAATCTTAGACGCAAGTAAAGGTCTTGACACAACACCGCAAGGCACGGCAGGATCGGCAAATGGTCGCTGGGATGCGATGAGTGATAAGAAGCGCGACAAGAGCCACGGAAGACGCGAGCGCCGCAATAGTCGACGCAAGCGGAGGCGGGAAGAAGCCGCAGTGGCATCACATCGTCCAGAGGACTCAAGGCTGCCTTCCTCTGAGAGTGTCGCTGGGCCCTCTGATGTGGCCAACGGGCATGTGGCAAAACATGATTGTACATCCACAGCGATCGAGTTACCAGGACACGCGGCGGCCTCAGGGGCAGATGGGCCGGATTACGATAGTACGCCATCGCGATTGTCAAAGGTGCCGGATGGTCTGCAACAAACACCGGAATATTGTGGTTCTAAGAAGAAGAATTTAGCAGAGAACTCGACAAAGCGAAAAGCACCCCTGCCCGGTGCCACCCTGGAAATGCCTTGCAAGACCTTTAAGCGGCATTTTGATGAAGCAGATGATCATGGTGCAGAGGACACCACGATCAAGAATCCGCCAAAGAGAAGGAAGCCGGGAGACTGTGGTGGCGATGAGCCAGAAACACCTAAGCATAAGAGCAAAGGCAAGGGAAAACAGGTATTCCAGGAGGTAACTCCGACGACTTCCGCGGCGACAGAGCCGACGACGAATATGGGCGGCCAGTGTCCCTCACTACGACCAACATCACCGCTCACCGGGGGCCTTCAGTTCACCAGTCCTCCAGTGACAGAGGCCATTCTCAGTAACACCAGAGATCAGATACAAGGCACCAGGAGTCATGACAGTAGGCCACATGCGGGCAACCCTTCTGGGCATAACTCGCCCATGCCGTTTCGCGACACACCGCAACCCTCAAGCTCGGCCCATCATCAACGGTCACCAAGTCAGTATCGTCATGGGCGCCGAAGACACAGGCCGATAAGCAACTCTCCAAACATGCCGAGCCGTCGACACCGCCATATTGCGCGGCTGGACACGCCTGCTACTAGTGCTAGTCCCGGTCTCTTCGTCACTCCGGCATTGAGAAGCCACGGCGACCAATCCATGACACCAAGGCATCAGAGGTCTTCCTCAAGGGTGGGAAGCAGCTTGGGGTTTCCCGAGCGCCATCGTGGACTCAGGAAGCATGATGATCCAGGACGGTTCAACCGATCTATGACAGTAGACACCGATATCGTACTGGCCACTGGCTCTCCAACCAAGACATTCATGTTGAACAAAGTTCGGCGGCTAACGAGCCAGGTCGAAGATCTCAGCCGGCGGTTGCAAGAAATGAACTCGTCCCAGTAGACGAAGCTCGAGCTGGGGGGCTGTAACTCATTTGGCTATGGTTAATCAACCAATCTATCCGTTCAATCTAGTACCTATAGCAGACTCAAGACCCAAGGAAATCGTAGGACTACTCCTAGTTTCTAGTTCCCCGATCTCGACTATCGAAGCGTGTCTCCAAAATCTACTGCCAGGACTGCTTCCAAACTCCTGATCCAAGACAGCGTAGTTTATTCTTGCTTCACCCAGATACCTCGCATGTACAAGTGACAGACTCGAGAAGCTGTGCCTGGGACAGTGTCACATGCTATCCAGAATGGCAGGACACAGCGACCCCTCGGGACAACGGCTAAATACAGGGATCCCGTCACTCGATGCAAGATGGATAATGACGTGTAACTATAATCAATACGTTTTTAGCACCGAGTATTTACACGGTCTGATGTGGTGCCGCGAGTCAAGTGGCCGTGCGGGAGCAATCGGAATGCTAGCCACCGGCTCGCACTTAAGCGGCGGATAAGCTTCAGCAAAGCTAGCTGTCGAGCTGCAAACATTTGTGTCATCGCAGCGGAATAATCATCTGACAATCAGAGGTAGTCGTGCGGTACTCAGGCCACTATCGAGGTGCCTCTCGCGGTCTTCCTGCCACGGATACACGGCCGCTCCCCAGGCGACATATGTACTGCGGGACGTGGCGTTGATGTTCCCCGCGGTTTACCACACGTGGCCTAGCCTGCGTTGCAGGGGCTTTAAGAAGAATTTTAGGGGCGGGAGCAGGGATCAGCAAGCTCAACACTTTGTCAATGTCGAAATCTGGGTCGAAGACCGCCCCAACAGAAAAAAAGAACCCTTGCAAGATCTGGCCCGAAACCCTGCGTCCCACGATTCAGTTCCCAGGGGTTCAGAGATCCACCCGGGTCTGCACAGTACTATGTACGTGCTGCAGGACCTGAGTACCGAGAGTACTTCGTACAAAGGTGAAGTTACTGTAGTTTGAATTTCCAAGATACGATATTGCAGTTGCTTGTTTATCACAGTATGACACCTGACAATGGACATTCAGTATGCCAATTGAGTCTGTCACTGAAGGTTGAACGCGAACCAGCGATCGGCGTCCAAGACCCCGCCGGGGCTGCCCAATTGGCCAATAGCTTGGCTGCGATAGAGCCAGCTGGGCCTGCACAATTCCTGGTTCCAGCGCGAGACATGCACCTGGAGGGGTTTCACGACGCCTTCAAGAGTCGCGAGTGGCGAGCCAGCCATTATTGGAGACGAAACCGATGGGCCGTGGTGCACCTGGCGCCTGCGGCACAAGATAGAATTCATGCTGTATCTGGAGGGAGCACTTCCCATTTGCAGAAGTGCTGTTGATGCACTCCACAACATCTCTTATCTGAGGGTGGCGTTGTACCTAACTACTGTACTGTACTGTGCTGTACTATCTACGTAGGCACTCCCATGTACATTCTCAATCACATGAAAAACCCAGTGGCACGCTCCATCTTTAGTGTTCAGCCAGGTCGCCGGGCTGCAGACCGGATAGCGCGTGGCACACCATGTACCATAGTATTATGCTACCTTGTATTCACGGAAGATCCTCTGGTTCCACCATACCAGTACCAGACTTGCTGCAATGATGAGCTCCTCCGACAGTCTACTCTGTACTCTGTACGTGTCGAGATCGCCGTTGTCTGGGCGGCCATTAGCTGCGGTAGCCTTGGTGGAGCGACCCAGTGTCTGTGTCTTGGAACATCTCACAGCTGCATTGATGGAGGGGCGGTGAAACCGACAGCAGCAACAGTTGCCCAGTACTCCGTAACACCGCGCCCCTCAAAGAGACGAGTTCACACCGGTGGACGTCTCTCAATGCAGCTGTCTGACTGGTGAAGCTTCAGTCCGCGGCGATGCCACCAAAAGGGCGGGATCGAATCCCAATATCGACAGAATTTTCGGCGTACAATGGTACATGGCTAGCTTGAAGCCTATCGTGATACGTAGCAGCTGCCGCTGGCCAACTGGCTGGTGGGGTGGTGGGGGAAGGGTTTTCTGCTGACGCCAGAAAGAAGCACTGATGGAACATTGTCAGCTATGGATGATCCCTGGACTTCGGTAGCCCCTGATCGTTCCTACCCGTGGCCCATCAGCCCCGTAGCTTGAGCAGCCGGCCCACCCGCATCCCTGTCTCACCAGACTTGCCTCTATGCTGCCCCAGATTCTGCTGGGCACGATAATTTTTCTTGTCGGTGCAGAGAGTGCCACCACCGGTCGAGAGATCCGCATTTTTCGCCATCGGGCCATGGCTGTTTATTCTGCCCGTACCCCATTGGCCCGCTGCGGGCGCGTTTTCGCTGGTCAACATTGCACATGCCAACAGGTCGGGTTAAAGTACTCACCAAAAAAGTCAAGCTCGATCGTAGTCAGGGACTCGGGGCAGGTAGTGAGTGGTAAAGGGGCCGCCCAAAGTCGGGATCTATAAAGCTTTTCCAGCCATTCTCGCGCACGCTGCAAAGTTGCAGCCTTTCTTTGCTTTCTTTCTTGACAACTGCAGTTCCCCCGAGTGCTTCTCTCTCCCACCTCTGCGCTTGCAGCTTGCGTGACTTGGCGAGCGTGGTTGATCCCATTCCCAAGAAAGACCAGTTCCCGCATCGGCTCCGCCAAGTACAAAGTACTGCCATCCCAACAAAACTAGCTCCCAGAACCACGACTTGGACAACTCGATTTCGCAGAGTCGTCCCGTGAATTTTCTTGTGTGCGTCTCTACCTCGGCATAGGAACCCTGCGCCGCCTTGTGTTCTCTGTGAAGCACCTAATATTATACCCTGCCACGCCCGTCTCGAAACCTTCTTCTCGAGTACCTACACCACCCTTCCCGTTGCCACTCTGAGAGCACACCTACACAGCGGGCGGCAGGTATACTTACCTTGGGCAATCATCCACTCTTCCAACAAAAGGGTGAACAACCAGCAAGAGAACATTGTCAACACCCCACGCAACAACCATGGCCTCTACCGCAACTGCCTCCCGGCGGAACCCAGCGCTCCGTCGTACAATCACATCCAACACCTTGGAGTCGGACGTTTCCTCCCCGTCGACTGCCATTGCCTCGCCTGTCGACTCCCCAAGAGCCTCGGCCTCCTCGACCTCTCTCTCGTCGATGGCCTCGCTGGACGAGAAGCCTTCCTACGGCAAACTGCTTGACACGTACGGCAACGAGTTCTCCATCCCCGACTACACCATCAAGGACATCCACGACGCCATCCCCAAGCACTGCTTCGAGCGATCCGCCGTCAAGGGCTTGTACTATGTCTTTCGCGACATCGTACTTCTCGGAACCACATTCTATGTCTTCAACACATATGTGACACCAGAGAACATCCCCCAAACCCCGATCCGCGCAGCTCTCTGGGGCCTGTATACCGTCATGCAGGGCCTATTCGCCACTGGTGTCTGGGTCCTCGCCCACGAGTGTGGCCACCAGTCTTTCAGCACCTCCAAGATCCTCAACGACACGGTCGGCTGGGTCCTGCACTCGTCGCTGCTGGTGCCGTACTTCAGCTGGAAGATCTCGCACGGCAAGCACCACAAGGCGACAGGCCACATGGAGCGTGATATGGTCTTCGTGCCCCGAACCCGCGAGCAGCAGGCCACTAGACTTGGGAAGCTTGTCCACGAGCTGGCCGAGCTTGGTGAAGAGACCCCGATTGTCACACTCATCCATCTGCTTGGACAGCAGCTGATTGGCTGGCCCAACTATCTCCTCACCAATGTGACGGGCCACAACTACCACGAGCGCCAACGGGAAGGTCGCGGCAAGAACAAGAGGAACGGTTTCCTCGGTGGCGTCAACCACTTCGACCCATCCAGCCCTCTGTATGAAGCCAAGGACGCCAAGCTCATCGTTCTTAGCGACTTGGGTCTCGGCATCACCATCACAGCCCTCGTCTACCTCACCAAGGCCTTCGGCTTCCAGAACATGCTTGTCTGGTACTTCATCCCATACCTCTGGGTTAACCACTGGCTTGGTAAGTTGTGATAGCCCCCAGCCCGGCGAACAGTCCGAGCGCCATTACTAACCACTTCATGCTCCCAGTTGCCATCACCTTCCTTCAGCACACCGACCCTACCCTGCCGCACTACACTGGCGCGTCGTGGACCTATGTCCGCGGTGCCGCTGCAACCATTGACCGCGAGTTTGGATTCATCGGCCGTCAGCTTCTGCACGGGATCATCGAGACTCACGTCCTGCACCACTACGTCTCCACGATCCCCTTCTACAATGCCGACGAGGCTACCGAGGCCATCAAGAAGGTCATGGGCCGTCACTACCGAGCTGACACGAAGAATGGCTCCATCGGATTCCTGCAGGCCATGTGGCGCAGTGCCCGTTGGTGCCAGTGGGTGGAGCCGAGTGAGGGTGCAACGGGCGAGGGCAAGGGTGTTTTGTTCTTCAGGAACCGAAATGGACTAGGCACCAAGCCCGCGAAATCATCGCAATAAGGGAACCGAGTGATGCCTTGAGGGCCGGAGGTCGGTCTGGCCAACAATGCAGTTCGTGTTGGTACAATCGCTGTAAAAACGTCATCCTCTTTCGATCGATTGCGACCGGGGACATCGGCGATCCTGGAGTCGGGGACGAGCACATTGAGTGGTCGGGGATGCAACTCGGATGTTTCCGCAGCCATCTAGGCTACGTTCGTTTCTATGGCACCGCTCCCCATTCAGGCATCAAGCCGTGGGCATATGTGCTGTTGTGACTAGACACTGTTTCTAGATATCAAAATCGTTCGGGCGCATGGGGATAAAAAGGCGGAAGTCCAAGAGAGAAGTAGAGCATAGATTAAGTAGACAGACGATTTAATACCTTACAATTGCCAACGATCCATGTACATACCGTGCTTCCGTAGTCGGTATCGTGACTCGTGTAAGCAAGAGAGGGATCCGGAGGGGTCAAATGCGGGGAACACATTTGAGTATGCACACATCTCTGTACGTACTAAGCTTTCCCAAGTCCTGTCCCTTCACTAAGCTCGGGTCTCACTTCTTTACGGCCATGAAGTAGTTGTCTTCCACCTGAGCCATTACCGCACTGAGCGTGTTGTGTTCCGAAACGGCAATCGATCCACACGAAGAAGCTGGCCAAATTTACGCCGTGTCATCCAATTTCACTGTTTACTTACGATTGGTATGGCATAGTCAGTTGAGATGCCTTTTCGAATGTTTGATCTTATACCAGGTGAAAGACACATATCCAACCCAAGTAACGAGCGCTCGTATATCCAGATTACATACGGTACACCCATATCAAATGATGCCTTTTCAATATCATATACTCTCACATGCAGCGGCTAACTTCTATTTCCTATTAATGTATATGTGTTGGTTATCGCGTAGGTATATCTATATCAACGAAGGACACGGGCGAAGCTAGCGGTCAGGGCTACTATTCGACTGCTAAGCCCGGCCAACGGGAATAGTAAGAATGATGACTCGACCGTCTGGTGGACGCGAAATGTGATGTTAGAGAATGATAGTCCTGAAGCGCATATTCAACGTGGGTACCGCCGCAATATACAGACAAAATCTGCAACGAAGACGCCCGGCCTTCGTTCGTTGGGCCATGCGAAGGTTGCGTTCGTGGATGCAGAGCATAGTCGAGATACAACACAGCGCGAACCCGCCATCAGTGTATAATTCTTGCCCTGCTTCTGACGGCGCTTGCCAATGGACATTAGGGTCACACGTCCGCAACACTGCTACCAGTCCCGTACGAGTCCTCCACGACAGAAAGGAAACGGAGTTACCTCGGAAAGTTTTTACAAGATGCATGCATACACAGTGCTGCGTATGGAGGTGTCAGGCAGAGTCTGGCCTTGGTGGGGCAAATAGAGTTACCCCACGCCCGACGCTGAGAACCCGCCAGCCGGGAGTGGTGGAATCCACAAGCCCCTAAGTTAGCGGGCGGTACAAACCGCCAAGGGTGTATCTGGGCTGAGCCGCAGCCGTGGAACCAGCAAGGAGTGGTCCAACCTCAGCCTCTGATTGATAGAAGAGAACTTGCAACCGCGGAGATTCGCTGCGTCTGTGAAACGAACACTTTTCTTCTTTTCTCACCCAACGCGATGTGAGATACGAGACACCACACACGCGTGGCCAATCTCAAGCCCCAGCCTTCAGCTCCATTGGTACGTATGAAGCTTGCCAACCACTGGTACTACTGCAGCGAGAGCAATCGTCGTGTCTCTTAAACACCCATGGGCACATCGAATGTTAGTCTCTAACTAGATATAGTACACATGAGCTGTCTTCCTGTTTACTAGCGTTGGTAAACGATTGGAAAAACGGTGTCTGCAAGTAGAGTGTCCCAGCGAGAGGCTGGTTGACGATCCTTGTGATAGCTTGTTTGAATGAATACCCGTCGACGTCGCAACCTAACTGGTAGTGGTAGGTACTTGGAGAAGGGAATACAGACGAGGAAAAAAAGCAAAGGCTAAATAAATGCAGCAGGGACCGCCATTGGGCATGCTGGCGTGGGCAATCAACCTTTCAATTAAGAAAAATCAAAGGGGCAACACGCTAGTGACATTGGTCGCGTTCCGACGCGCTCATCACCACCTGCGACTAGGATGGGCTGGCGGCGGTGGGTCAACACTTTCTCTGAACGATGACATTGTCTGGACAATCTGGTGGAAAATTTAGATTCGAGTGTCTTCATGGTAAACGTGACTATTGTTGCGACTTGCAAGATTCCCAGCGTGAACAATCAAGACGTCCATCCACCGCCGCGTTTCAACTTTCAGGGAGCTCACAATTCCAACTCCTACGATCTAGCCAGGACGATGCATGTGCTCGCTGACGTACACCTCAGCTTCAAGACAGCCTCACTGCGAACGCGATCACCCCCCTACTAGACAAGCAGGTTCTGAACCGTCACAAATCCACAGATATTCAAGCCATCTTCAACTTGTCACTCCTATTGACATCACCAAACCACCTTTCGTATGCTCACCGGGACCGTACAACGGTGTTGCGTGCGCGGGAGCTTCCTCAAGCTCAACCTCTGAAACTTCACATTCGGCGATTCCGTGTTGTCCTTGAGCCGTCAGCACTGCTCCCGAAGGCGTTTCACGGCCTGCGACATTTCAGCAGTGCCTTCCCAAGACAGGATAACGCCCCACTGCCAACATCATGGCGCCCTCCAACCCTTCAGGTGACAAGGACAGATCTGTGCGTGTCCAGCTGTTCGCTCACGATGCAGTCAAGAACAAGAACACTGCGCCCCTGAAAGCATTCCGCCTACGAACGAAGGCAACAGCGACCTTTCACGACCTTGCGAACTTGGCGCTTGCAAGATATGCAAGGGAAGACCACGAAGTGGGCGAGATTGGCTCTATTCTGGATGGTGCCGACTGTGCAGTAGATCTGGAAGAGACTGTGGATCTAATCAACTCGGATGAAATACTCAAGCTGGTGTTGGCGCCCAAAGGCCAAACGGAGGTAATCAGTATATCATCGGACGTAAGTCACCTCATCATAGACCAAAGGACAGTTTGCTGAACGTTCTTCGCAGCATAGCGGTTCAGATGAACCTCCAACGACTGTTTCATATCCCCATCCCAGCCAGCGACCTGCAGTGAAGAGAAGCCTCGCCAGAGGACCTTCTCTAACATTGCCGGGGCCGCCTTCTCAAAGATATCAGCCGCCAAGTAGCCAGAAGAAGCCTGCTGCACCCCAGCCAAATCCTTCACACGGCACGGCACCGTGCTCACAGACGTCCATAACACATCCGGATGTAGCCTCAGAGGGCTGGGCCACTGGGGCGAAGTCCGACCCGTATGAAATCCCATCGGACAGTGAGCAGCCCTCAGTCCGGAGTTCTTCTGTCCAACGAGGTCCAGACTTTTCAGGGAGACGAGGCCCATTTCCTAAGCGAGCAAAACACCAGAACAATTTCAAAGCTGCATCTACAACATCGCCAGTCGCATCACGAGAACGTAGCAGTATTCCACGCAACGCCACCATCATCACCATCGCAGACTCTGTAGAGAGTTCGAACGAGTCTGCCACTCCAATGAGCCAGTACAAAACAGCGGCTCCGGCGAAGCAAAACAATGCAGCAACTGCACCTTCCCACTCTTCCTCCGCGCATACTTCTCGGTGGCCCAAACACCGTGCCTCAGCTCCGTCACCTTCTCAGGAGCAGATGGATGTGTATGCTGCCCGGCTACGGGCGGAAGAAGAAAAGGACAGGAAAGCCAGGGAGGAGAGAGCCAAGAAAGCAAACCGACCGAAAGAAGCCATTTCTTACATCAAGAAAATCACCAAGACCAAACCCCGTCGCACAAGTAAGTGTACTGCCCTGTTCTGCGCCTAACCAACCTTTGTCGCCAATGGAGTTTTTCCTACGGATCCGGACATAAGAGAGACAGTGCAATTCTGTGTCGGATCAAAGGTCTATGCCATCCAAATGCTGGTGGTTCAAATTAAATGAAACACAAAGACTATGGGGCAGGCTGAATGCTGACAGCTTGCAGTTAAAAAGGAACTTCCGAAGAAATTTTTCCTGGAATCCGACCATTCGGACGACGATTTTGGTGAAACAATATCAAGTCCGCATCCATTGGCCACTGACGACGTGCATTCAGGCGGTTGTCAAGCTAGCGCTCGATTGCCTCCACAGCTTCCTAACTCATCAGGTTCAAGCATCAAGCCAACAACCAGTTTTCGACCAATCAACACATTGTCGACAACGAGGAATTCGGAACCACCCCCTGTGCAGCTCAAGAAGTTCGGGCTTGGCTACCCTCTTCACGTACGCGAGCGATTCAACGATGAAGACGATGAAGACGTTGGGGATACGCACGAGTTCACTCACTGGGTACAGGACTGTGTGACCAACTTCGTAGCCCACCCTGGTTTCTGTTCCGTCGCTGATGGCCCTTTCAAAGGCCTGATCCGTGGCGGGCCAGACGACGGCAAATACTTGCCAGGGTTTTCAGCCCCAACGCAGCAACATATTGCTGAGATGAGGAGGGCTGCTGTCCGAAAGGAGCGATGGATTGACATGGATTCGTCAGTGTCAGATGCAGCACCTGGCGATGCCGAATCAGAGGACATGGTCCAGGAAAGGCACCCTTTGAAAACCCCATCCTTCACGCAATCAGAACCAACGTCGATTCTCATCACGAAGCAGCTTTCGCAGGAGGAGCCGCCCTCGAACCAAGAGCTTGCCATTCTCATGAGCTCCAGCCCTTCAAGAGCCGGTGCAGAATCCCGGCTGATGCCTGTCACGGACCTATGTACAAGTAATATTGATGACACTGATGCCAATAATCGCGAAGCCAGCCTTGAGCTCCCAACCTGCCTGCCCTCATTCTTGCCACCCAACGCACCGGAGTGCGATCGAAGTACACCATCGCGGTACCAAAGACCGTCTTTCAATGATGCTGATCTCGATGTCACGCCTACATTCGAACGGGCGCTGTCCCAAATGGAGACACCGAGTACCCGGTCTAGGTCAGCGCATACGTCTTCGGCGCCAAGCAAAAAGGATGATGATATTCATCCAAGCTCAACCGGCCACCTGGTGGTTAAGATCCACGAGCTTTCGGCCGAGAAGCAAGCAGAGTATAGGAAGATGCCTGATGACTACAGACAGCCCCAGTTAGGGCGAATCTTAAGACCTTTCAAAGAGATTAACGGCGGCCACCGTGACTCTGGCAATGTTTCGCAAGACTCGAGCACCTCTGCCATCGAGCATGTACTAAGAGAGTCGCCGATGTGGCTTGCCAACATTACTGAGCTAGAGCCACGAACACCAACAAAAGCTCCAACAAGTGCTTATACCTTGAGAAGCATGCGGTCAGGCACTGCCAGTGGCACAGAGAGTGCAACCCGGGGCAAGAAGCGTAAGGAGATGGACAACGAGCACGATGATCCTACGTATCGGGCTGCTCATCAAGTGCGCGAGCCAGACCCTCTTGGTTGCCCCGTCAGGACCTCGTGCGCTGGGGCCGAGCAGGCCACGAAGACAACCCCACGAAGCAAGTCCAAACAGTCTGGAAATGCACTTCGGGCGCCAACCACGACCTCACAACCAGAGCCTGACTTTGTGCCAGACACACCACAGAACAAAGCCGGGTTGAGTCTTAGTAAGCCGGAGTTCATCTCAACCACGCCCATTCCAGCACCCTCTATCTCCGACCTCATGCAGAAGATCAGAGGAAATCGCAACATCCCTACCGCGTCAGGCACGACCGCTTCTCCTGTTGACATCAACCGCAAAGGCAAACGTGCACACCGACACCGCGAAGTCCACAAGCGCCATGACGGTGCACCGTTACATGTACCTGCGGTTAAGGTCAAATCCAGGTCGAAGCCTACGAAGCATAGCAAGCATCGGCGAGCAGAGAAGAACGGGAAAGATAAGAAATGCGATAAGAAGTCCAGGAAGAACATTTCCCGGCAACACAATGAGGCGAAGGCGGCGAAGAAAGCCGAGCACAGAGAGCGGAAAAGGAAGCATAGATCGATGAGACGTCAGGGGGCGGAGGAGCAATCAGGCATGGTCAAGGTCCAAATGCCTGCTCATAGGAGCGACCTTGAGATTGAGGCAGAGAGGCCAACCACGGACCCCCTCCAGATTTTGATCAGCGACCGGCACCAGAAAAACTCGATGGCACACGAATCAAAGCGTCCAAAGGGCAGGATTCTATCGCCGCCAGCCACTTCGAGACCCTCTAGTGCCGGCTCTCGCATGTGATGAGGGGTGGGCACGTTCTATTTTGCGTATAACCATGTGTGGTTATCAAAAATGCTTCTCTATAATCCCCTTGATCCCCAACCCCGAAAGCTGGCCAGAGTTAAATGGCGTTATTCTTCCTTGACTCATTCCATAGTCATTCTTGCTCATCCATGCTGTGGTAATTGCTGGACTAGATAAAATGTGTATACGAGATGCTCTTTCTAATTCCCACGGCGTTTTTATGAATGCCTAAGTTACCTTGGTGGCGCTATGCATGGCAGTATATGTGTTCTGTGAGGTTCTGTTGACTCGCCGTTTGGTCAACAGAATTCTCAAGCTGGACAATTTGTGAAACATCATTTCCGGGGCCAACGGCGGTTATTGAGCACGCGGTCTTGGGACTGACAGCTATTCCAGCCAACCCTGGAAGTGAAACTGCACGATTCGAGAATCAACATGGACGGGACATATGAAAAACAAGCTCCAAAGTATGAAATGCCGAGATTCTGCCCTAATAGATAGCTAGCTGGGCATATCTTGAGGCATCCCGTGTTTGTTCCAGATCCCCCAGTCCCTCCCCTTGGGGGAAAAAACGTCGAACGCTTTAGCAGAACTGCTAGCGCCTTAGGGGCTAATCGGAGTATATAGGCCAACCAGCTTCGACTTCTCACAGTCTTCTCACTTTGAGGATCCCACTTCAGGACTTTTGTCCGCCGCTCGGGCTAGCTGAATCACAAGGATATGCTCCAAGTGATTAAGTGGTATGCCTCAGACACGCCGAGTTTGGATGCACTTTGTGGATCGTATTCCCTAGGATATACGGCGCCGTGGATTCAACGCTCAATCCCGTGTGTTTTGAGCACCAACATTCACGCTGCCTCTTGGCAACGAACAAGCCAGACTGTGTCCACCTGAAAGGAATGTACTATTGAGGGCGTACTGATTTGAATGTCCTTTTCTTTGGACACGTTTCTATGTTGGACCTTGTTGGACTATGTTGGACTGGGTGCTGGCATAATTTACGCGGCATACCAAACAGCGACTATTGTTGCACTCGCTAACATCACACATCCTGAAATTTCCACCTTGACAGTCCTTGACCCGCCGGGCCGCACACACAGTTCTTGTTCAGGTTGCATTTCGCAAGCATTGACCCAAAGCTGGAGTGGTTTCGTACTTGTAAGCCGACCAATGCAAGCCCCGCTAAGCATGATTCGAGACGACATGCCACTCACCCGCAAACGAGCTGGAGTACAACCCCTACGAAACTTAGCATGGCCTTCGGGCTATTCAATTGCGAGCTTGGCGAAGCTACCTGTGTAAAAGTTGAACTCATGAGGGTCTTGCGAGGGAGCCCTGTGTGGATAATTAAATTTCCACCTCGAGTAATCATTGCACGGTCTAGACCAGAATCCACAGACTCCGGAATTTTTTAGAGTTTGCCAGGGCTCTATCAACAGCCAAGGAAGTTTGTCAGAAGCTGTCGAGTCGTACGGATTATTCTCCACGTGGTAAGCATGCGCTCCTACCTACTCTCGGCCGTACGAACCGAATTGTGCCTGGCTTTATTTAATGATCTAAGGAAGACCCCTGTCAATCTTTCAGCTGTCGTTGGATGAGGTATAGAATGGTGTCTCGCCATGATACTTGACTGGACCGTTTGAAGGAGGGTGGGGAACAAAAGCACGCCAGCGTTTCCCTAGACTTCGCTTCTCGGCCCACGGACTCCCTAGCTTACCTGTCTGACCGGCCATCACCGACGAGGGTCCAGGCCGTTGTCAGCATGGAGAGGGTTCTGGAGTACTAGTAGTGAATACGCCGCCCGTACCAAGCGCCACCAGATCTTTGTCTCTCGAGAACGACAGCTTGGCAAGCAAGCCGCATATAGTTGGGCTTGAGACTATAGTCGACTACTCCTTCTCTGTGGCGAATGCTAATATGGTGTCATGGCATCGAACCTCGCTCCTGTGAGCGACACCTTGGTACCATTACCTGAAACGCATCGCAGCGGCCTTATTGCTGTTGCAACCTTTGGATTCCTGTCATTCATCGCGACGAGCACTCTTTTCCTCTACCTAACGTACAAGCTGGTGCGATGGCACGTTGACAAGTCATCGCGACGAAGCAATGAGGACCACCATGCTACCACTACCGACTTATCACTAGGTAAATACTCTGTGATCACTATGGAACCATTCAGGGAATAACATATCGTCCCCATCTAGGCCTGTCACAAGCACATTTCGGCAAGTTCCAATCGACAACGTCGCAGAACCCTACGGGAGAGCCTCAAAGTCGAGATGGCAACCTCAACCAATTTCTCCTGCTGGTGTACAACTTGCTCTTCGCAGAAATGCACCAGTCTCTGGCCTTCCTGCTGAATTCATCGTGGGTAACCTCTGACGGCATCTTTGTGGGAACATCAGCGTGCTGGGCTCAGGGATGGTTCATTTCCACAGGCGACCTAGCGGCCAGCTGCTTTATCTCCGCCATTGCCGTCCACACCTTTCTCATTGTCATTAAAGGGTACAGACCACCCCAGTGGGCACTGTACCTCACTATTGCCTGTTTGTGGATCTTTGTGTATGCTCTGGGCATTATCGGTATCCTGATCACCCAAAATGGTCAAGCTGCAGGAGGACTCTACGTGAGAGCGGCAGCCTGGGTAAGTTTCGAACCCACGAAGCATGCCAAGCATGGATCATTTTGTGCTGATAGGTACTAGTGCTGGATGAACGTCAGATACGAGAACCTTCGCCTATGGCTGCACTATTTCTGGATATTCCTCTCCTTGTTCTTGACGAGCGGACTATATATCCTCATATTCTTCTCACTGCGGCGGCGTGGCACGCCTCACCTGCCATCTCATTCCCGAGCGCCGAGTTCGTCTACAGCCCGCGCAGACGCTTCTGAGATAGGGGGTAGCCGCCCAGGATTTCTTGTATACCCTCTTATTTACGTGTTGTGCACCGCACCATTGGCGCTTGGACGAATTGCAACCATGTCTGGGCGAGACGTAAGCGTAGCATACTTCTGTTTCGCTGGATCAATGATTGCATCCAATGGCTGGCTTGATGTCCTCCTCTTCTCATGGACGCGCAGTACCATTATCTTCACGACGTCGCCAGATCTGGGCGATGCAGGACTAGATACCTTTACCTTCATAAGGACGCCTCCCACGAGGCGCTATGGAAATATGGTATGGGTTCAGGGCGCTTCGGGTGGAAGCACGAACCGGAGCAATGATGGCAGCCGGGACCGTCGAGGTTGGTGGAAAATCGGAAGTACTCGGGGTCATCACAGACCAGACCGCGGATCCGCCGGGTGGACTCGTCGCGGCTCCAGCAGTGTTAGCCAAGAGTCGCTACGTGGCGCTGTGGCCAACGAAATACAGCTTGACACGGTGACAACAGTTGTGGTGGAGATAGACAGTAGAAATAAGGAGCCAGCGGGTTCCGTGGACAGCACGGAGAAGGGTATTGCCCCCAGTCTCCGTAGTGAGTTGTAGACTATTCACGTGTATACATAATGAAGAGAAAAGATAGAAAGAAAACAAGACCCAGGGATCGTGATAAGACACAATGAACGGGAATCAACAATGCAATGCGTGAAGCGCGCAACCGTAAAAATTGGTGACTATGGAGGATATCTTTTTCCGCAAGTCATGTCAAAGCTGACATCTATCTACAAGGCCTGCAAACTGCCTGACCGAGCTCATCATATCGAATCATATCGAATCATATCGAAATTATCCCCGCTAAGGCTTCATCGGCTCAAAATACTCCCTAAATCGTATGATATCCTGCAAATCAAGAGTGTAAACCACCTCACAGCACACAACCAATAGATTGGGGAATCGTCTGGTCCAATAGCCCAGGTAATCCTCGTGGCTTGTCCCGACAGACTTCTTGAGAGAATCGCTTAGGTCCTCGCGATGGTTCCATTTGTTCCGGAGGGCGCGAAGTAGGTCCAGTAATCGTGTGCCAGTGTACTTGCGTTGCTTGCCTAGACTCTCAACAAAATCTTTAGTCAGAGCTTTGAGGAAATCGCCCCGGCAAACCCGTGGAGCAAAGCTTTCCAGAGTTGCGAGTGCCTCCGAAGGCGGGTCGCGCTGCTCCTTCTCAAAGTGGTCAGAGACATCGCAGAGGAAGGTCAGTCGCTTCTTGGAATCCCAGAAGAACGGATGAGCCATCACCTCCTTCGTTGTTGGTCGAAGTCTGGGATCGGTTCGAAGCATGTTGCGAATCAGATCGCGAGCCTCGAATGCGAAATCACCGAGCACATCCAACGGCTGCAGGTTCAACTGACCCTTACGGATGTTGACCTCACGCATGTAGCGGTCGCCACAGTCAAATGGATGGCTTCCTTTTGTAAGCACATAGAAGAACACCAGACCGAGACTGAAAATATCGATGGCTCGCGTCGCACGGCGGTTGGGAAGGAGGTCCGAGCTGACAAGCTGGCTAGATTCACTGTGGGTGCTCGTCATAGATGTAGAGTTGTCGCGAGCGTCTTCTTCAGCCAATAACTCCGGAGCGCGCCACCCTGAAGTCCCAGCAGGGCGCGTGGCAGTGTGGCCGAATGATGACTGAGCACCGTCAAGCTTCTTGCATAGTCCGAAATCAGAGACCACCAGCCGGGGCCGGCCTTCTTTGGTCATCGTCACCAAAATATTTTGGGGCTTCAGGTCTCGATGAACGATGCGAAGGCTGTGTAGGTGGCTTACACCATTGGCGATCTGCAGCAGGACATTGGGGATGTCTCGCTCGCCCGCCTGCGCGAGATCCTGATATGAGTGTGGCTTGTCAACGATGTCGGCGAGTGAAGCATGACAACGCTCCAGAGCGATGTACAAGAACGTCTTGTCTCGATGGATGGCATAGTATTGGATTACTGTTCCCAAGATTAGCTAGGCGGTAGGACACACGGAAACCAGATGAAACATACCATTCGGGTGATTGTCACTCTCTAGGAGGAGGTCTGTTTCCCTCGTCGCGAGGTCATTGAACTCGTGCAGCATCCGCTTGACTGCGATCTCTCGTCCATGGAAGGACCCTGGAAATACAACCGTGCCGTTACTTCCCATTCCGAGCTGCTCATCTAAATTGACTCGCAGGCCATTGATTTCAAATCCGCCTGCACCAATGTCCTCGGGCTTGCCAATGGACTTGACATTTGGGTTGAGTTTCGGCTCCTGAGCCTCTACCATCTGGTCAACATGAGTGATTGGGTCAATATCCGCAGGTTTGTCCTCTGGTGTTTGCGAGGCATCTTGCTGCTTCTTTCCTCGCTTGTGCTTCACACCACCTCTGGTCCCCCGGTGAGCTTTCTTCTTTTTCTTCTCTGGCGATTCCACTGTGGCCTGAGGTGCGAGCTGCGCCTCGGTTGAAGGTTGCGGCTCTTCACCGGGCGTCTCCAGCTTGTCTGGCACGATAGTGCCCGCAGGCGGTGGCTCCAGCATGTCGGGTTTGACAGCCGGAATCTCAAGCTCATGAACGGCTGTATTTGCCACATCATCGGCTTGAATTGGCTGGGAGGTTGGTCCATCAGGAAGGGTCTCCTTCACAGGCTCAAAAGACTCTATGGCAGCCCTGAGAGCCGTCGTGCGTGGTTGCTCTGAAGTCACCGAATTGTGTCTCTTCAGGGTACGGAGCCAGTAGATAAGCCATATCAAGACGCCAACCAAGACAATCGGGTTTGTGATGAGCTCACGCATCCTGGCGGCGGCATACTCTGGAAACGATTTGACCCCGCGCTCAATGGCAGACGTCAAATCAGACTCTTCTTCTCGCATTTGTACTGATGATGAATTGGTCCGAGAGCCGTCGTCCGGTCCCGAGGGTAGTCCGGGCGGAAGGCTGGGCCAATGCGCAGACTCACGCGAATACTCGTCACGTAAGCCGTCGAGTGCATGCATCCCAATCAAAGCTTCATCGGCAACCAAAAAGTCGTTGTCATCATGATCAGTCCCGTCCTGCAAGCTGACCTGTGCGAGGGGCGCGTCCAAGATGAGCGGGTACGAAGTGCCAGACAAAGCGTACCAGCTACCAGCCTCTGTCTTGTTAAGATATATGCTGGAGCCTCGGGCTCTGGCAGCTTTATCGCTGGCAAAGGGTGGCGCCGACTGGGGTAACAGGACGAGCTCGGGGTTGGTCCCCCGAGGGACATCCAGCGGGCGGGCAACGTTGAATACCCTGGCAACAGGAGCAGAGAAGCCCGCTGAGAAGGCATGCGGCCCGGATTTATCGTCGACGGTATACAGCTTGCCATCGTGCCGGCTGGTCAGGTAGCGCTTGTCCTGGTTAGCTCGATACTGTCGATGCAGGTCGTTGTCATGACTGTTGGGCCCCCACTCGAAGTATCGCAAGGTTGCAATGGGGCGGCCGTCATCTTGCCGATGGATGTTGACGGTATATTCAGTGCGACTAAGGGCGATGGTTCCAGCATCGCTACACTCCTCGGTGTCGGCATCGACGAACCCCTTCGGCTGGAAACAAGTAGCGACGGGAGCAACCTGATGCTCGCCTTGTCCAAACCACCTACGCACACTTCCTGTGGCAGCGTCGAGGATGTACATGGTTGTCTTCTTGTCGCCAGTGTAGACGACGGGTGGGTGTTGTACGGCATATGGACCTAGATCGTCCACGAGCTCCTTCATGGAGAACCCGGTGCTCATCAAGCCAGAGCCAACGCCAGAGGGCATCCACACAAACACCGGGCCGGTGTACGAGGGCTCGATGGCCCAGATGTAGTCATCGAGCGGGTGTGGATCGTGGTCGTCGAAGAGAGACCGGTTGGATCGGTGATGGATGGTTTCAACCGTTGGCTGCTCCACCTCGAGGTGCCAACGCACGTCGCCAGAATCCTTGCTGACGGCATAGAGATGTCCATCGACGGTCGCCAGAAGAGCATAGTCTTCCACTTCCCATCTCTCCAGACTCCGCGCAGACTGCGTCGAGGACAATCCAGCACCAACAAGGACGCCGGAGGGCTGTCGTGGAGATTTGGCGGCTCGAACGGCGTGTTCCGGAGCCAGAGTTGCGAGGGCGCTCGCATCGTGAGGATCGTTGTAGTGTTGATCGGCTGATCGTTTCTGCTTGGTGGCGCGGTCGTTCGCATAGGCGGTCGTTACGGCATCGTGGGCACGGTCGGGCCGTGGTGACCGTGGCCGCTCGGCGACGGAGGCCTGGGGGAGAGTGGTGGCATGGCTACCAACCAGCTGCTGACCCTCGAAGGGAGACCTGTGCTGGCCACGGCCCGCAGCCAGGCGCCGTCCTTGGCTGTCGCGCGCGTCATCGTCGTCGTTGCCGGGGCCCAGGTGTGGGTTGGATGGGCCGTTGGGGTGAAGAACATTGGCGATGGGAGGTGGATGGTGGCCAAGGGACTGTTGCTGGCGGTACTGCTGCTGCTGAGCATCGGCAAGCGACAACCATGGCAGGATGAAGATGGCTAGAGCCAGCAACACCTTTGTCCTGGGCTGTTCAGCGACAAGCCGTCCTTCGCCAGGAGGCCGTCGCATCATCTTGAAGACTGCAACGTCGCGATGCCGATCGTGGAGGAGAGAATACGCGGCGTACTGATCACATGGAAGGCGGGCGTATCTCGACTGCAAGCCCCCGCGTGTGATCGGACTCGAGGACTGTCAACTTCGCAGCCGACGGTTGCGGGCTTTGAGATGACCAGCGGGAACGCTGCGTGCGTGGGAACGGGGTCTCGGTCGCCCCCAAAGGTGCCCAGGTGGAGGTGCTTAACAGGGACCGGGGAGTGGAGCAGTCCCTCGGGCCAGTCGACCAGTCAGTCCGCTGGGACGGTGCTCGGCAAGGCAAGGCAGGCAAAGGAAGAGCAGCCGCTGTTGAGATGGCCGACCAGCCAGCCAGGGCCAGGTTCACGATGATGAAGTTGAGCAGCGGGTGGAGTTGACACAGGGTGAGTATGCCAGGCGCTGCAGAGCAGTGGAAAGCAGCCGGGTTGTATGTTTCGTCTCGCCCAGGTAACGTAGATGATGCCACGCAGAGGCAACGACAGACCCGCCGGTGGTGGGTGGTGGTCAGTTCGCACCCGGCTTAGCACGTCCTCGCACAAAACTGAACCCAAAAATGAGGGTACCGCAGCAGACCCCACTAGGACGGGTACCTGATTCTATTTGCAGTCCAGTCCAAGGTTGGGAGCCGGCAACGCTAAAGGTCTGGCCAGGCTGGTGGAGAGAGGGATCCGATGGTGGTTGGTAATAGATAATAAGTCTGATCGCGACGCCGCTTCGTCTTGCACCCGGGACGTCATGCGATGTCCAGCGCTGACGATAGATGGTAGATGGGATGGGAGCGCAGGATGGTTGATGGTGCAATCCTGTGTGAGGGCGAACGCAGGAGAAGTGTGAGAATCGAAATCAGAAGCAGAATCGGCAAAGCCCTCCCCTCAGGACTCTGGGAAGGATTTCTGCTGATGGTGAGACGAACCCTGGGCTGTCTTGGACCGCCCTCCAGCCCTCCAACATCCCACGGGGAGGCTTGGGGGCGCTGCTGGCAGGCCGGCCGAGCTCTCTGGCTTGTGCTGGCTGGCCACCTCCCCGTTGGCTGGCAGGCTGGGTCTGCAGTGGTACGCAGTAGTTAGTTAGTTAACATGTATTTCTGGGTAAATTGGTGCCTGCAGGCCTGCGCCGCCCCCCTGCCATGACGCCACCCTCACCAGCCATCGGCCACTATTTGCGTGCCCGCATTGATCTTCCGATCCCGCCGCCATGCGGGCATCCAATGCCCCTTTGCGCGAGATGATCTACGATAGTAGGACGAAGTATTGGCCACCATGTTCGATTGTACTCACTACCACTGCGAAAGCATAGCTCACCCAATGCGGACAAAGGGCTGTCAGACCCGGTGAACTGGTCAGCTCATGCAACCTTGCTCGGTCAATGTCGCTAGTCACCCTGTAGGAACGGACGAATTTATGTACATTCGCGGGGAGGAGGCCAACGGTATCATCGATTGCCCAATCTCAGGCAACCGGGGGATAGGGGTTCATAGTGGATGATGCTGTGCATCAGCAACTTTGTGCGTTCGCGATAGACACAGCCGGATCCATGCATGATGGTGCGTCGAGCTGAAGGGCACTGGGGAGCCTTGATAGGGGACATTGTGCTGGCCATGTCTCGAATCGACGTAGCCTTTGACGTATCGTTCAACCCTAGCCAGCCAGCCTGTCACAATCGGCACGCGAGTAGGCCGCTTGCCTTCGCTCACATTTCCCTGAGACTGTGGCTAAAACTTGGCCTCTCGTCATGTTATATCGTCAAGTGTGCGTAAAGCGACGACCATCCTTACCAACATGTATCCCTGGCATCCTATTTCCTCGCATCTCGAGGGATAGATTGATGGAGAGGGCCGGTTGGCCGGAATCGCTCTACCTGCATCGTCCATTATACACATATGGCTGAAACCGCTGCACTGTACACATGTGTCGATGACTGATAGTGTGACGCGACAGCTATCGGTACAAGTACACAAGCCTTCCTCAGAACCTTGTGGTGACGTGCCTCGCGCAAGCGTGGTAGAAGATGCGCACTTCAACAATGCTTGCTCTGAGGCACGGCATCAAGACGGAATCATAACCGGTTAGGTAGCACCCCCAAGGAACAATCGATTGCCTGGCACGCTTATGTACCATGTGCATACCGCGTGGCGGTATGGCCAACCTCGACTGTTGGACTTTCACCAAGCTGCCCGTAAATCACCGAACAGTGTGTTCACTAGAAGCGCGGATGCTATCAAGAAGTAGAGTTGGCAGATACTCAGAATACTAATTACGGCATTTTGCTGATGCTCTAACACCACGTCCACATTCGCGAAAATGGCAAGCGACATGGCGAAAGTACGGCTATATGCGCCTTTCTCTTTTGCATTTTGACACTTCGACTATGGCCTTATCCCCATTGCACAAGCACCTGCTTGCGACCTTGTTTGCCCTTCTTCTTCCCTTTGCCGCCCTCTGTAGGATCCTCGTTCATAGCTGCACTGCTGCCTGCTGCAGGTTCAGCCTCGCCGCTGGCTCCCCAGTTGAAGCCAGTGCTCCGGTAACCTCCAAAGTCCCTCCTTACAGCGCCAGTGCCGTACCCGAATATGGTAGTCGTGGGCTTAGGTGCTGTGGGCAGGGCAGGGAAATTGTCATCACGAGTGACAGGTTTCGCAGTAGCCCTCGCCTGCGTCCTGGTAGAGCTGCCGGGCCCCCAGAGCGACGCGGCAGACTGCGAAGTACCTGGGGCGGGCCTGCCGGATGGGAGCGCAGGGAATGCAGCTGCGGGAGGAGGTGGCCGGGTCGAGCCGCTAGCCGCCGATCTCGATACTGCCTGGGCAGTCGAACGTTGGGATTGTTGTGTCGAGCTCTTCAGCTTGAGTACTCTTGTAGTATGTCGCTGTGCGGGTGCGGCAGAGGCAGTGGCCGGGGAGCTCGCCGCAGCGGAGGCCCAACCGCTGCTTGATGTTGTTGCGCCGTGCATACCAGACAGGCCCGGGAGGGTCGGGTAGTCTTCGTTGATTGCTCGCCAATCATTCCAAGCCTTGCGCAGTGACTCGGCCTTCAACTTGTCCTCGAAGAGGTCGGCAACCTCGCGAACCAGGGTGCCGAGAGCCGTGGTTGACGTCTCAGAGAACAAGGAGAACAGCGAGTCGATCAGAGCAGTAGCAGTGACCTTTCCTTGACGATAGGATGAGATGTGGGAGCGGAAGCTGGACACGTTGCTGGCATTGTTCTGGAGCAGGTTCGAGGCGCGCTCAATGACTGCAGCATGGCGCATCAGACGACTCCGCTCCTCCTGACTGAGGTTCGGGTCGGCCAGAGATAGGCCTTCCATTTCTGCAGGGGGGACCCCGGCAGCTGGAGGAGCGGACGAAGCGTTGCCTCGCTGGGGAGTTCTGGTCGCAGCCGATGGAGCCGATGCCGGTTCGGCTGCTGAGAGTTGCCCGCCAAATGTACGGTTTGTCACGGATTGAGAAGAGTGGATTGCCATTTGGCGCTGGAAAGCCAGTTCATCACGACGCAGAGGTTGAGCAGAGCTGGCGGGAATTGGCTCGGCATTTGGATCGCGCCCTCGTCCCCTCGCCTCCCTATCTCTTCCGCGCTGCCTGGCCGAGCCGCCTCCACGCCTGTCCTGCTGGTATGGCTGACGGAGATCGAAGGCAGCCATATCGACCAGCCTGGCATCCCGACGGACATCTTTGGATAACGTATTTCCGTGCTCGCTCAGCTGGTGTGCCTTGAGATCCATCTCCGAGGCAAAGACAACAAACTTCTTCTCTTGGCACTCGTTGTCAGGGCACGGGAAATGGTCTTTTCTGAAATGCTGCTCGAGCGCATTGTAGTCCACATAGTAATGAGGCTGCCTCGGATCCTCCCTGTCGCAGAGAAAGCACCTCTCATGCTTGTTCCGGCAATGCTCGTAAAGTTTGTCGGAATCATAGAACCGCTGGCCGCAGAAGGCGCATAAGGGGTGTCCCTTGAACCCGGTCTGGTCGATGGCACCGGGTCGGTCGTCTCCGTGGCGCATGTGCCGCTCAAGCTCCTTGTCGGCGAAAAGTTCATGCTCGTGGGTAAAGACCTTCTTGTTGCGCGTACAGAGATCGCACATCTTCTTGTGGTGGACGTTTCGAACATGACGGTGAAGGTCCGGCCAGCCCAGCCCAGCGAAGTCGCATTCGTCGTCGGGGCAGTTGTAACGCAGGAGCAAGACCGTGTCGCCGACTATATCCTCCTTGCTGTACCGGATGCCAATGTTCTCGTCCGTGCTAGTTATGTCGGGGGCGCCGGCGGAGTAATCCTCGAACCGCTTGGTCGCGTCGTCGGTGAAGATGACGTAGGGAGCAACAGTCCTGCAGTGCGCACATTCCTTATTCTTGTAGAGTGCTCTCATGCGCAGGGCGCAGATATGGCATGTCCTGTGATTGCAAGGCGCCACAGACTGATGCACGACCGGGCTGGCGCAGATGAAGCAGACTTCAGCCTCGACCTCCTCGTCACCGCCGGCAGTGGGAGCCGCGTCGGCCGTCAACGCCGGCCGCGCCTCTGCTGGCAACAATGCTGGCTGGATCGGTTCGTCGCCCTGCGCCCTCGCAGGCCCTTGCACTGCTCCACCTCCTCTGCCACGACCTCCTCGTTGCGACCGGCCTCCTCTTGGCTGACTCTGACCACCGCGGCCTCGACCCCTGCCCCGTCCTCTGCCCTGACCATCACCGCGGCCGGGCCCTGCACTGCCGCCTGAAGCACCACTCTGGCCGCCACCTTCGGACGACATCGGCAGTTTGTGCGCGTTACGAAATCGGTGCTGGAGGCGGGCTATGTGTGGTTCGGGTAGGGGAAGCGTCGAGATATAACTGGATTCGCCGGCGCACAATTACTGTGGGCCTGGGACTCTTCGAATATGTCCAACTGGCACTTGGCTGCTCTATGGCTCCGCTGGAAGCGGTAATGAGAATGGTAGCAGTGGAAATAGTGCGACTGGGGGCGGATGGATGATCTCAAATGCACATCTGGTGGTCGCTTGGCGGGGTTCGTCGAGGAGTGTCGGTCATTAGTAGCAGTGAGGACGGGTTCAAATTTGTCAGTCGGGACCCCACCAAATCCAAAGAGCTATGCTGCAGGTCCGGGGGTCCCGCACATTCGTCCGGTATGACTCCTCTGTGGCGGTGTCTGTGTGGCGTGCTGACCAAGACTGCCCGACTTTACTGAGTACTATTCGCCTACCCGGTCTCGATCACGCCGCGCTGTACGAATTCCAGGATTTGAATCATAGTGCTGTCATAACTCAGCCTCGCGCACCTCCCGCAGTCCCAAGAAGCACTGCCTATGCCATGTCATCTCTGACTTGGGTCACCGGATCTGGCTACCGAAAGCTCGACCGCTCGGATCGAAGCGAGAGAGAGAGAGACATATCTCGTCCATGACCGGACCCGGCTTGCTTCCGCTGCCTTCCTTTCATGCCTTTCTGTTTCTCAACAAAAATATGAGGAATCGTATCTTGTAGGCCTCGGATAATCTCGAGGCACAGATAGGTCGGGGTTACTACCAATTGTACATCTTTGAAATCCAAGGCATCACTGCGGACTTTGCCAAAGGTTGGGTAGATTGGATTTGAGAGTATCTCACCGCCAAACAACATACATTGCTGATATTTAGATGCCTGCTTGGCACAAGACAGAATCCTCTTATTCAATATTAGTGAACTATCTCAATAACAGATTTGATAGGGCCAAAACCGGAAAGACCAGACCTGTATTGATACAGCTGGCATTAGAGTTTGATATCTGCGATATGCATGTTCACAGATGCTCAGAAAAGAAATATTCCCCTGCTGGGAGAGAGGACGGTTACGGTGGACATTAGGTTCGCGGGAAACGTCCACAGGGGCAGTCATTCTATCTGGTACAGTAGCACTCGGATTGATTATGGCCTCACATTTGAGCAACCGAAACTCCTCTACCACCAATATCCTGCCATTTGGCCGGCTGCGATGTCTTGATTACAGTACGAATTGTCCGTTGCTTGATGGGATGAAGAGAGACGGAGAGCTGGACTGTCGAGAGCCAGACTATAACTAGTCCAATCGGCGCATTAATCATGCTAATACAGCAATGCGGCAAGGGCACAAGCACGGAGATCACTTGAGTCTGCGTTCAAGCTTGGTTTGGATTTGCATTACTACGAAGTCATCACACATATGCAAGGAGCGTTGATATGAATGGCTCCCAGTTGGCCCTGGCCATCAACCCAAGTCTTGTTCCGTACTGCCAGGTAATGAAGCAACGCCAGAAATCATCGACAACCTGGGACACCCAGGTGTCTGCCAGTGATGCAATGGGGGAGGCGTCCTGTAGTAGAGTCTCCGTCCTATGATGGGATGGACACCTTGTATCACATGTGACGTAGAAATCGGCACTCAATGAGCCTCCTCGACCGGGTAGAGGTGATCCCCTACGAGGCGATTCATCTGGAACATGTCCACCTTGCTCTGCTTAAATACGGCCTGCATTTTCTCGTCGCAGAGAATTTGCCGCTTGTCCCTGGGGTCTTGCAGGTCATTGCCCTTGATGTGCTCCCACAGTTTCTTAACCACCTGCGGCCGAGACAGCTGTTCTGGGTTAGCATCATCCACGTGAACACCTCATCTTCTAGAGTACTTGCCTGCGACTCTCCTACAAGCGCTGTCAGAGGTTCGCTCAGATTGAACGGCTTCTGGAAGCCACCACCGGCCTTGCGTCGTTTCGGTCCTGAGGCCTCGGAACCCGAGATGTCACTGTCATCCTCTGGCCGAACCTTGTTGGAGCTCTTCTTCCGAGGCGTCGCCTTCTTCTTCTTGACAGGCTTGGACTTGGGGCCCCCGCCGCGGGTAGAGCGTCCGAGGCGGTTCTCCTGGGCCTGCAGCATGGCAGCCAGCTTGGCATCAGCGTCTTCGGTCTCCTCACTCTTGCGCTGCTTTTTCTTGGGCGGCTGTATTGATACTTGGATCTCGTCGCCATCTGCCTGGCCATCGTCGTCCACCTCGTCGTCGCCATAGCCATTGGCCTGGCGCTTTGGCGAGGGCTTTGGCGACTCGGTCTTTGCATGTGGAAGGACTGGCGCGGAGGAGTCGGTGGGGTTCGTAGATATCGCATCGAATCGTTCCTCGATGAGGGTTTTGATCGCAGTCTGCAAGTTGGCCGGGTCAGTAGTGGCAGGGAGCTTCCATCGAGCGATGTGCTTACCTTCTGGTCGCTCAAATCCTTCCCGCCCAAGGCAGATTCCAAGCCTTCTCGAATCTTCTTGCGCGAGATTGTCTCCAGGTTTGCCGTGGCAAGTATGCCATCGATGATCTCCGTGTACCGCTGCTCGTCCTCGGAACTAACTGTGAATGAATGATCAGCGGAGTTACACGGGTCGCCGCGCTGCTGTAGTTTGCAATTCCTCGCCCTCTACCATAGAGACTTTCGGTACGTACGAGGTGCAGACATTGTGAAGACTTCCAGTGCGTCGCCGAGACCAGCGCAGTCGGCGTGAGACGGTGCGTGTATGATGGAGGGTGATGACTGCGTCAACTATGCTGGGTGGCTGTGACACAGAGCGATGTGATGCGTAGATGCCGGTGTCGAACAGCCCGTACCGGAAGGGACCGCAAGCAGGTTCAGCGCTGAGGACTCGAGCGCAGTCCCGATCTGTGGAAAGTGCGGAAGTGGTGGTTGGACCTCGTGGTGCGAAGCTTCGTACGCCGGTTGCAGCTATCTCTCCTACGCCCGAGGGCTGCAATTGCGACTTGAACGCTTGCGGGTGGCAGAGCGCAGAGTGGGCAGTGTATTCAGGACGGTCAGGATCGTCGGGCGCTGGCGCTAGAAATCGGAGAATGGCACTCGCGTGGTAAATCTATATGCTGGCGAACGCTCAGATGGGTGTGCTGATGCCCGGGTTGCAAAGAACAAGTGGACCAAGTATGAAGGGCGGTGATGAGCGGGCTGCTCAAGGATGCACGCCCGAACCGAAGGACTCGTTTAGGAAATGAGGTTTGCGTGACGGGGTGACAATGGCAATCACGGCCAGAGCTTCGGGTTCTCGACTGGGGGGGCAGGTTGGTGACAGGGTCAATTGCCGGCAGCGCTCTAGACAACTGGGGAAGGGTTGCGGCTCATCCACGGTGATCGACGGCCAGATTTGGACAGCAACAAGGTTGAGTATACGATTGTCAGCCGTTAGCAGCAGCAACAGTCGATGCGATGCGGTCCAAGCATGCCAAACAAAGGGCAACGACGTGGCTGGGAGAATGTCGGCAAAGATTCCGCTATGGAGCTCTGGAGGTTCGCGCGGCTGTGGAGAAGAAGCACCAGACCACCGATCACAGCCGCCGGAACGTGCAGAGACGTGACGGGTTCGCCAGGCTGAACAGCCACCAATTGAAACGTCGGAAACGCCGCAGGGAGCCAATCACGGCTGGTCCCGATGGCGCGCGATCACACGGCTAAAATAACTGGGACATATGTCAACTGCGGACGGCACCTGGTTCGCTGCCGGGCCGATTCACCAATGCAAGGCGGTCGTGCACAGCTTTATGCATACGGAGTGGCGCGCACAATACAGCCACAGGACGTACGCGAGGCTTCAAAAACTTTGAATTAGTGCACATACAGTACAGTCGTTATTAAGAACGGCATATTAAATAACAGTGAGTCTGAATCGATCTGCTACACCGGGATTTGCACCGAAGGAGAGAAGTATGGTAAGAACAGATGCACTTCCCGTTTTGGCTGCCTACTATAATAGGGTTCGGCCGACGTTATCTTCGGTATAGATATCTATTTGTTCCATCTCGAGAAGCAACTTGACCACCTCTGCGTGTCCTTCCGCGTCTGCCCACGATAGCGGTGTCTGGCCAAATATGTCTTTAGAGTTGACATCTACTTCTTTCGTTTCGATAAGTAGTTTGGCCACCTTTATATATCCATTCCTAATCGCTATTAATAGCGGGGTCTGGCCATTATTGTCTTTGGAGTTGACTTCCACTTCCTTGGTCTCGAGAAGCAACTTGACCACCTCTGCGTGTCCTTTTTGGGCTGCCCACGATAGCGGTGTCTGGCCAAACATGTCTTTAGAGTTGACTTCCACTTCCTTCGTCTCGAGAAGCAGCTTGACCACCTCTACATATCCATTCCTAATCGCTATTAACAGCGGTGTCTGGCCAAAATTGTCTTTGGAGTTGACTTCTACTTCCTTGGTTCTGAGAAGCAGCTTGACCACCTCTTCGTGTCCTTTCTCGGCCGCCCTCGACAGCGGTGTCTGGCCATATTTTGTGTCTTTAGAGTTGGCTTCCACTTCCTTAGTCTTGAGAAGCAGCTTGACCACCCCTGCGTGTCCATTCTCGGCCGCCCACGATAGCGGTGTTCTACCGTCACTATCTCTCGCATCTCTGTTTTCTAGATTCCACACCGCAGATAATGCATCTTCGAGTCCAAAAATGGCTGCCAGATGTGTTGCTTCCATACCACTAGGGGTTTTTTGACTGAAACCTCCAAAATGCCACCCTCTATTAGCGAAATACGATTGAACAGACGCATTGATCTCTGCTGTCTTTTGGAGGAAGCCAACTATCTGCTCACAGCTACGAGCTAGTCGTGCATGGTCACCCCAATGCCGAGCTGCATATTGGTAGAGCTGATGCTGCTCAAGACGCTTCTCGAACTCCTCATCGTTTTGGCAGCGCCCACCAGCAAAGGCCTCGAACGAGAGATACGTGGTGTAAGTCGCCGCCAAAGTCAGATGCGCTGAAGGAAACCATCTGCCTTGCGTATCTTCAAAGTACTTTTGTGCCGTATAATGGACCAACCGGACCACGTTACTCTCCTCGTCGATTGTGACCAGTCCTGCACACACCGAAACCAGGTCCTGAACTTGCGTAATGTTATCTTCGTCCAGTTTTGCCTCACCAATCTCAACGGTAAGCGCATGCTGTAGCTCTATTTTGGTAAGTGGTCGTTTTGTACAAGTTATCCACATTATCACGTCCTTTGCGCGTGCGGCTTGCCCTTTGAGCTGGCCCTCAATCTGCCTCATCGCAGCATCGTAGGCACTATTATAGGCTGCCTCGGAACTTCTCGAGCCGGTCGTTAGATCCTGCAATGCCTTCCGCAAGACCTTGGGATTGTCTTTGTCTAAAAGCGTATCGCAATACAGCTTAGCAAACAGAAACCTGAACAATTAGTATATCATAGCAAACGCGTTTATGGTAGACTTACATCCCATTTGCTACGCGACTGATAGTCTGCGTAACCTCGATTTGTAAGTCGCTTCTATCGGCGATGAACCTAGGGAGACGAGCTATGGCGTTGTTCAAGTATCTCCTGATGTCTTCTTCGCTAGCGATTATTTCAATTATCAAGCTGTTCGAGAGTTCTTTCTCGATGTCGAGTATATGCCGACTTGTCGCGAAGACGCTAATGCCTCGCTGAGTCTGAAGTCTCAAGAGCTGATGTACGAATCGTGTTCGACAATTGTCCGCCACCTGACATTCATCTAGTGTATCGACTATGATAAATACCCTGGTGAACGTAGCAACCACAGTCTGAAGAGCTGTCGAAATCTCCTCCAAAGTCGGTTTCGTACGTTTTAGGGCGTGCCTCTCGTGAAGCTTCTTCAGGACTGGCGGTAGTGAAAGACTATTCCGCGCTAGCTGCTTTAGTAAGCTGGATATCAAATCCTCAAGCTTCTGTTCCTCTTTACGATTGAAATTGCAGTAGATGTACGCCACTATAATAGTAGGATCAGTAACAAAGCGGTCCTCGAGGTTGTCGACAACGATAGAGGTAAGGATCGTCTTGCCAGCGCCAGGGATGCCGGGACAAAAGAGAGTCTGCCCAGGCTCAGCCACCCACTTCTGGTACGTTTCACAGTCGAGCAACCACTGCCCCGTACCGGGCTGTCGTCTTCGTAAATAGTCCGAGTGCTGCGGGCCGTAATCTATAGGAGTAAGCCAATTAAGCACTTTGAGATCCTCTACTATTTCCATGACGTGTCTGGTCCGCACGACTTGGGATTTTGTTTCAGACAGTTCGCTGGAAACTATATTTCAATGTTAAATCTTCGATTGCAGCACCTGAAAGTTAATTCAAGTTGACTCGCCTCTAGCCAATACATCCTTCACGGTTTCCTCTCTAGCAACCTCTTGCGGCTCGACGTATCCTAGAAGTTCTTTGGCGAATGCTGCTGCAACAGCAGCAGCGTGCTCCTGCTACGCCTTATTTTTGTGCGAGTCGGCGTAGTCACAGATGCCCCGGATCACAATACACGGAAAGTTGTCCATCAGACCAGCCGCCTCCATTTCGACACAAAGAACCTTACCTAAGTCCTTGCATAATCGATCCCTGACCTGGGCATCTTTGATCACCTGGTTTCCAGATGCGATTAGTCCATAGTGTACACGCATGTCTCGCGGCTTTCTCTTCACGATCTGAGCCTTGTCGCAATGCTTGCAAACATCTTTAGCTTCGTTGTCCGATTCTTGCTCCTCCAAGTCTTCCTCTTCCTCGTCCTCTGCGGCGTCTCGATCCTGCTTGTCCACATGTTCATAGCTTGCCTTAAAAAGAATATCTTGCAGCGAATCCGACCGAAGGAACTTTCCCGTCGATTGTGGGTACCGCGTTTGTATATCGTCCAGGTACTGCGCTATCTTGCTCCCTTCCAACTTGTGATCCGTTTTCAGTTTCGTCACAGCCGTCAGAAGCAAAGTCGGTGGCTTGTTTAACGCGCCCGTTCGTCGAAACTTTCGCCCTTACTCTGCCTTTCCCATATCCCATTGTATAACCCCTGGACACTGGGCGTCGGGCACACTAACCACCACGTCGCCGAGCCGAGCCGTGGATGGCACGCCCCCTCCGATGCCTACTATAAGACCAACACTGATGGCTGGAAAGGCGTATACCATGTCCTTTGCAACGGTCGCGGCTGAGGTCGTTCCTATCGTCCCCTCAGGTAAACAAGCAATGACGATGTTGTGGCCGCCGATGGAGCCGAGCGTGTAGGTATTGAGATCGTTGGGACGTCTGGGGAGGTTCGTATGTCGTTCGTCTAGCATGGCCGTCGCCGCCGTGCGCTCCACGGACAGCGCGCAGACCCATCCGATCGTGTAGTCATTGTGCGTTCTCACCTCTGTCATTGTAGTGTCGCTGGCGGGGACGAGCTCGGCTTCAGGAAGGTCGATTATAAGCTGTTCCGGTGTATCTTATCGCAGCTTTCAATGTCACTTTGCTGCACTGCCGGAGGATACCATTTGGTATTTGTCGCATGAAGGCTAGCACTACGGCGAGGGGAGAGGCAAGCCAAGGCAACCAGCAGGACTTCCATTCAGCCTCACAGGCTGACTGCAGCCCGCGTAGATGCAGTCATGCCCTGTGGCAATTGGTTGGCTGCACCTGGCTGGGTGCAGTGGTTGGCTGCACCTGGCTTTCCCTTACGAGGAACGTGGGTTGGAATCCTACCCCAGTCACATTTTCTAACCGCAGATTTGAGAACTCAGATCGCAGATCGCAGAACGCAGATAGGCAAAGATAGGCGCGGATAATGACAGCTAGATGGAGTCTCTTCAGAACACCATGATCACGCCTCTATCGACTACTATACGCGATCGTCACATTGCCGAGGAGCGCTTAGAGGCTGGTCGAAGTGAGATATATACGGCGTGCGGCGGGCCCGGATCATACCCGGGTTTCTCTCGCTCCAAGTTGGTAGCAGTGCAACACGTCGGTCGACCCGGTATAATAATAGTACGCTTAGCTACTTAGTATTAGAGGTCGTGAATAATAAAAAGAAATAAAGCGAGATTGGCTGGCAAGCTGCCTGTCCAGGGACTGCTGCGCGGAGTTAATCTCTCAGCCGCATAAAGTCGTTCATTTTGATAAAACTAATTGGATGGCAGACGTTGACTTAAAATTTTGAGGAAAGCCTTATGTCTAGTGGATATGGCTAGTCATTTTGAATCGATGCTAAGATCTTGCAGGATTAGCACCAGCACTACACCATACTGTACTATTCCCAGGCACTTCCTGTAAGTTATCCGTGAAGCCGCGATGCCGATCACACTACTACAAGTTTCTACAGTCGGTCGCCAAGCTGGCGAGTTACGTGGTCAAGATGAAAGCGATAGCAACGAACGTGATGGGAAGTCAAAACAACTCAGCTGGTGGGAATCGCGCAGACCCTGAGAATCCCAATGTTAGCAATGGATATTGAACGGCTGACCAGTCCCTCGCGTCCCCCAGTTTGCAAGCCGTTAGCAATGCACCAGATGCTTACAAACAGGGATTTTGGTGAACATTCGGTCCGTCGGAAAGAACCAACATTGTCGTTGGGCACATTCTTAGCTCTCAGCGCCTGTCATTTCTGTCACGCCCTCCACCTCAGCCAACCCCAGTCTACCCTAGGGCGTTCATGATACGTGCTATGTCCGGCGTGCTGACAGCAGGTCAACTTGAAGTCCGGGTATGACAGAAGGAGCGATCCGTGGACTACTGTAATTGGGATGTCGGCAGGTACTAGTTCTTGCGCTGCCTGGCGCTGCTGCAACTCCCTACAACACCGAGTCAGTCCTTGACCCGGCAAGCAGGCACAGCCTATGGCACTCAAGGAAAGAGTCGCTCATTGGTCCTCAAAAGACTTGATTTTCCTCAAAGTCTCCGCCAGGAACCAGAGTCAGACCCAAAGGCAAATGGCGTTTCGTTTCCGATACTGAAGATGCTCGTGGCTACAGATAGCCAAATATCTTGTCCGACTCAACAAATCCTTTGTTGCTGCTTATGGGACGGGAAATCCAGCCTCAGCCAGGGCGATGGAACTGAAAACCAGAGAAGGGGTGGCCGCTGACGGCACCTAGACAGACGTGGGGCATGGCACTCTGGCATCAGACAACACACCCTATCTCGATGGCAGTGACGCTTCACTGGGCTCCTGTCTGATCGGCTTTCGACGGCTGCTGTCTGCGCGCCCTCTTTGGCAGTGATTGCAGCAGGGACATCACCTGCTGCCAGGTCCAGAGTGTCAGGAAGGCCAGGCTCACCAGTATTTGAAATCTCGATCTAAAGGCCAATGGGATGCATTGCGACTTCAAGCGGGCCATGCTGTACACATAAACTGAACCCTAGAAGCCGTCGGCTCGGGCGGACTACGGCTCACTGAGTTCGCTCTACTAATGTTCTCTCAGTGCCATGCCCTCAACTGTGTGCACTGGTCGTGTAATTCGCCGTACACGCAACTGTACAGCGATCCCTTGCCGGGCCGAGACGCGACCAGTTCCTCCTTTGAAGCACGAATTCGAAATAGCAGCAGCAGAATAGCACTACCGCCGGCATGGACTTCCCTCCTTTCAGTTTTCACAGCGGCACTTGGACAACATCTCTACCAAACGATCCATTCGCTGAGCAGTCTGATACATCTCAGAGCCAGCCGCCTATGAGCTGTGACCCTGTAGCAGTCAACCTGATTCAAAGTCAAGTTAACCAATGCCTTCGCTCTCAAAGCAGTCAAAGGCTCATCTCTTTCATAGAAGCGGACCTGGGGAATGAAGAGAGCGATACGATCGAGAACCCTCCTGAACACATCCGCTAGAAGGTCGAGTGGCCGGCCAAGGTAAACAACCGAGCCATACTCAAAGGCAGCCAACGAGATATCCCGGTCTCTCCCGAGGACTTTTGGGACACGCAGTGAGGAGAAGCTGAACAAGCTGATGGCCAATCTACGAATGACGAACAAGTCTACCCGAGCGGAAGGCACCAACATTACTGTTTCAGTCTGACAAGACTGAGCCTGGCATAATGAAATACTACGACGAGCTCGAAATCGAATGGCAAGACGTCGAGACACAGCTCCGAAAATGGGGCAACTTGCTTCGCTTTGGAAAGCGATTGGTAGTCAAGGTGTCGTTCAAGTTGGTCAATACAAGCAGTTCGGCTGCCAAGAGGGGAGCGAAACGAGGACGTCAGTCGGCAACAACAGCGATGCTCGCAGAGAATGCTCTCCAGCTCGACGTAGAGGAGCATTCGACAGACCAGGGCTCCATCTGGCGCCACGTTTACGCTCTGATGCGATGTCCTGGACCGCCACGTAAGTTGGGCCCTCACTGCTGGCGCAAGCCTGGTACGTCGAAACGCTACAAGATGAAGTCATTCTACATGAGGCGACTGGCCGAGCCCGTACAGAATGGTCATAAATTGGAAAGTCAAGCAGACGTGCCTCAAGAAATACAGCGATGGCTCGAGTATTGAACTGGAGTGGTGCTCCAGGACAGTGCTGTCCCAGAACGTCCACAGCAGCCAAAGTAGTCTTCAACGTCTCTACCGACGAATCCAACGTACTTTGTCTAATGGGACCTGACTGATCAGAGTGATAATTCCTCCTGTAGCGTGCACAATAAGGGTTGTCGGTCGCCAGAACGCAGGGTTCAAATATGTGGGTGAAAAGAGCGTTGTCTTATTGGAATCCACACGCAACAAAGATAACTATATAGGAAATAGAACGCAAAGCCACACTACGCCACTGGACAAGCCACACCACCCGAGCTCAGTATCTATCCACCTCCCAATCCTGGATTTGGACATGCTGTTCCGTTCCAAGTTCTGTTGGATTATCCCGTACCATGATTGCCTCTCTTCTGTGCATGCTGAATGCTGCTTCAAGGTTTCCCTCAGCCGGACTGCCTTGCGCTTCAGGCTGGGCTGTGGCCACACCGCCACAAACGCCTAGAGCCATAGATTGCATCGTTGCAAATACTCCTTACATGTTCATCTTTGTCAATATACTTCATCAACCAAACACCCGGCTTCAATTGAGGCACAACCTGAAGACATAAAGACATGTTGGAGCCTCAGATCTTCAAGGTCGCAGTTTCAGTTGCACGTGATTGTAAATCTGACCCTTTTGCCCGTTTCCATCTGTTCCTTATTAAGCTGTTCTGCTACATTTAAGAGGCCAGATTTGGAAGAGATCTTGTACGCTGCTATCTTTCCATCCTTATCATTGATTTCTAGGCAAATCAAGGCCATATCACCACTCAATGGCTATGCGTGTCAGTCATTTGATCACGTGCAATAGATACAAGGGACTCACTGTCTGATTGAACACCGGGAGATGCCCTGCGCCTTTCTCTAACCCAATGGAGTAGACTTGATGGTTCCCCTCGATTTTATCGACCTTGTAAAGCATGTTGGACCATAGGCTTGCTCGTTGGAGGCTAGAACGCAGCAAATGCTTAAGGCGACTTTTAATGTCGCTCCATTTGATATTACCCGTTAACACAAAGTGAGTAACCCTTACTACGAGAAGAAAGGCCACCGCGTAGAGTAGCTCTGTTGTACCGAGACCAAACATGACTGACGGGACATCTACAATGGTTGTCAAGGTGTTCGCCATTTCGAGTTGATATATCGATGCACAGAAATCTGTATGAGGGTTTTTGATCTGATCAAGTGTAGGGAGAATTTGGATGACTTCTTGTCAGGAGGAAAGGGGTAGAAGCATTTATACGCGTTTTGATCTACGTTCCTCTGTTATAAGCAAGGTATACTACGCGGAGCCGGCGCAATTATTATTATTATTCTCGTCGGAGGACAAGATTGATTTGGGACAGTGCTAGGGACACGACAGAAGGGCCCCGCCTATAAAACCATTATTGATCGTCGATAAGTACATGATCTCTATATGCTTAAGAGACCAATCACTTCTGGAAGTGGTAACGTATAGGTTGGTTTGCATCTTTGGCTGGGGGGCAGTTCAGTCTCTACGGACCAAAGAATCAGGCCTTCTCCAGACATAACTACGTCAAACGGGCCAAAGTTCCATCCTGGCACCCGAGGTATAGGAGCAGGGGTTGATGTAAATCACGAGCAGCCGGGATCACGTCAGATGTGCGTGAGACGAAGGCGGTGCTGGACTCGCGTCTAGGTTGATCGATCCACGTAGAGCGCGCCAGACAAAGAAACAGCGCTCTTCCTGACTCCATGTTCATCTACGCTACTAGGCGTAATTGGGCGCGATCAACGCGCGGACCATAATCTTCTTGGCCTTGTTGTGGTAGTCAGATCAAGATCAAGATCAAGACGGTGAGTACCCTGCGCTTAGCCATAGTGATGGTCTTTTGGGTTTTGTGTTACATCTAATGGAGCAGTGATTTTCCGTCTATCACCTCCACTTCCTCAATTAGATGTGATGAACTGGAAGGGTCAGATGGGAAATTCGACTATCACCCGGTGTGCAGTCCCAAATCTCCGGGCTATCTGGTGTACCGTTTCAGCTAGGTCACTGCCCGCATGCACAAGTTGGAGCAGCTCTAAGACACAGCGGACGAACTGTCTGTCCGTACACCAATGCGTCTCAGAATATAAATGGCACGGCATCCTCCATCTTTTAGCGGAAAGAATGATCATAAGCAGTGCGTAGAAGGTCCGCTGCATATACGCTACGACGAATGAGCGCAATGACATACCTGCCTGTTCTGACCGCATGTTGGGCGGTGGAAGTACTGTTGACTGTCTGGGGTTGCAAACGTGCATACACTCGGCTACACCAAATTCAGACACCGTTTCCGTTGAATGAAGCATACAGGCTCCCGTATCTAATAACCTATGCAGCCATGTCATTGGTAGCAATCTCCGCATCATTGGCAATACTCATCCTAGCATTGACTCGAGGCAGCAAGTGGGCTTGCTATTTGCTTTACGTCATCCTACCTTGGAATATGAGTAGAGAAGTGAGTCAACTGTAGCTTCTTCTATTGGCCTAGTTGACCCCTATACAGAGCATAACAGCGGCCGGGGCATCTAGCCTGGGTCAGAGGTCTTTTGCTCCATTGTCAGTCGTGACTGTCTTGGTCTCGTGTTGTGTTTTGTTCGGCGTTGAAGCAGGACTACGCGGCCTACCCGAGCCAGTAGAGCGAATATTATACACCATCTCAACAGGTGGTTTTCGCTTGTGGATGGTGCGGGAATGGATACTCATCCGAAGAGATTGTGAGCAATCTCAGGCCTACATCACTGTTCATTGTGTGCTTCGCATTGTGGCTTTGATAGCCACGTTTTCCGGATCACTGGCCAACACAAATCAAGACCAACGCTTTGTAAGCACTCTCCTGCCATCACGTCCTGATCCTTACTCACGATAGTCGTTACTCACTCTGTAAATCACTACGGTGGTGTTCGCGCTCTATGATGTCATAACAGAGCTTGCGGTACAGTTTCGCTACGTTGCGAGTCTCCTTTAGTAGCGCTACCGCTACTATACTAATCGTACAAAGAAAGCGTGGGAAGAGATACGGAAAGAGGGAGTAGCATGAGTTGTGGACCTTCTGTGATATATGTAGCGTTGCCGTAAATCCACTCTAAACGATTGATTAGGCCGAAAGATAAGCATCTTACAAAATCTGAATTCGCCTACCTGCAGGTTACAGCAGAATACTGATAAACATTCGCTGTGTCACTTATAGTCGAATGATAACCGCCCAGTATCTGGATCCCCTGCAAGAATTCGAGCGCCATCCTCCAGGTCTCTGTATCACTCGATATATACCAAGCTGCATGCTGTCTTGAATTAAAAAAACTCCAATCTCGGCACTTTGGTACGGCCTCCACTGTCTGGCTTTGCCGGGATCTTCAGTAAGTCAAACTTGTCCCGCATTGCTGTGGTACTCCGCTGACTACTGTCGAGCGAAAATACGCTGGTAACTCTCAAGGTCTGCATCATCGGAGAAGATGACACCCAGGAATTGGCTATTTCTCACTATATCAAATCCATCAACGTGGAGCGTCCAGGTAGGGAAAGGCTGCGTGCGACGCTGGACGACTTCCATATCAAAGGCCCAAATGGGTCTCACCAATGCTTGATATTCCCGAATCTGGGAGTGACTCTAAGTGTATTACGAGATCTGTTCGAGAATAGGGCTCTTGACAAGACACTCTGGCAGAAATTCCCGTACGTCATTGCGACAGGCTTGGACTTCTTGCACCAGGCGGGGGTCGTGCATACAGGTCTGTTCCCGTCTCTGATCATACAGTATGCCAATCGGTACCTTTCGATGGAAAGGGCTACGAATGCGGCTAGCGTGAGATTCTGCGGTCTGTGGCTGGTAAGCATATGGCTGTGTAGACATCAGCACGTGAGGGTTGACTTACTCCGTATATGCTGCATCAATAGGACGGCTTGTCTTCCACGATTTGCAGCCTTGCCGCTGAGTCTTCGTCTTTACCCCGCAACTGCAGCCTGATGCAATCCTCGCCGATCCATGCTGCTCGCGACGACCGTACGGTACCTGCTTCATCTCACGAACCAACAGCGCCCTGCCTACTCCGGCGGTAGAGCAGTTGGTGACCCTCTACCGTAGCGATGAGGTTACTGCAGCGTGATGATGCAGGTAACTACAGCATCACTTCCGACCTCGCTGAAAAAGACGTTCCCCCGTACGCGATTCTTTCCCACACTTGGGGACTCGACGAAGTAGTCTTCGCCGACCTTGCGAAGACGCCTGGTGACTGGCAACACAAAGCCGGCTACTATAAGATCAAGTTCTGTGCAGTCCAAGCGAAAGAACATGCTTTGCGGTACTTCTGGGTCGACACCTGCTGTATCGACAAGTCTGACGCAGCCGAGCTTCAGACCGCGATCAATAGCATGTTCAGATGGTACCGCGATGCGAAACGATGCTACGTTTTCTTGCCGGATGTCTCTAGCTCTGCGGTCTCTAGTCAGCAATACACTTTCACGCCATGGGAGGGTGCTTTCCGGCAAAGTCGATGGTTCAAGCGTGGATGGACGCTGCAAGAGCTTATCGCGCCGAGGACAGTTGATTTCTATTCAGAGGAAGGAAATCATCTAGGTGACAAGCGATCCTTGGAGCCTTTGATACGTGACATTACAGGCATTCCTGCAAATGCGCTTCGCGGCACAACTTTATCCGACTTCACAATTGTAGAACGAGAATCATGGGCACGCAATCGTCAAACGACGCGCGACGAGGATATGGCGTATTCGTTGCTAGGTATTTTCGGCGTTTATATGCCGCTCATATATGGCGAGGGGCGACAAAATGCACAAAAGCGGCTGCGAGAGGAAGTGCAGAAAGCCGTAAAGGGTAAGATCATCTGGTGACTAGAGGAGAGCAAGCTCGGGGGTTAACATACATAGGACCCCCCGCGAATGGCTTTGACATTACCTTTAGCCTGTCTGACATTACCGAAACTCAACATTTCGTCGCACGAGAGAGCGAAATCGCGAAGATGCGCAGAACACTAGAGTCAGACGGCAGCCGCCGCGTCGTTATTCTCCACGGTCTCGGTGGAATCGGCAAGACACAGCTTGCCGTAGCATATACGAAGAAGTATCGAGGTGAATACTCTGCGGTATTTTGGCTCAACATCAAAGACGAAGCGTCGGTTCAACAGAGCTTCGCCAAAGTAGCGAGGCAGATTCTGCGACAGCACCCTGATGCTAATTACCTGAGTGCACTTGATCTGCAGCAAGACCACGGGGAAGTGATTGAAGCAGTTAAGGCATGGCTCAGCCTGCCGAGTAACACTAGGTGGCTCATGGTTTACGACAATTTCGATAATCCGAGACTGGCCAACACCACTAACACAGGAGTCGATATTCAATATTATCTGCCGACATCGTACCAAGGCTCAGTGATAATCACGACGCGATTGTCGCAAGTCGATATAGGTCATCGTATTCGAATCCAAAAGCTTGAATCGATGGATGACTGTCTCAAAATCTTGTCCACGACGTCGGATCGAGATGTTTCACACAAAGGTAAGGCTCTCGCAAATATCTAGGCTCGACTAATCACGACCACAGACGCGGATGCTAGACGTCTTGTAGAGGAGCTTGACGGGCTTCCGCTTGCTCTTGCCACAGCCGGAGCATACCTGAGGCATGTTCCGGTCAGCCTCAGTGATTATCTTCGCCTGTACAAGAGTTCGTGGGCAAGGCTTCACTCAAGCACCCCAAGTCTAGGATCGTATCAAGACCGCACACTTTCCTCCACGTGGCGGGTCTCATATGATCAAGTGCTAGAACAAAATCCACTAGCTGCTCGTATACTACAGTGGTGGGCCTATTTTGATAACGAAGATCTGTGGTTTGAACTCCTCCAGCCGCACGGAGATGACGGCCCATCTTGGATGAATAAGCTGAATGATGAGCTAAACTTCAACAGCGCAATGGGCGTACTGCATGACTACGGCTTTGTCGAGCCACATGCTGTTAGTACAGGCTTGATCGAGTCAAGGGGATACAGTATTCATGCATGCCTGCACTCTTGGACGATTCATATTTTAAACCGGGATTGGGATGGCCGCCTCCATGAAATGGCGGTGGAGTGCATAGCCTCACACGTCCCGTCACGGGAAGACGGTCAATTCTGGGTACTTCAAAGACGGCTCTTAACACATGCGATAACGTCTTGTACCAAAATGCAAGATGGCGGTAAAGACTTAAAATGGGCTTTCGGCATACTAGGTCTCCTTTACTACGACCAAGGCAAGATGCAAGAGGCCGAGGAGATGTACCTGCGGGCGCTTCGAGGGTACGAGAAGGCGTGGGGTCCGGGTCACACGTCGACACTTGATACGGTTAACAACCTAGGGATCCTTTATTTCGATCAAGGCAAGATGCAAGAGGCCGAGGAGATGTACCTACGGGCGCTTCGAGGGAAGGAGAAGGCGTGGGGTCCGGATCACACGTCGACACTAGATATGGTGAATAACCTAGGGAACCTTTACTCTAACCAAGGTAGGATGTAAAAGGCCGAGGAGATGTACTTTGTTACGAACATGGCCTCACGAACCCCGACCCCGGAAAGGAACAACTAGAACCCACCAGGCAGCTGGCGCGCAGCCGCTAGGACAGAAAGACCACGGGGACCAATGGGACGAAAAAGGGTCACGTGACATGGATCATGGTCGTGGCAGGCGAGCCAGGACAAAGGATCACGACGAGCCACGGGTGAGCTCAGGGGAAGGATCACCCCTGGATCGGAGTGATCCAGGACAAAGGATCACTATGGCTATAGTGATCCAACCAACATCAGTGAGGAAATGAATGGATATATAATGGAAGGGATTTCCTAGCTACATAGACAGTCATTACCTCAGTGATCAATCTAAGCATCTATCTTACCCATAGGTGAGGCCTATCAAGCCTTGACGATTATATTTGTGACTCCGCTTACAGACCCCTCTGTTATATCTTGTTCAGTTGTACAGGCTATAAGCCATAGCCACCCTCGAGACTAACGTTCCCTGTTAGTATAAACCCACGTACCTGTATCTCTCTATGGTTTATCCTAGAAAGCATATTCGTCACACCTATCAAACCTTAACGATTATATTTATAACTTCGTTTATAAACCCTATTATTATATCTTATTTAATTATATAAGTTATCGATTATAACCGCCCTGTCACGGCACCACAGGGATGGTCGAGGCTGTGTTACAAATCTTGTAGTATTACGAAAAATCTAAAGCTGGAGAGGAAAGGAAAGAAGAGCTCTCTCCACAACTGTGGCGTTTGCTATTTACAGGTGGGGTGGATCACCACTCGTCCCCCACTATAACAACCACCTGCACCAACCAGCCCGTAACACGCCCTTTAAGATTAACGTCCCTTATTAATATAAACCTACGTATTTATATCTCTTTACGGTTTATCTTAACAAATATAATTCAATCACACACGTCTCTCGGGGTGTATTTTAAAATCAATTTAATTAATAAAATAAAATATAACCATATACTTTTATAGGTATACTTTGTAACGGTTTTTAATAATGTTATAAGGTAAGTGCTGGCGTAATGGTCATCAACGACCCGTCTTGAAACACGGACCAAGGAGTCGAACATTTATGCGAGTGTTTGGGTGTTAAACCCTCACGCGTAATGAAAGTGAACGGAGGTGAGAGCCCTTACGGG